TAAACCCCCCACACTGTGGTTTGAATCCGAACAACTTATGATTTTTTAAGTTAGCTTACAGAACGTCGGTGGTGTTACTTAGGTGCCGAGTTTGTGCTTGAAATAATGTTTGGGAGGGCAACTGAGATCTTAGTTTACCAGTAAAGTGAAAAGTTGCCATATGACCTATACTGTGTTAGTGTAATGTAAAACCTAATAAAAAAAATAGTATCTAATACATGGTCTGCATTTATTACATGTATCTAATACATTGTCTGCACTTATTACATGTTCCTAATACATTGTCTGCATTTGTTACATGTACTAGGGGTTATCCAAAAATTTGTGGACTTTTTAAAAATCTCTTGAACGTCAATGTGTATTGTAATGACATTTTATCAGCATACCTTGTAGAATATTATCAACACATTTTGAAAGGAACAGTTAATTGTGCCAATAAATAATTATTTAATATTGCTTTTAAATAAGCACATATACGGCACCCGGCGCACAGTAGAAAAGTGCAGTTAGTCATCTTATATTTTTTGCTTAAAAACTAATAATTAACGTAGAAAACCCACTAAACATAGCATGTTTCTTCTATGATGTCATTTAAGTAATTCTTTAAAATTATGGACGCCATTTCCGTTAATTTGTGTTGAAATCGCTAGAAACGCCAGACACCTATATTGTTTACGACGGGAAAGTGACGGACAAGCAGAAATTAGAAAATTGCGCTATCATAGAATTTTGTTGTAATTTGGGAAGGACACCTACAAAAGCATTTGAAAAAAATCAGCAGGTGAACACAGAAATTTAGTGATAGACTACTTTGAGATGAAGTAACGGTTATTGACTGTGTACACAAATGTAACGCTGAAGCACAAGTTGTATTGTTATTATGACATTGACGTCAATAACTTTTGGAGTGCGCCGCTTTTGCCGACATGTGTTTATGTAAAATTAAATATTGTTGTAATATAAGAAGCTACTAATATGAATTTTTCTGTGTTTATTTGTAATTTATTCTTCTAAGCAGTGTAAGAATTTCAAAAAAAGTCCACAAATTTTTTTGATAACCCTTCATATCTTATACATTACATTTATTACATGTACAATGTATCTAATATATTACCTGCATTTATTACATGTATCTAATACATTGTCTGCATTTATTACATGTATATAATATTGTAGGATGATTATTTGGAGCAGGAACGTTGTAGATATAATGTGAAGGGAGGATGTACTTCTCTTGTTGTTTTACTGTTAGAGGGCAAGATGTATATAGCCAATGCTGGTGACAGTAGGTAGGTCTCTTATATTCTACATTATTATTATACCTGCATTTTGCCATATTCAATGCATGTATTACATGCACAAATTTGACTCGACAGAACTCTGGACATAAGTAGGTTTAGGAGTTTTAACTTCAGCATCTCCCATAGGAAGGAGACTTGTAACATAGAGCAGAGTTCTCAATTTAGTGATATAGCCTGGCATATCACATTGTAGAGGTAATGATTTGATTCTACAACAAGTTACAATATGCTGACATAGGACTGACTAATTATGTCAATTATGTCATTTGAAATTCAATGTACATAATAAAAGGGTTATTATAAGTTATTGTAAGAATATCTTGATCTCTGTCTTGTATTTGGGTCACTCGGAATTCACATCCAGCACTACTGTGCCTAGTGAGATCCTATTCAATTAAAATCCACTTGAGTCAGATACAAATTCCAGATTAAGATACTCGTGTATAATATAAATATTAACTCTATTAAATTTGTGCATGTACAAAATTTATTTTTCAAAATTTACCTGGGATACTTTCCCTTTTTTTCAAGGGATCATATGATGATGGCGTCACATTAGTCCAATAACTGGTTAACTCCTATTAAATTTAGAAGGACTTACCCTGTTACTGCACTAAGGTGAGATATCGTCACTGGCCTGTGTATCCTTTCATCTGTCATATTGTCACTCTGTTTTCATAGCCTTCAATAAACATACATTTAACCTGACCCTATACTTCTCTCATTGAAACAGATAGGTATAAGCTTCCTGTGTAGTGATAACCAGACCCTATACTGCTCTCATTGAAACAGATAGGTATAAGCTTCCTGTGTATGTGATAACCAGACCTTATACTTCTCTCATTGAAACAGATAGGTACATGCCTCCTGTGTAGTGATAACCAGACCCTATACTTCTCTCATTGAAACAGATAGGTATAAGCTTCCTGTGTAGTGATAACCAGACCCTATACTGCTCTCATTGAAACAGATAGGTACATGCTTCCTGTGAAGTGATAACCAGACCCTATACTTCTCTCATTGAAACAGATAGGTATAAGCTTCCTGTGTAGTGATAACCAGACCCTATACTGCTCTCATTGAAACAGATAGGTATAAGCTCCCTGTGTAGTGATAATCAGACCCTATACTGCTCTCATTGAAACAGATAGGTACATGCTTCCTGTGTAGTGATAACCAGACCTTATACTTCTCTCATTGAAACAGATAGGTATAAGCTTCCTGTGTAGTGATAATCAGACCCTATGCTTCTCTCATTGAAACAGATAGGTACATGCTTCCTGTGTGGTGATAACCAGACCCTATACTTCTCTCATTGAAACAGATAGGTACATGCTTCCTGTGAAGTGATAACCAGACCCTATGCTTCTCTCATTGAAACAGATAGGTATAAGTTTCCTGTGTAGTGATAACCAGACCCTATGCTTCTCTCATTGAAACAGATAGGTATAAGCTCCCTGTGTAGTGATAACCAGACCTTATACTTCTCTCATTGAAACCGATAGGTATAAGCTCCCTGTGTAGTGATAATCAGACCCTATGCTTCTCTCATTGAAACAGATAGGTACATGCTTCCTGTGTAGTGATAACAGACCCTATACCGCTCTCATTGAAACAGATAGGTATAAGCTCCCTGTGTAGTGATAACCAGACCATATACTGCTCTCATTGAAAACAGATAGGTATAAGCTTCCTGTGTAGTGATAACCAGACCCTATACTGCTCTCATTGAAACAGATAGGTATAAGCTTCCTGTGTAGTGATAACCAGACCCTATACCGCTCTCATTGAAACAGATAGGTACATACTTCCTGTGTAGTGATAACCAGACCCTATACCGCTCTCATTGAAACAGATAGTTATAAGCTCCCTGTGTAGTGATAACCAGACCCTATACTGCTCTCATTGAAACAGATAGGTATAAGCTCCCTGTGTAGTGATAACCAGACCCTATACTGCTCTCATTGAAACAGATAGGGTATAAGCTCCCTGTGTAGTGATAACCAGACCCTTATACCGCTCTCATTGAAACAGATAGGTATAAGCTCCCTGTGTAGTGATAACCAGACCCTATACTGCTCTCATTGAAACAGATAGGTATAAGCTTCCTGTGTAGTGATAACCAGACCCTATACTGCTCTCATTGAAACAGATAGGTACATGCTTCCTGTGTAGTGATAACCAGACCTTATACTTCTCTCATTGAAACAGATAGGTAAAGCTTCCTGTGTAGTGATAATCAGACCCTATGCTTCTCTCATTGAAACAGATAGGTACATGCTTCCTGTGTGTGATAACCAGACCCTATACTTCTCTCATTGAAAAACAGATAGGTACATGCTTCCTGTGAAGTGATAACCAGACCCTATGCTTCTCTCATTGAAACAGATAGGTATAAGTTTCCTGTGTAGTGATAATCAGACCCTATGCTTCTCTCATTGAAACAGATAGGTATAAGCTCCTTGTGTAGTGATAACCAGACCCTATACTTCTCTCATTGAAACAGATAGGTACATGCTTCCTGTGTAGTGATAACCAGACCTTATACTTCTCTCATTGAAACCGATAGGTATAAGCTCCCTGTGTAGTGATAATCAGACCCTATGCTTCTCTCATTGAAACAGATAGGTACATGCTTCCTGTGTAGTGATAACCTGACCCTATACTGCTGTCATTGAAACAAGATTTTATCTCTTTTTACATTTTGTTCTCTATTCCAGGGCAGTTTTATGTCATGGGGATAAGGTACAAGCAATGAGCAAAGATTTTAACCCAGTCACAGATAGAAAGAGGATTAATTACATTGTAAGTTATTATATGTTACATGTCTCAATTTCAATGTTAAAACCAATGGGAGAACATACAAATATATTTTGAAATGTTGGGTGAACACAACTAAATGTGAACACAAGTGTATGTGAACTTTTTGGGGAAAACAAAACTATATGTGAACTGTTTGGGGAAAACACACAGCTATATGTAAACAGTTGGGTAAACACACCAACTATATGTGAACTGTTTGGGAAAAACACACAACTATATGTGAACTGTTGGGTAATCACACCAACTATATGTGAACTGTAAGGGAAAACACACAACTATATGTGAACTGTTGGGTAAACACACCAACTATATGTGAACTGTAAGGGAAAACACACAACTATATGTGAACTGTTGGGTAAACACACCAACTATATGTGAACTGTTGGGTTAACACACCAACTATATGTGAATGCTGGGTAAACACACCAACTATATGTGAACTGTTTGGGAAAACACACAACTATATGTGAACTGTTGGGTAAACACACCAACTATATGTGAACTGTAAGGGGAAAACACACAAGTTTATGTGAACTGTTGGGAAAACAACTATATGTGAACCATTGGGGGAAAACACACAACTTTATATGAACCGTTGGTTAAACACACAACCATATGTGAACTGTAAGGGGAAAATACACAACTATATGTGAACTGTAAGGGAAAACACAACCCTCAGGAAGTGTTAGTCAGCATTGTTAGCAATGGTCTAAGCACTTTCAGTGACGTTTGAATGTCGGCATACATTTGTTGGTTTCCACTATCACTTTGAAACCAATTTAAGGATAAGAAAAATTGTACATGTAATAATATTTATAAGTGAAATATGTTGGTTTTAATAAAGGTTTTTTTTTATGCCACCGCAGCATCTGCGATGCGGTGGCATATAGCGATTCACCTATGTGTGTGTTTGTGTGTGTGTGTTCTAAAGATTATATAGTGAACTTAAAAAATCTTCTTGTGTAAAACCAATGGTCCAATTTCAACCAAACTTGGCAGGATTGATCCTTGGGTGAAGGGCTTCCAATGTTTTTCAAAGAATTTCATTCCATGCAGAAATCTGGTTGCGATGGCAACCAAAAGGAATTATAAGAATAAATTTTAAAAAATCTCCTGTAAAGACCCAAAAGGCCTAGAGCTTAGATATTTTGCATAAGGCATTGTCTAATAGACTTTTACAAAGATTGTTCAAATTATAGCCCTCGGGTCAAAATCAGCCCCGCTCTGGGGGTCATTGATTTTCACTATATGTACATATAGTAAAAACTTAAAATACCTTCTTGTAAAGACCCAAAAGGCCTAGAGCTAAGATATTTTGCATGAGGCATTGTCTGGTAGACCTCTACCCAGATTATTCAAATTATAGCCCTGGGGTCAAAATCGGCCCCGCTTTCAATATGTACATACAGTAAAAACTTAAAATACCTTCTTGTAAAGACCCAAAAGGCCTAGAGCTTAGATATTTTGCATAAGACATTGTCTTGTAGACCTTTACCAAGATTGTTCAAATTATTGCCCTGGGGTCAAAATCGGCCCCGCCTCAGGGGTCATTGGTTTTCCTTATATGTATATAGTAAAAACTTATATTAAAAAACTTAAAAAAAAATTTCTTCTAGCAATTGACAAATACTACAGGTTAGATATTTTGCATGAAACATTGTGTAGTGAACCTCTAGCAAGATTGTTCAAATTATAACCCTGGGGTCAAAATTGCCCCCGCCCTGGTGGTCATTGATTTTCAATATATACATATAGTAAAATAATAAAAAAATCTTATTGTCTGAAGGTACAAGGCTTAGTGTTGTATTAATGCGGTGGCATAGCTTTTTTCTGAAATGCAATCTTGTTTTTAAACAAAGATTGGAAATAAAAAAAATGTTACATTTTACTGTTATGAAATGTGTGAAAATTGACCTTTGATTTATTTTTAGGGTCATTTACACCCAGAATTACTCCATGATGAATTTACATGTTTAGAATTTCCACGACGTGTCAATAAAGGTGACGTAGGTCAGGCAATGTTGTGTCGCAAACCAGGCAGGGATGGATGGTATGTAGATAACATAAACTTACTTATTATTCAGCTGGTGTAAAGTCTATTTAAAATAATTTTAAATGGATTTATTTTACTTTTAGGTCACAAACAGTGGAAGTGGCAATTTTAGGATAAAACAAAATAAAATATATTTTTTCAAATGTATTATTTTGTCATTTTGTGTATGGGGTTCTCTTCCCCTTTTAATGTGCATACCATTTTGGGTGTGGCGGAGAGCATTTATGTTTGATACATGACGTTTTCATATTAAAACCATAATAAAAGGGTATATGACAAATAATCTCATAATTTAGGGGATAGTTGTAGACTGGTCAGTCCTATGTCAGTGTATTGTAACTTGTTGGAGAATAAAATCAATATGTCTTCAAAAATTATATCAGTGAGGCATCAGCACTAACTTAGTTCTTTATGATGTATGATACAAGTAGACACTATTGCCTTCCAATGCAAATGTTTTAGAGGGAGATGCTGAGGTCAAAACACCTTAATCTACTACTTGATGCCCAGAAAGAAGTTGTTTGGAGTTTTCTATATATAAATTTAAGCCAATTTCGTAAGTCAAAGCTATGAATCAAAAAATCATCCTATATATAAATTCAAGCCATTATCTGTAGTGTAGTCAGAATGTTTGGTTGAATAGTAGAAGTTGTTTTATCATCATAATATTATTACATGTATATATAAGTTCGAGCCATTATCTTAATGGGCGGTTGGAGTCAACTTCTCTCACTAAACTCAATGTTCTGTTTTGTAGCATTCACAATTCAGGGAATATATTTACTAAAGCCTTGATACTGTTCTATGTTGTGTCAGATGATAAGATGTGTTTACTATGATAGTACTCAACAAACAGCTACTGTATAAATTTGATCTATTTAAGGTGTTACAAAACCATTGTAGAAGATGATCTGAAATTTCCCCTTGTAACAGGAGATGGTAAAAAGGTGAGTGAAACATACCTAGTAGTGAAAGGAAATGATAATATCCTATGTAATGCAAGATAATTTTGTTTATATATCATGACAACAGTTCACTTTATGGTTTCATTATTGATAAAATGATGATATCAATATTAACAGCAGAGAGTTTCATCTATGCAGTCTAACCATGCTCTATACTGTTTGTAGCTCATTTTTAGCTTGTCTGTTTTGGGGAAAGAGTCAAGCTGTTATGGTGGCTGTGTTGTGTCATTATCGTAGTTCATAAACTTTAATGTAGTCCATTACTTGGAACAATTTTAAAGGAATATGATTATCAGGGACATTATTCTGAAAGCAATTCTTTAAAGAGTTATGCCCCTTTCAAACTTATAACATTTATAAAAATTGTTAATTGAGAGTTGTTGCCCTTTACAAATGAGTGTTAACATCACATGCAATGCTCTAGTTTATATTTGGATGTTGAAATCTCATGAAATTTAAATGGAGTATTCCAAAATCTGGACAAATCTATTACAAGTATTCAGCATGTTAAGGGTTAAGCAAATAACATTATTTATTTTGTTATATCTTCTGTGTTTTGTTATACCCCCACCACAAAATGTGGGGGGGCTATAATGGAATCGCTTTGTCGCGTCGGTCGGTCGGTCCATCCGTCTCCATTTTCGTGTCCACTCTATAACTCCTATACCAATTGAAGGATTTTCTTCAAACTTGGCTCAAATGTTCACCTCAACAAGGGGATGTGCAGAACCCATGTTGCCCATGTGTCAGCTCAAGGTCAAGGTCACAATTGAAGGTCAAATATCAAACACAATCAAATATTAGATGGTATGCAGTGTCTGCTCTGTAAGTCCTACACTAATTGAAAGATTTTCTTCAAACTTGGCTCAAATGTTCACCTCAACAAGGGGATGTGCAGAACCCATGTTGCCCATGTGTCAGCGCAAGGTCAAGGTCACAATTGAAGGTCAAATATCAAACAATCAAATATTACACAGTATATCGTGTCCGCTCTGTAAGTCCTACACTTATTGAAAGATTGTCTTCAATCTTGGTTCAAATGTTCACCTCAACAAGGTAATGTGCAGAACCCATGTCACCCTTTTGCCGGCTTAAGGTTAATGTCACACTTGAAGGTCAAAAATTGACTTAGAAAATATTCTTTGGGTCTTTGTCTTGAAACTTAAAAGATATATGAAGTGTCACAATTAAGATATGGTGGTCAAGTTTCATAACTCTGTATTGCAATTTAACAAAGTTATGCCCCTTTTTAAGTCTTCAAATTTACATACAATCAAACATTAGACAATATGTCGTGTCCGCTCTATAAATCCTATACTAATGGAAGAATTTTCTTCAAACTTTACTCAAATGTTCACCTCAACAAGGTTATGTGCAGAATCCATGCCACCTTTGTGCTGGCTAACGGTCAAGGTCACACTTGAAGGTCAAAAATTGACTTAGAAAATGTTCTTAAATTTTAACATGTACTTGAATATTTCTGAAACTAGCACAGGTATTTGCTTGAAACTTAAAAGATATATGAGGTGTCACAAATTAGATATGCAGGTTAAGTTTCATAACTCTGTATTGCATTTTGACAAAGTTATGCCCCTTTTTTGTCTTCAAATTTACATACAATCAATACTAGACAATATGTTGTGTCTGCTCTATAAATTCTATACTAATGGAAGGATTTTCTTCAAACTTTACTCAAATGTTCACCCCAACTGGGCAATGTGCAGAACCCATCTTACCCTTGTGCCAGCTTAAGGTCAAGGCCACACTTGAAGGTCAAAAATTGACTTATAAAATGTTTAGTACATTGGGAAAATGAAAGGTTATTTGTAACTGTTTCGAACATGATTTGATAATATATATTTATACTATTACCTGTACAATTAGTCTTTTTTTCACCAGAGATAATTTCTTTTTATGTATTTGTGCCACTTAAGTTATTCCCTTAACCACCTTTCCAAGTCGTCTTCTGTCAAGGACATTGGTGGGGGTATGAATCGCATTCAGCGATAGTTCTAGTTATCATTAAATTAATGCATGTATGTTTTTAGAGACTTTTTTAAGATTTATAAAAATGGTAGTTTTGTTGTGGTATTGGAACACTAATTTGTCTTGAGAATTGCTTCAAAATAGTCTGAACTTAGTCTTTTGTTCAGAAAATGTCCAATTAAAGTTATGTGTTTATATCTTTCAGGCACGTATAATGGCCACTATAGGAGTGACACGTGGACTAGGTGACCATGATTTGTATGTGTTTGACTCTGACATTTGGATTAAACCTTTTCTCTCCTGTAAACCAGAGGTTTGTTGTATTTATATTAAATTACCTCTGTTAAAATGAGATATCAAAATTATAACATAAGAGGATTGATTGCTGATATTTACTTTGTGATTTACATTAATTTTTCAAGCCATAATCAATGTAATGTTTAAAGAAGATTGATTTAGCATCATATTTAATGTGTAGATATTCTGTACTTAATAGAGTATAACAACATCAGGTAACGTTTAAACATGGCATAATCATCAGTGTTGTGAAGGATGTTGAAGATATTAATGTGTAATACTTGTACACTGTAAATATTGGGAACTAAATGGGTAGATAACTCTTAAATTAAACTTTACACTGTCTTGCCACTTTTAAGAATTATTCGGGGAAGTCCATTTCTCAAAAACTATCAAAATTTTCCCATTTCAAATTGGCAGGAAACCTTTATTTTCGTTTTGCAACAGTTAATCTCCTTTCTGACCATAACATTGCATATTTAAGATTTATTATTCAGGTACGTGTGATAGATCTTACAGAACATCAGTGGACAGAGGATGATGTTTTGATACTTGGCACTGACGGATTATGGGATGTCATTACAAACCAAGAAGCCTCAGATATAGTCCATAAAGAATTCTCATCTTGTAACAAAACTGATCTTAAAAAGTAACTGAATCTATTTTAAAGCTATATTTGTTTTTGTATATACTTACAGATGAATAAATAGTTTTTCTTTAAAATATAAAATTATAAAAAGTTATAATTATAAAGTGTTTAAGAAATGGAAAAATATAACAAGGATAGTAGGTGCTTTATTTGTTCACTTCAATTTCATAGTCTTGTAAAGCTTATAATATAAAAAAAACCTTTGCGATGTAAAGAAAGCTTCAGCAAACGGCATAAACTCCATGCATATGAAGTATTTGCATTTATTTTTCATGTTTCAAAGAACCTCCTGTGACTGAGGGTTGAAATTTCATATGTTTAATCAGTTACATACAAACAATCCAAAACAAAAGCAAGCTCTATTGTTATGAGTTTACAAAAATTCAATAATCTTACGGAAGGTCAGTTTTACACTTAAATGCCTGTAAAGCTATAAAAACATTATTCCATACTGGTCAGTGTGCCATTATGTCCATCATTATTAATTACTGACTGAAAACCAATGAAAGTAAACTACATGTACATATAATTATCATTTCTCATCTCCTTAGATATACCATAGCCGCTCAGGAACTTGTGTCAGAGGCGAGGGGACACTTTACAGGTCAAGGATGGAAGAAGAGGAATGGTGACACAGCTTCTTTTGATGATATAACAGTTATGATAATTCCTATCTTAACCTACTTAAATCAGTGGAAAGCAGGGCATTTGTTAGATAGTGGTATAACGTAATGGAAATATATTCAATGATTTAAGGTTAGCCGGAACTGACATGATTAGCCATACAACGGATCTCCTCATGATGATTATAATACCTTTATAAGACCTTATTTAAAACCCTATAATTAAAGTTAAGTTAAGTTATATAATGTATTATTGTGAGTGACTGAATTGTTACGCAAATTATTATTTATTTAATATTGACTTATGTTTTCCTCAACCATGTGACCAAGTATATATGTTACAGTATTACAAAAATCCTATATTTTTCAGTACTGATAATTGTATGGTTAATTAATTTGTTATGTAAATTATTATATACATGTTCTGGTTTCCTAGCAGTTTACGGCCCCAAATTGCACTTGTTTACTTATAAAATACAAATTTTGTCTACGGATATTATAAAACAGAACACAGGTAGGTACCTGTCCAGCATTACCTTGTTTTTGATGTTGCTCTTATACTTTATTTTTTTATTGAAATATGACCATGTAACACCTTTTCTAGCTTTTATTTATAATTTCACAGCAGTATTCTTTTTTTCATTTTGAATATCATTTCTAACAAGTAAGCAATGTGAAGGTGATTTTATTTTAGAAATTTTTTTTTCCAACTTTCTTCATATCATATGCAAGTACATTGTTCAAAAGTAGTGAATTTCCTGGAATACTCAATAGGCTGCAATTATTGTAAATGAGCATTCAAACTGGAATTCCCCAGGTGTTTCTTTTATTTCGAATGCAGCAAGTAACTTTTAAACAACAGGCAAATCTTCAAAATATATAAAACAATAGGAAAAACCAAATGTCTCTCTCTTTTAATGAAGTAACATAGATGCCTTATTGGTTAAATTAAACAGAATTGGACTTAAACGATGAACGGCCTGAAAACTGCTAGGGTCTGGAAGCTGCAAGAAAACCAGTACTGAATAGCTAACATGCTTATATAAAATTACAATTGTAAGTTAAAATATAGTACAGTACAAATAGTCAAATTTTAATATCTTAAATATTTTAAAAAAAATTTTTGTTGATATTGTTTGCTTTTCTTTTATTTGAAATTATTGTTTTTAAGAGATTTTCACTTTTGTTAGATTATTTTCTTGTTTTATTTACTATAAATGTGCCATTGTTTATATGTTACTTATTTATAAAATGTATAAAAAAAATAACAACAGTTATATTAAAATGCAACTCTTGATCAGGTAATAATTTATATCAATATGTTTTGAATTGTTATCAGATGATTAAATGATATGAGCCGCATCACAACAAAACAAACATAGTGTGTTTGAGACCAGCATGGATCCAGACCAGCCTGCGCATCTGCGCAGTCTGATCAGGATCCATGCTGTTCACTTAACAAATCTTTTTCAAGTAGAGAAACTGATAGCGAACAGCATGGACCCTGATCAGTCTGCGTGGATGTGTAGGCTAGTCAGTGGATCCATGCTGGTCGCAAACGCACTATGTTGGTTTTGTCGTGACACGGCTCATGTAATTATATTGCATAGATATAAAACATGTAATAGATGTTAACAATTCATATGATGTAAATATTAATTGGGACTTTTGATTCGTTTCTATGAGATATGTGCTAGCTTATGAAAAGTTCAGTGGATCTACTCTGGAGGTTGCTTGTGTCCAAAATTAAAGCATTTAAAGGGACTCCACTGAGGTTTAAAGGCTAAAAACATACCATTTGAATTTCTTACATAAATGAGGTAGGACACTTTAAACAGAAATATATGCAAAGATAGTTAAGAAATATACTTTGAAATAAATTGAAAATCTTATTTTTATGCTTTTCTTAGCCCAATAAGTGAAAAGTGTTTAAACCCTTTTCATTTTGGGTCATTTTTTTACAATTTGAATAATTATTCTGGAAAAACAAAGTGCGCGTATGATCTGAAATTTTGCACAAAGATCAGTGGTGTAAACCTACATCAAATGGTACATGTTTCTGGAAAAAATATTTTCAGTCCGATCATGTCAAAAAAACCTTAGTGGAGACCCTTTATAATAATATAAAAATAGTTGTTAACAATTTTTATTATGATATGAATATTCAATTCAGTAAATTAACTCACAAGGAGACAATGTGTAAAGTTATTATATGATATGCTGAAGTAACGAGTTATGATGTTATATTGTACTTATTTATCTATTAACATAAAATCAGCTATTAGGTAATGTTTGTTGAAACATCAATATAGAAGATGCATTCCATTAAAGAGTACTGGTATATCTTGTGTTTTAGATACTTTTTATAGTATGTTATGCAGATTATATTGAAATGCTATTAGAGACACATTTTTTTTAAACTTTGAAGACTTTTAATCAAACAGTTATCTAGTTCATATTTATTATTATCAGTGTTTTCATACATGTATTCCATACAGAGTTTGTGATAAAATATACATTCCATATTTAACATTCCCAGGTTTTTTTTAACTTACATGTATATGTACCTTTATTTTTGTTTTGTTCAAACAATTCTTAAATTCATGATTTAGCAGGTTTGATGTTGAACTTTTTCAATATCATGATTCTATTTACTTGTCAATTTTTCTGCCAGTTATTTGTTGTGTACGTGGAGGAATGGATAAATTGTAAAATTTCTGATGTTTGACTATTTTTTCTACATTTCTGATTACTTTTAACAAATAATTTTGATAAAATTGTGCATTTTATGTTTACATGTACAGTTTTAAACATTCTGTCAATATGAAAAAGGAAAACTGACAAATATTTATGATCGGAGTTAAGATTTCGAACCGAAAACCATTGTAATTGAAGAAAAGCACATTATCAGTGAGGCAAGCAGGATATGTGATAAAATGTAAGTTTCTATGTAATAATAATACATGTATATATATATACTGTTGTGCCATATGTCTAATGTCCAATTTTTTTTTTTTTTTTAATCATTTGAAACTGAGCCTTGCCAAATAAAGAATGTCATTATATATGTATTGATACATCTCGGCAGTCAATATTGGCAAATACAGTAAAACTTCTGTAGAGCAATACCTCGTGAGATTGTTGCCGAGAGGTGTTGTTCTAGAGACGTAAAATTCATTCTGATGTTAAGGGGTTAATGGTGTACAGAGGGTCACTGTAATACAAATACTTTTGTCTATATATATTTTTTGGGGGTACATTCCCTCCCCTTCCCCCCTCTCCCAAGCAATGAATATTTTTTTTAAAACATTCATTGTGTAGTCAGGGATTTTTTTTACAGGTTGGAGAATGCAGCCATGCCCTTAATTTGGGGGGAAAATTACACAGTATATTTTCAAAGAGGAAGAGAAAACTTTATGTAAATTAAATTTTTGGGAAAACTGCATAATTTTAATGAATATTTCTTTGGGGAAGCAGCCCTATAACAGCCCCTGATATAGCCCTATAACAGCCCCTGATATAGAAGGAAAAAAAACCAGAACAGTTGATGCCTGTGTGTGTGCATTTCAATAATCTTTATATTGAAGTGTAGAGAAACATTCCATTATCTATATTTGAATAATGTTGATACAATGAAGCTGTTATATTTTTTATCAATGTCTGAAGTTTATGTGATATGTTTTAAAATACAAAATGTACATTGTAGCTTTAAAACTTCCAGTTTATATTAAAAGTCTTACATCATTTTGGGTTGTTTTGTTTCTTTCAATGGTTTCAGCCCGGTCTATTGGACAATAAACACTTGCATCTACAAAGAACAGTTCCAATTAAATACATAGCAATTCTTGTACATAGGTAATTATTGTACAAAACTAAGGTGAATTATTGTACAAAACTAAGGTAAGAAAAATGATGATTTGTCGATTCAGTGATAGCCTTAGACAAGATAAAAAGACATATACTACCTAAATAAATCACAAACAATTAGTTGTATTTGACATAATTTTATTATAATACATTATGCACAGTAAAAAAACAATACAAATTCTTAGAAATATTTATACTCTCTGTACCAGCATTGAATTTATAAATTTACTATTTTATAGACCAAGTAACTATGCAATCATTTCTGGAATTCATGACCTGACTGTGTTGGCTTGTACAACCTTTATTAACAGATTTAATAATTATCTTTTGTGATCACTTTTTCATTTTATTTGTTTGTTTGTTTCATTTTACGCCTTTTCCTCCCAACAGTATTTCAGTCATATAGGCGGGTAGTTTCCTAACCATCGTTCCCGGAGAGTCACCAGTACTAGACTACCTTCCTCCGCGCTAAACTACCAAAGCATCTCCCGGGGATCAAACCCACGCCAGAGAGGTAACTGGATTAGAAGTCATTGACTCTAACCCCTCGACCACGGAGGCAGTTTTTTCAATTTCTAAATTCAAATATTGATGTTAATACTGGGCAAAACTTGAATCAGACATTTCCAACCTTAATTAAAAAAATTATGTCTATTCACATCTTCCAATAACACCTTGTACATAAAAAAAGACTAACAAAGAAAAAGATTTCTAGAAACATAAAATGACGATATCATACAAAATATACATTATGATAAAGACCTGCCTTTAAATTCTGTTGTTAAGTTGGGGGTACACTTCAGTTAGAACAGTTTTACCTAAATTAGTACTTACAATAGAGTAAAACAACAAAAAACATTATGCGAACATGTATATACAGATGATTATAAATGAAGATTCAGTCCTACATCAAATGATAATTTTACATTTTTTGGTAGCGCTTTGATAAATTTAAAAGATTGCTGCACATGTATTGTTCCCTGGGCACTGTACAGTGACATTTCTTGTTTTTGTTCCAGTCACACGTCACTATATGTCTTACACAGTCAGACAACAGTTGACTACACTATATGTATTTAAACTGTGTAAACACATGTTTTTATCATAGAAAAATGGCATATATCTTCTGTGTCTACATATTGTCACGATGAACACATCAAATATGTTGATTGTTTTTCCATTGCACTGTCTAGAGTTGTTTCGTTGTGTGTGTAGTTACATGCTCTCTCATTCATCAATGTATGGTAGCCAAAATGCCTGATAAATGTAACAAATCAAAACTATTTTATCTCAAAGTAGAAAATAAAATGGAAAATTTAAGTAGAAAAAAAAAACAGATAAAAAGTTTGCTACAGTAAATATTTCTTGCTTGAACTAATATTAATATTATTAATATTCCTACATTTTAAAGTTAAAATTGAATATGATGAACTATGTCATTCTGTGAACATGTATATTATAAAAATCTTCAAGAAAAACACTGTATGATGTATTGTCAGTACATCTTAATTTTACTTAACTTATATTTAAATTCTTTTAAGTTTGAAATATTTGTGGGTTTGTGATAAAAATTAAAACAAGAATTTACCATATTTGTACAAGACGTTGACAGCATCATGAATTTAGGATTGAACCCAACACATTGTACTGGTCCAGGATGGTCACAGCTCATTGTTGCAACCTTAGCTCCACTTTCTGTATTCCAGCAGTGTACACGGCCATCTGTTGAACCGCTGAACACAAATTGTGAATCTGGACTGAACGACACCTCTAATGGTATACCTTTTGTGTTTGTATGTCCCTAAAATAATTAAAATCTTATATTATACAATTAATGTTGTGATGATGAGGTGAATATCCAAGTCTATTGACATTGCTAATGTGATTTTCACTGAGGCCAAAGGCAACATGAGGGAAATGGGTAGACCTTAGTCTAGTCTAATAATAGTTTATAATGGTAAACTTAACCTGTAATAAGACTAGTAACATGTTATCTGCTAACCTATTGTGTTGTTTCTTCACATTGAATACAAGTTGGAAAAAAATAAAATTCAAAACTATTTAAAAAAAAAGATCATGAACCTGAATCTATGTATCTATAAAAGAAAAAATATATATACCCATCACTGGAAAAAAAGAGAAATGTTCAATTTTGAGCTGATTGATGCTGGTACTTATATTTAACATATAATTATTAGTCACATGGTAGACCAAACTTGGGATTGTACCAAACAAATGCTGTTCTAATAGTTCAAATACTTTCTCCACTTTTGACACTAAAAAAATCAAGATCATGGAGTCGAGATTCAAATCTTAAATGTGTACAATATTCAAAGTAAACTTAACATTTAATATAATAACCCCTTAGTGAGAGCTTTTTTTAGAAAATCACGAAAGTCACTAAAAATCTAGCCAAACTTTCTTTTTAAACAGGAATAAAATCTAAAAATTAGTCTTATTTACATTATTTCTCTACTGAAACTACATGTAATTAAAACAAAAGACATTATTTGCCTAGTTTTTGTTCAGAGGTAACAATTGGAAATAAAATACTGTTGCACAAAGACAAAAAACATGAAAACTATGTATTCCACTAAATTCACTATAATACAAAAACAACATTAACAAATTTTATGAGAAAAACAAACAACTGTTGCAACAAGTGTTTAAACAAGTATACCCCACTCAGATAGTTCTTTACAATTCTTGTATAGGAACTCTCAAAAGGGTCATGTTCAAGTTCTTTCTTTTTTCCAGGTATCTGATGTCAAGGTTATATAAAAAAAATTTTTAATGAATATACCAGTACTGGTAGCTAGAATTTTTTTATTTTTACCAAATATTCTACAGCTTCTCTTTTTTAAAAGCTAGAATTGCTTACAAATAGATCAACACCTACTACTAGATAGTCATTTGAATTACCGTATAAAGAAAACAACTACTTCCGGTTAATATCACTAACTGTGTCATGTATCAGCTGACGTAAAACCTCAACTTTTACTATTGAAGATGTACAATTATTTGATTGTGTTTCAAACAAATCAGTACATGTGCAGCATCTGTAAACTAAAGATTCTTATATAACTAAGAAGACCTTAAGTTTCCTTTCTTACAAGTTTCTAAAGTATCAGTTACTGCCTTGTTTTGATTCAAGTTGAGTAAAGGACTCAGTTTCCATTATTTGCATTATTCTAGACCATCTATTGGTAAGAAAATTAGCTTTATTTAAATGACTAAATGTTGCAAGCAGAATCGTACATACAAAAGGAAGTATTTAGACTGGGGTAATAAATCTCACCACAAATGTTTGTAGAGGAGTTCCCTGGAAGGCATCAATAAGACGTATAACCTGACCATTTGTTGATACTACTATCAGTTTACCATCAGGACTAAACTTCATCCCTGTCCAATCACAATCTTTATCTTGTGGTAGTTTAAATGTTGCAAATGGACCCTTAAACATGGAAAATTTGAAAATAAAACAATGTTACATGTACCTAGTTTACAAAGACAGATATTTTACAAATTATAAGACCAATATATTTAACCAATAAACCTGCAAGAACCAACACTGTTTGGCCTTTGCTACCGGTATTGAGCCATGCCATCTGGCATTTGCCCAAGTGCAGTCTAACAGGCTCTACTGTTGGTAGATCAAATAAATGGACTGTTTCAAATTCTAAGCAGGGCTATTCTATTAAACAAATTCATCAGTTTAAAGGCAATGAAGTTTATATCTGTGTTTTACTGTAACTTCATTAAAAGTTATTTGCTGCTATCCATTTATTTCATTAAAAATGCATATGTGTTCTAATATGATATAATATAAATAATATGAATTTAGATCTATTTTTTACCCTGTCAAATGAACGGAGATCATAAAGTTTGACACATTCCGAGTTTATACCAGCTGCAAAGATGAGACCTTCAGGATCAAAGGTTGCCACTGGTCGACCTGGTAAATGCATCTGTCCCTGAATAAAAAAATTCACCTTGATAATACATTATAACTTTCAGTAGAAATCTTTAAAAATGTTCCTTGACAAGCAAAAGTGACACATAGCATTACCTGGCTATAATGAGCGCTTTAATACTTATTTAAAGTTTAAGGGTTTTTTTGTTATTTTTGTCTTGTTGTCTTGTAAATATATGTAACCACTTTTACAAAGGAAGATGAAAGTAACTTACATGCATAATTTTGTTCTGACCTCATCAAACTAAAAAGCATTTTTTAGGGGAAAAAATCTTACACAAAGCGGTTTTATTTTCAAACTTGGCATTGAACCCCATTCATGCTTTTCAAACCATTTTAAATGCATATTGCTCTCACTAGCGGCTAAGAAAATGAATAAAGAACATATGAGCCGCGTCATGACAAAACCAACATAATGGGCGCATCCGCACAGTCTGATCAGGATCCATGCTTTTCGCTTACCAACACTATTACAAGTGGAGAAACTGACAGCGAACAGCATGGATCCATATCAGACTGCGCGGATGCGCAGGCTGGTCTGGATCCATGCTGGTCGCAAACCCATTATGTTGGTTTTGTCATGGCACAGCTCATATTATTAATTTACCTGACAGTTTTGTGATCTGAGATCCCACAATCTAATGGTCTTGTCCAACGATCCTGACAAAAATGTGTCATTTATTGGTGACATATTCAGACATACTACCCTAGAAAATAGGAAAGCAAAGACACTATTTTAACAAATATCTTTTTAAAATAAACTTAAATTTTATTATATTTAAACACCCTACACATGAACAGACAAATCTTGTGTCTATTTAATATGACAGAAATCAATTAAATTTTCATATTTCATATAATATATCAATCAATTGATATTAATTAATTGACAAACTAGTCAACAATGTTCACAACGTATGAATAGTCATAGATTTGATATAAACCATTATCCTGAAACAATTACAATGGTTCCGAACATTTTAATACCCAATACCCAAGGACATACTATCAAGGATTTTTGTTTTATGCCTATTGATAAAATAACACATCCTTGGAAAAGACTTTTAAAAGAGACTTCTTGGATACATTTGTACATCTCTTAGATACTGTTATCTCCAAATGGAATGAATTCCAAAGTTTTGTTTTAATATCTGTCAATTACTAAAAAGTATTTTTATATATCTTAGTTAGTTTTAATTGTTTTTTACTTAATATATGCGTTTTAACTGCTTTCTTCACCAGTATAATGCATCAAATTGATCATGTCTATGATTATTACGCCAAACTTTTTGTTATGTTTTGACATCCTCCCTATCGACGTCATGTGACGCCGACATAATTTCCTGTATATTGTTATTATGTACCCCGAAGAAGGCTGTTCAGCCAAAACGTTGGTATATTAAAGGGAATTATAGAATTTGCAGTCGACTACTTATTTTTTACTATATATCAATTAAGAACTTCACACAACAAAGACCATCTCAGTGTAAAGAAGAGTACACATGTAAGTTAAAGGAATCATTGGACTAGTGGTTAAGGTGAATGTCTCTCAACCTAGAGATAGAGGGTTCAAGCCCCACAATCGTTAAGATTATGTTTCCTTGTATGTCACAAGGGTGTGCAGTACTACTGGTTAGTTTCAGGACTTAAGAGTTGTTCAAATAAGCAACAAGCTTTTTTCCACAATCAAGCTAAAATAAGTACAGTCAGGACTCAATACATCGGAATCCATTATACTGACAAATTCAAATAACGACAGTGAATTGATGGGAACCAATTTTTTTCAAAGTTATTATAATCCTTTATAATGGAAAATTCGTATTCCGACTCCGACGCAATAAAATTGGAAACCAAACTTGTTATTTTCTATACAATCAGTACCCGTTAAACTGACACTTGGTCAGTCAAGCGGGCGTATCATCGAGCCTTGAACAAAAGCAGCAAGGTGTTAAAACAGGTATTGTAGCTTGGTCAGTTGATTGTTACACCTTATTACAATAACAAATAAGAAAAGTTTAAAAGACAATTGTCGTTAATTGTCGTTTATTGACAAAGACAATAAACAGTGTTCAATCAATTTTTAAACGTTTAACTTTTATAAGTCCTATCATTGTATGTGCTTTTTATTTTATAAAGTTTTATCATTTTCATATCAATCTTTAACTATTTTAGTTGTTATTATTTTCATAAAGTTGTTGTATTATGTGTATGATATGTAATGTGTATAATAAAGTGAACACATAAACACAAAAATCTTTTTCATCATAGATGTTTAATATAGATCTAAATACATAATTCGCAGATACCAGTGAATAAGCATATTCAATACTAGTATACTGACATATCCTTTGGGAACCAACAGTGTCTTTGTAATGAGTCCTGACTGTACATGTATTATTTTAAACTAAATTAAACTGACAGTCCAGGTTTGTTTGTTTGATTTGGGTTTTACGTCACAACGACACAGTATAGGTCATTTGACAACGTTCCAGCTTTACTGGTGGAGGAAGACCTCAGGTGCCCCTCCATGCATTTTTTCAGGCACGAATGGGTAACAGGTAACCGACATTGTACTGGTAATTTGGTGTTGATATACAAAGTACATCATCAACAATAATGCCTGTAATGCCTTGGAATTTTAATAGAATCCAGTGTGTTAACTATCAAGGTTGTTCATGGCAATCATGATATAAACTACACATATCAATTTTGTACTTACTTTTTAGTGTGTCCTGGGAAATATCGGATATATTTGTTGTCATGCAGTGATAAATACCTTATAGTATCTGTAACAAATTGGAACGTTTGTGTTAAAGGTCACATAAATAAATAAATAAATATCATGCTGCATCAATCAAAAATATGATGTACCAGTACATATTACAACTTTACAATACATCAAATAGTAAAAACTGTTATTTGCCTCATAAGTATATTTTCAAATGAGAACTTAACTAATTTTCAATCTGGTTACCAACAACTTACATGAATGAATGGTATCATAACATGTAGATCTCTTTACTTAAAGTAAAGATTGTCGTACATATTGGTCAAATTTTGTAAAACTCTTGAAGTCAACCTTTTCTATTAAAAGATGATAAAACAGCATATTAAGTTGAAAGAAAACAAGAAATTATAATTAAGTAACTGCTAACAACTTACCATCAACTTTTGTGGAGCTGTGTAGGGCTGTGTTAACAGCATGTGTGTACCTGATTAAATCAACACCATACTTCTTACTGTTCAATGTTCTTTTTGGTCTGAAAAAAAAAACATTAAATACTACAGGTACATATATAAAACATAAAGAAACCACCTTACAAATGATAATCATAAACTGAAAACACAATCATCTGTTTGGCATTATTCAGTGACATAATACACACAGGTGCTTGTGGAATTTTACAAGCCTTTTAGGTTACCTGCCGCTATATTTTCCCTGATTTTCTTATAGCTTTCGTGCCAGTCCACCATTTATTGCCGATTTTGTTCATTTCTCATTGGCAATAAATACGCTGACTTGGACAAGTTGCATACTCATTGTATTTTCTGCGTGAAATACGCAGGACTGTGAGAACAAAAAATTACTTATCTCAGTTGTATATTTTCATTTCATGTTCAGATTAGTTAATTAGATAAATGATTTAATTAAGTGATAATTGCTTAATTTACACATAATTATTCATTAATTAAAGCAGATTGTTATGTACATGTATTGTTGACAGATGTATTTCCTAGAAATTGTATGTATGCTAACATATAAATTTAATCGTTTTCTTAAACTAGAAATTTAAAGTTATGAGTAACTGAAGGCCTAAATCTAAGAAAAATGCAGTATTTATATGCATACCATCAACTGGAAGAACTTATCTTTTTCAGCAAATGCAAATAATATATATCTAACTTTAACATTTTCGAGACATGGTGCCATGATTTTTGAAGTGGGGGAAATGGTCAAGGAACAGAGGGGAATCGTTATCAGTTTTAATATTGATAACCTAACAGTTTAAATCTTAAAAGTAAGATACAAAGAAAATTTTATATCCAGTGTTGCATCTATATCAAATTTCAAAATTATGGGGGATTGTCCACCACTCAACTGACAAGAGGGCCATGATGGCCCTGAAGTCGCTCACCTGTATATAGGCCCCGGAGCGGGGCCAGTTTAAACCCCAGGGCTTTTATTTGAACAAACTTGGTAGACACCCATTAGAAGATGTTTCATGCTAAACATCTAAGGTCTAGCTGGTCAAGTTTTTTCTTTACACATATAGTTAAAAACAATGACACACCTGGGGCAGGGCCAGTTTTGACCCAAGGGCTTTTATTTGAACAATCTTTGTAGACACTTACTAGAAAATGTTTCATGCTTAATATCTAAACTCTAGCTTTTCGGGTTTTTTCAAAGAAGATTTTTAAGTTTTTGCTATACACATGTAAGGAAAATCAATGTCATGGGGGGGGGCAATTATGACCCCAGGGTTTTATTTGTACAAACTTTGTAGACACTCACTATAAGATGCTTCGTGGTTAATATCTAAACTCTAGCTATTTGAGTTTTTTCAAAGAAGATTTTTTAAGTTTTTGTTATACACATATAAGGAAAATGAATGACCCCCGGAGCGGGGCCAATTTTGACCCCAGGGCTTTTATTATAACAAACTTGGTAGACACTCACTAGAAGATGTTTCAAGCTTAGTATCTAAACTCTAGCTATTTGTTTTTTTTCAAAGAAGATTTTTTAAGTTTTTGCTATACACATATAAGGAAAATCAATGACCCCCGGGCAGGGCCAATTTTGACCCCAGGGCTCTTATTTGAACAAACTTGGTAGACATCCATTAGAACATGTTTCATGCTAAATATCTTAGCTCTAGCTCTTTGGGTTCTTGAAAAGATTTTTTAAGTTTTTACTATATGCATATAGGGAAAATCAATGACCCCCTGGAGCGGGGCCAATTTCAGAAAACAGAAAAAAATCCGATTGTCACATACTTTCGCGACACCGGTAATTTTGATATTTATTTAAAGGTGAAAATAAGCTATGTTATGTTTAAATTTTTTACTATTATGGCAGAAAATTTTTATAAAATTGGTGATGATGACATTTTTCTGTAAGTTATTCAGAAAAAAAAGGTTGCATTCTGTGAATGAGTTTGCAAGTGTTATTTCTATTTATAGGCTAATATGACCTAGATTTACTAACGTGGAAATTGACAGTGGTTACAGCTGACAAAATTTGATTAGAACAAACAAAAGAAATTGTCTGATAACAGCATTATGTAAAGTTATAATGAATCTTTAATATAATTGTTATAGGGCGATTGTTATACAGTAATTTTACTATATAACATTTTTATTCTGTTCTATAACAATTAAAGTTGTGGTTCTATGTAAAAAAGGTAGTGATCAATAAATTATATACACAAATGTATCAGTTTATTTGAGAATCCTTATAAAACTGAAAAGTTTTATATGTAATGTTTATTTAATCAACTGCATATGTTGTTAATCGCTAAATCGTGAATAGTCCGCTGAACTTTTGGCTATTATTTTTTTGGTCCTGATGAAGGTCGTATAGACCGAAACTAGTAGACACAAATAAAATATTGTAAATTTGCTCTGGTGTTGACATGTATTACTCATTAATTTATATTTCCTTGGTTGATTATTTTTTTAAGTTAAAAATATTGGCTATTATTTTATTTGAGGCAGTGTGAGCCCTGCTCGTTAAACATTTCAGGAAGGTATATTCAGAATAAAAGGTGGTTCTAGCTCATACACATACTTAGGCCAATTGAAAATAACGATAAATATATGTAACAATTTTAATATGTTGAATGCATTGAAAAAAACACAGGTATTCAACATACATATTTATTTTTGTTACGGGAGGGCTTTTGTCTGCCTTGTTAATTTCACGGGAGGGCTTTTGTCTGCCCAGTCGTTTTCATGGGAGGGCTCTTGTCCGCCCTGTTATTTTCACGGGAGGGCTTTTGTCCAACCTTGTCATTTTCACGGGAGGGCTTTTGTCCGCCTTGACATTTTTTTGACGGGAGGGCTTTGTCCAGGAGGCTTTTGTCCGTTTCCCATAGTGAACTCTTGCGTGTATTAGACTTTGTTGATGTTGACACACATTCTTAACTAGCGGATTAACAATAATAGGTTGTAATTGAGAGGTAGACAAAGTGTTAACAGACTTGGCATTGTAAATAGTTATGACAGATCATTAAAAAATGGCGCAACTTCAAAATGGCTTTGAAGTTTGTTTTAGGCGAAGTCGCTGATCCGAAGGCGACTTCTTTGCCCAAGTCACCCCTAGCTCAAGCCCTGAATAACATAAGATACTTATAATTATGATTATTACACAATCTCACATGAAGCAGCTAAAATGAATTCATTTAGAGATTAGTTAGCAAATGAACGTCAATAATAGAAATAATAATAAATGCTATCAATATTAGTCGCGAATTTAGATGACGTGAACTTACGTTCCTCCTTGACAGTCATATATCACAATAGAATCGTCATCGCTGCTAGAAATCAATGTTTCACCATTCGAAGAAAAGTCAATACTTGTTATTTTATCCGTATTTTCTCTAAATATTTTAGCAACACGGAAATTTCGCACAACATTCTCTGTCAATTTCATTTCGTCGATGAACATTGTTGACATTAAGACTGGTTCCATATATTCATGACCAAGAATGAATGTTTTGATACAGAAAATGACAACCAGTTTAATGAACGCCAAAAATTATGTTATACGAAAAGCTTCTTTTATCCGAAAATACTTTTTTTCCTTATAAACGGATTCGTTTAATAAGACAAACCAACGTTTATTTTTTAGGATAGAAAGTCAAAGCAGATCATCTAAATTAGAAAAAGATGAAATTCTTTTTTCAATGTTTATGATATACTTTATAACAGTGCAGCAGAAAATACTTTAAAGAAATCATAACTTCATTACAGTAAACCTCATTTCAGAACCTAGTATACTTATCACTTTCATACATCATAAACATCGTATTATTGATACGTGATAACGTGAGCGACTGTACAGTCTAATACCCCATTCCCTAGACCTGCTTAGAGGTAAAATACAAAAAGAAATAAGGAACTCATACTGGTTGTATTTAGACAAGGTCATTTTCTTTGATTATTTACAACCAGGAAAGAGTAAGAAGTTCTACTCTCTCATCAAATCAAACAAAACAGGAAACTGTGGAGTAGCACATTTAAAGAGTGATGGTCAAACCTTTACTGATTCTAAAATGAAGACAGACATACTAAATAAACAATACAATTTGAGTGTGTCTTCTCCCGCCCCAACCATTAAGTCTAAACCAGTCATGTAAACAATTCCTTACACCAAAACAAACATCCAAAACTTCCAAATGTCAACATAACAGGGGAAGGAGTAAAGAAACTCCTCAAATGTTTAAACCCAAGCAAAAGCCTCTGGTCCCGACCAACTGTCCCCAAGGTTATTGAAAGAACTTCATACTGAAATTGCCCCAGTTCTCACACACATTTTCAAAATTTCCCTAAAATCGGGTACTGTCCCTCATGATTGGAAGCACGCAGTCGTTGCCCCTGTTTATAAGAAAGGCCCAAAATGTAACTACAGGCCTATATCACTAACCTGCATTGCCTCTAAGCTAATGGAGCATATAATTGTCTCCAATATCATGTCTTTCTACGACAAGCATGATATTCTCAGCAATGTCCAACATGGTTTCAGGTCAAAACATAGCTTATCAGTCTCACCCATGAAGTTCATGACAATCTAGAGAAAGGCCAACAGACAGATGTCATTGTCACGGACTTCAGCAAAGCAATTGATAAAGTCGACCATCACAAACTTCTCCTTAAACTACACAGACTAGGTGTTAGCTCAGAGGTCATATCATGGACTAGGTCATTTTTATATGGTCGCACCAAACAGGTCGATCTTGATGGTCAAAACTCTGACAACCTACCTGTTCTCTCTGGTGTCCCCCAAGGCTCGGTCCTGGGACCTTGCCTCTTCTTATTCTACATACCTTCCTGATAGTGTTAAGGGCAAGGTCAGGCTATTCGCAGACGATACAATAGTATATTTAACAATCAAATCAACCCAAGACGCCCAAACCCTCTAAAAAGATCTCAACAGCCTTGAAAACTGGGAATCTGATTGGTCCATGGAATTTAATCCAGATAAATGTGAAATCCTTAGTATCAGCCGCAAGAAACATCCAGTATACATTCCCCTATAATTTACAACTAAAATCCACTGAGACTGCAAAATATTTAGGCGTAACAATTAGTAATGATTTATCCTGGACCAATCACATAAATAAAATAACAGCAAAAGCAAAAAATTCACTCAGATTTATAAAAAGAAATGTCAAAACTTCAAATAAAAAGGTCAAAGAAACTGCCTACAAAACTTATGTAAGGCCCCAGTTAGAATACTGTTCCACGGTTTGGCATCCTTGGCAAAAATATCTGGTTTAAAAATACAACAAGTTCAATGGTCAGCTGCCAGATATGTATACAATGACTACAATTACACCAGTAGTGTATCTAAAATGATAAATGAACTTAATTGGCAAACCCTAGAATAGAGGCACAACATCAGCTGTTACCCGTCTCTACAAAATCCAACACAGTCTTGTGAGGGTCGACCATCACCACCTGACACCCACTAGAAACATGAACTACCAAATACCATATCCAAGGACACAATACCAGTCATTTTCATTTCCCCTAGAAGTATTCGTCTGTGGAATGACCTACCTGTGTCCTTACAAGCTAGTTCCAGTTTAGACCTCTTTACTGGGCAGCTGCATCCTTTTTACCAGTTCTAAGTCAGCTTTGTTTTTAACTTTTATCTCAGTCTTGTAGTTCTTTTTAACTTGCTTTTACATTGTGTTTATAAATTTGCACTTTAACAGCTATTTCCAGACAACGCTCCTGCTTAGTGTAATCGATAACGATTTTGAAGCAGTATAATGTAGTTTTAGATACTTAAATACAAAATAATTGTATTGTTGTATCTTTTTTCAAGTATTCTTATAAATTGCAAGTTTTTACAAAAAAGATAAAGATACCTTTAGTGTAGCTCTACTGTAAAGAAGCATTCTCAAACAACAACACGTACATGTATACATCCTTCCTGTACTTAGTTTGGGGAAAAGACACAAACTCATACATCAATATTAAAAGTAAATTCAATGGAAAAAGAGCTACCAGAATTATACTTAATAGGCCGATACGTTCGATTTATAAAAATCAATTTTTTCAAAAACAGCTGTAAAAATTTTTTTTTTTAAGTTTACAGTTAGATACATGATGAAAATTTACCACTTTATATTGTAACTGTTGTAAATGTTGATACCTTCATTTTCTTTTCAATTATTACGAGATTATCTAGGATTAACATGAGTGTCAGATGGCTGAATGAATGCAAATATCTAACCTTTACACCCAAGAATGTATTCATATTTCTTTTTGGTACAAAAAGATTTTAAATTTTGTATTGATCTACATTTTTTTTTATACTGTGTTATTGTGAAATCAGACGACCGTACTGAAAATAAGTATAAATGTGTAAACTTTTTATGTTACCTTCAATAAATAAAGATTTTATTTTATTGTAATTATTATTATTATTATTATTATTATTATTGTTATTATTATTATTATTATTATTATTATTATTATTATTATTATTAATGTAAAAAAACTGTCAGTTGCTTTGTGCTCCAAAAGTGTAATGTTACTTTTTAAACTATTGCATTTAATTTATGGTTACCTATTTTTGTATTTTTTTAAGTTGATACTAGTTGCTTATATGCTTTTAAACCATAATTTGCACCTCACCCTAGTTTGAGTGTGTATGTATGTCTTCTCTTTTAAAGTTAATGAATGCATGTTTGCTCTTTATAGGCACATTCCTCAAAAACGAATAAATTGTTACTTTATTGGAAAAGACAACCATGAGTTTTATAACGTATAAATGATAGATTTAGAGCATGCTAGATACTTGTTACATGTACCTGAAGAAAATAGACCTAAATTTGAAGTTATTTGTCAGGAAATAACAGCAAAATGTAAACAATGTAGTATCTTGACTGATGCACTTAAACTGTACTAATTGCTGAGAGGCAACAGGGAGAAAAAGATGGTTCAAGTAATTTGCCAATGAGTAACATTTTGGAAACTATAAAAGTACATCAAAAATAAAAAAAGCTTTTGAAAAATGAAAATAACTGCATTTCAGGGTCATATAATGGACGTACCTTTATCGTTTTTGTTTTGTTTTATATATAGATGTAAAGGTATGTTACCCTTGACAAGCACGTCAGTTGGGACGAGCAGTCATCAAGGTCGTTATTTGTCTTAATCCAGGCCAGTTCTTATACATTGTAGCTCTACGTTGACACCCCCACCACCTTCCGCCCCTGCACCCCACACTGCTGTCCATGAGATTCCCGTGGCAACCGTTAGATAAACTACCCTTTTATTGTATTTATTATTTATTTTTATGTTTTTTTTATTTAAGTCTCGTTCTTATTAAGCCCTTGTGCCTTGTCCTGTTTCTGTTTGGTGTCCTACTGGGTTCCTTGTTGGTGGTCAAGTTTTGCTGATTGTGATATATGTTCAGAAGTGATGCCACTGATGAAAGATGTTACAATACAAAAAAAATATATATAGAAGGGAAAATAATGGTCATAATGAGAGAGGAACAAATAGGTAAGATATCATAAAAATCAAACTGTAAAATGCTACATTTTGCGCATTAAGCTTAGTTACCGCATTACGCCTCTTATTTGTCTTTATTGTTCATTAATATATCACTGCAATAAACAAACGGCTTGCTACCAGTCTGACTTTCCGACCAATCAAAGTCGAGCTTTCTTGTACTTAAAATGCAGAGGGAAATACAAAAAATAATATAATATTTTCGACGATTCTGGTCTAAAATTCAAGTTGTCAGTCATAGTAAATGAATTTATTCTTTTGTCATTATCCTTTGAAGTGTATATGCCAGTTACGTTGCTGTTAGATCATTTGTTAGAAGCTTTTAGAAATGTCACAAGTTTTCGCGTGCCTGTCATAGGAGAGAGACACTATTCGGGTATTCACAAATATATACAAACATACTGCTTTTAAAATTAAATAAGGTAACGTCATTTTGAGGTGATATGCTCATCAACAGACCCCTATGTATTTATTTTTTCAGCATCTTCTATGTAGTACAAATATGGGGGATTTCTTGATATTTATGGACAGTCCATAATTTTTTTGCAGGTGTTTCAGTTTGGCCCATTGTTTGGACACTACTAAGGGTGTAACAGTATAGTATACGGTACTTGCAGTATATCGTACCGTTTTGACTCGGTACGGTTCTTGGTATGACAAATCACCCGTTGGGTACGGGACGGTACAGCATTTTATACCATTTTCAAGGGGAGTAATTATTTAAGTATAAATTTGCAGAAGATGAATTTAAATCCGCTTCAATGGGTTTTAAGTCCGAAGTATGGACGCTTTTTTGATTTCAGGTGAAAAAATTATTGGGAAAATGTCTTCTTTGACTGCTACTTCAATGTCCTGAATTTATTTTTCCAACATATTGTTATTTCTGTAAGAACTGACCATCAGCTGAAACGGCCTATTTGGAAACACTTTTTTGCCAGCTGAAATTCATAATTAAATAATAATACGATATCTTAACACTTTTCTGCAAATAAAACCCACTTTGCTGAATCCAAAATATTGTCAAAAGATGTGTAGCTGTGTAGAGTTATGGCAACACTATTTTGTTGGATATTTTCCATACTGTCCGTACTGTCAAGGGATATATTTAATGTTTGTAAATAATATGAATGTATAATAAGTGAGTATAGTAAAATTATTTTTGTGTTCAGCTTAATATTCTCATTATGACACATGGTCTAGGCAAATTGTGTTACTAAAACTCAGATGAACATTTTAAATTTTACTATAAAACTCTAGAAATTTATCCAAAATAGCATTCACCTTACATATGAAATTTTCAATAAAAATGTGATATTTCTATTACCTGTGCATCTATTTGAATGATATGTTTTATTGTAGATATTTTAATTCTTATAGTTTCAAAAAAATATTAAAGGGACTCCACTGAGGTTTTTTGACATGATGAGACTGAAAATATTTTCCAGATAAATGTACCATTTGATGTAGGTTTAGACCACTAATCTTTGTGCAAAATTTCAGATCATTTGCCCACTTCGTTTTTCCAGAATAATTATTCAAATTGTAAAAAATGACCCAAAATGAAAAGCGTTTAAACGCTTTTCACTCAAATCGGGCTAAGAAAAACATAAAATTACGATTTTCAATTTATTTCAAAGTATATTTCTTAACTATCTTTGCATATATTTCTGCCCCAGCTCATTTATGTAGGAAATTTAAATGTTATGTTTAAGGATTTTAAACCTCAGTGGAGTCCCTTTAAAGCTTTGAACCTTTTATTTAACAATCAAAATGTCAATAGAAAATATGTTGACCAGGTCATTCACTTGATTTCAAGCCATACTGCATCATTTAATGCAAATGACTCATTTGATAAACACTTGATAGTTACGAAATAATGTGGAAATAACAATAATGTTGTTACATCACAGCCTTAAATTAATTTTGCATAATACATCTGTTAAAGGATTACAGACAATTTTCTTTAGTCAATCCATATCGTGATACATATCGTATCATGGACCCTGTACCGCAATGCGTATCTTATCGTTAGGTGAGCATATTGTTACACCCTTAGTCACTACACCCTACCCCCTCTTATATCACCAACTTTTCCTAAACACTCTAAACTGACAGTGTTTTTTCAAGTTATATGCATTGAAATATTATATATGTGATTGTGATAACATTTTTTCATTAAAAAAAATTAAATACATATATATTTAGTAAAGGTATGCAACTTGCCGTTCATTTTTTTAGCACTAGTCCAAATGTGAACTCCAGAACTCCAACTTTTTTTCTTCAATCTACTGCACCAGTTACTTTCAAATATGATAGAGAATTTGACATTGTGATTTTTTGAAACATGAAAAAGGGAAGTATTTCTTACAAAAATGTAGGCAATCAAAAATCTTTTCTTGAATATGTATCATGTAATGTGGATAATGCCTAGTTAACAGACCCAAGTTTAAACACACCTTTAATTACAAAAGTTGTGGCAGGAATAAACCACTTTTGTTATTTTTTTAGAAAAATCTACCTATTAAGTGTTAAGCCTGATTACTAAAATTCCAACCACTTCAATTTTGTTTTGATGTACCAAATAGACAGCTGTTATTTGGAAGCATTTTAATGGGTATTCATAACAGAAGAAATATTTTGAATGAATTTTTTGATAATACACCAGGTGTGTAAACAAATATAAATTTTGCTTTTACTTTAACTGTTTTTGGAAGGGGCATCATGATAAGCAGTCTTGTCTGTATTTAGGATAATGTATGCAGTATAGTTTTCTTGCTACTGAAAATGCCTTTTCTTTCTTCAGATTTTTAGCTTCCATATATTGTGCTGTATATAAGAAGAGATCATGTCAGGTAATATTGTATGTTCATTTTATGGTGATAACTTGATTTTTATATATTTTTAAATTTACATAATTATGATTGACCTTTCTATTGTAATAATGTTACGTACATTAATTCCATGGAATCATTACATATATATATTTATTCTTATCCTTAAGCAAAAACTTAGCGACTTCTTAGGAACTGTCGTATAACTAGCATTCATTTGAATTAATTGAATAAATTTTGTTTGGAAGAAAATACTCTTAAAGTCCCATTTATTCCCAATAATCAAATTATCTAATATTAATTATTTCAAAATTATTACAAAAATTATTGTAATGAAATATTTACAAATTATTTCAGGTCTAAAATGGTAAAAAATTGACATATTTCTCATTTACAAATTTCAATACTTGTTACCTACCTTAAATTTCTGTCTTAGTTACATATTCAGTTCTGTAAAGTTTGTCAGTTTTACATTGGTAACATGTTGACGTCAGTTCAGAACACTAAAGTAAATGTTCAGAGTATTCTTAACACTGAAAAAAAAATGTAAAACATATACAGAAAATATTTAATTTTGATATTTGTGAGAATGAATGTGCCTTTATTCTGTAGCTGTACAGTGGTTTCTTATTATCATTTAGTATTTTCTATATTTGCCAGGTTGTGAGGAAGGTATACTGGTTGATTTTAGTACACCTGTTGAAAACTCCCCTGTCACATCAACAGGTATGAATACTAAATGTTAAAAAATATATTTGTTGAAAAATATATTTAAAAATATTTGTTGAAAAATGTATCTGGAAGATTCAGTGTAATCCTATGCAAACACATTAGAATTAAGTGAAATGTGTTATTTTTTTTTCAAAAGAGCTGTGGTGATAAGTTATATTTTCTTGCTAGTAAGAGCTTACTTCTTTCCTGAGTTTAAAAGATATATAACATTAAATTAGGCAAAGCGGCTGAGTTTAGCCTATGAACGGGGAAGTTGGTGATAAAAATCATTCATTCTCCCGTTATTAAGGTGTCATTCAGTATTTGATGAACCGCTTCTGTCAGTGATCTCCCCTTATCAGTAGAGAGATTACAATCTGCAAAGGGAGGTAATCACTGTGAGGAGTTTGCGGAATACTCGACGATTATAACAGACTTCCGAAAGTTAAAAAAATATGTCAGACATTTGGTATGACATACCATGAAATCTGTCAGACTGAATGAAATTAAACAAAATCAAAGGAAAACTTGGCACCTTTAGTCACGCCATTTTGTATATGTGCAACTTGAATAAAAGTTGGACAATCCGGAGACCTAATCAAAATTTATCACACATGTCCGTCGGTCCGACATATTTCGGGAAGTCTGATATTATTATTTATCTGAAAAGTTGCGATTGTTCGTCATAAGATTACCCCGCCTATTATCATTAACAATGTGGCCATACCACGTGACTTTTCGGGTACGGAACACGCCGATTTTTCACCCGATTCAGGTATGTTTTTTCTTCATAACTTATTTATTACTCAACCGATTTTGATCAGATAAGGCGCAGAGTACCCGTAATTATATAAGTTATCCACAGTATATCAAAATTCTGAAAACCCCTGAATGGTTTTTGAGAACATTCGAGTACAGTTTTCTTTTCATAGCCTTGGCCGAGGGGAACGGTACACACTCATTTGGCATAACATGCGATTACTAGCAGGTCATATGTTTTTTGACACTATTTCATAGAAAAATACATGTTAAATCTGATATATTTACTATGTCCAATGTATCGAGTGAATGCAGTGATGTTTTAGCATATTTTCATAAAGTTATGTTGAAATGATACGGAACACACTGTTATTTCAAAAGATACGGTACACACACAATTTCTGTCTTTGAAACAATTCTAAAATAAAATGTATATAAAAAATAATTTCAATTATAAAGTGAATGATTTTTTTCATAGTTATACATTTTATTAATTTAAACGAGAACCCTGGGACCTGTTTTGCAAAGTATCATTATGCCTACAGTTTGATGTAAACAGGATTATTGAAAAAAATAAAAGAACATTTTGAGAGTACGCTGCGCAAAATTCGATTTTATATGTTGAGCAATTAATTTTTGGCTATAAAATGTTAAAATTTTAGGGAGGGATACGGAAGGCATTCAAAATTTTGTTTTGATTTTCATTTGAAACAATTAGGTATATTCTTTTGGATTATAAAACGAATTATGAAATTCATGGACATCTGTTATGTGCGATTATTATTTTATATAATTTGTTTGTTCGAATATATAAATGACTGTCTAAACGTAGTATGAATATATAAACAAACAAGAAGTTAGGAGTAAGTTGGAAATATATGTTCCTTGCAAAATGTTGTTTAATTTGGAGAAAAAACGCGGGTTTTGATGTAAGTGGATTTTTTTAAATCACGGAAAGTTTATAAAGTTTTTTCGGCCACATGATATTTGGTATGAATCATCTGCCAGGGTCCCAATCTAACTGCATGTATCTTAATTATTATCAAATTATTTACATATGGACAAATATATTTCGCAGCTACACGTGCAATCAAAATTAATAATTTGAAGAACCCATATGGGAACAAGGCCTGTTATATAACGTAACGTAGTTTATACAAGGTAACCTTGTTACATATACATGTAAGGTATACATGTTAGGAAATTTGGTAAAAATATGCCTATCTTGGATTTTCATTTCAAGATGCATTTAACACTTGAGTTCATGGATATGTGTGCTTGCGTGTTTGCGTTAAAAATAAAATGATATTTTAATAATACCCATTTTGTCAATCAAATGCTATGGATTTTGGAGGCTGCGTTCTGTTTTATATACTACATGAAGTAGGTACGAGACCACAAGTGACTTCGATGTTTCGATTTTTTATGTGAGAAAGTTTTCTTACTACCGTACAGAATGTCGGTCGTTTTACTCAGGTGCCCGTTCTTTCCTTTATTTAAACCCAAAGGGGCACTTGTAAAACACGAAAGTCGCCACATGATAATGTCAGTTTTATGAGCCGTGAAACCTAACCAAAAATGACCTAATTACATGAATTAAAAGTTATTTTTAAAGCTTCGTGCCTATGAACATTAAAAAATTAAGCAATGGCGACTACATTTTTATTTGTTTGGGTCGTCAGACCAAACAAATAATGGTAGCGAAATTTCAGGCTCTGATATGTTTATTTGCAAAATAAGAAAGTAGTCCGAACCCCTGGAAGCGGTTACTTAAAAAATAAGGGGCGATCACTGTGTAAAGATTGTCAAATGACGGGAGCATTAATTTTCAAGCCTTCTCGGGAAAAGAAAAGGTAGTTCCGATTGGTCAAAGATTTCAAATATTGTGTAATTCTTTACAGACATACATGTAATATTAAGCTCCATGATTATTTACATCAGTGTCAAACGAAATTAATAAGGGTTACAAACTGTTACAAGGCTGTTATCTTATAACTTCCCCGTGGTCGAGGGGTTACATGCTCGTTTATGAAGAGAGATGTCCTGAGTTCAAATCCAAGTTAAGGCAACTCCTGTTTTTTGTTGTTTTTTTTTTTTTTTTAATTGTTTAAGCCAAATAAACAATGAATTACATATCAGTGTTGCAATAAGCCTTCTAGCCAATTTACTACAGTTATGACAATAGAAACAACATTGGTGGCACTATACAAAAACAAATTGGTTTACAATCTCACAGCCTTCACCTTTCTGACATTCTGAGACCCAAACAAATTCAGCGCCTTCTATGATTTGATTTAATTAAACATGACTATGATATTGCAAAATTGTACCTAATGACTTGCTTATTATTAACAAAAAATAAATATATGTAAATTGTTATCAAGTATAATGATACTTTCCAGCGATTTAGGTCATGTCCTTGTTTAATTTTCAGGATGAAGCAAAAAGACATATCACTTAAACTAAAAGAAATAAAAAAAACAACAATAAAGAACAATAAACAGAGCATTATATAACAACATTTTTTTCTATAGAGCGCAACTACCTGATTCTTTGAAGGTCGAAGTGTTTAACATACCCTAGGTGATTTTAAATACATGTAGGACAATTACATGGAGGTTGTAAATGTTAAGCGTGATCTCTTGAAATATAGTGCACAAATACATATAAACATTAAAAGTAAGCACTATGATACATTGCAAAACAGGTCCCTGGGTTCTCGTTTAAATTAATAAAATGTATAACTGTGAAAAAAATCACTCACATTATAAATGAAATTAAATTTTAATATATTTTATTTTAGAATTATTACATAGACAGAAATTGTGTGTGTACCGTATCTTTTGAAATAACAGTGTGTTCCGTACCATTTCAACATAACTTTATGAAAATATGCTAAATCATCACTGCGTTCACTCGATACATTGGACATAGTTAATATATCAGATTTAACATGTATTTTTCTATTAAATAGTGTCAAAAAACATATGACTTGCTAGAAATTGCTTGTTATGACAAATGAGTGTGTACCGTTCCCCTCGGCCCAGGCTATGAAAAGAAAACTGTACTCGAATGTTCTCAAAAACCATTCAGGGGTTTTCAGAATTTTGATATACCGTGGATAGCTGATATAATTACGGGTACTCTGCGCCTTATCTGATCAAAATCGGTTGAGTAATAAATAAGTTATGAATAAAAAGCATACCTGAATCGGGTGAAAAATCGGCGTGTTCCGTACCCGAAAAGTCACATGGTATGGCCACATTGATTAAGTTACATTAAAAATGGCGGCGCCCTACTAGAATTGACACTGAAAATTCATTGATAGGTATAGAAATTTATATTATTCTTTTATTGTTTTTTATTTGATTTTCTTTTAAATATACACATGTAGTCTATAGCCGGGCCAGCTAAACCGCTTTGCGGTCCCAGTCTTTGACTTCCCCATACAAGTTAGATTATGGTGACTGGTCCACTCACAACTCGGATCCCTGTGAAAAAAATTTCTTTTAACACTTAGCTATCTAAGCTATTTTAAAGGGTTAATGTTAAGATATGTTACTGTGATTTTTGTATTGTAGATTCTATCTCAATTTTGCGAGATGACCCGTTTGATACACTAGAGAACATTCCGAAGGTCAGCAGCCCATTAAAAGGGTCGGAGAATTTACTGCTTGACATATCAACAAGATCAAACACGTCAGATCAGATGTCACCGCTCAGTATGTTGTTTATTATTGACTAAAAAAAATTGTCATAACCAGGGTTTCTTTAATGATTAGAGAAATAACATTTTCTGTTCTTTAATAGATTTTACCACTTCTTTATTTGAGCAATAATGAGAGACTATGTTAAGTAATAAACTATGGAATCTAAGTAGAGAAATAGAGTAGTTCAGTTAACAATATTGTAAAGATATGCACCCTACTTGGCTGTGAGAAAGCTATCCAGCTACTTGTAGCTTATGGACCTTCGTTATTTCTACTCTGGTACACACTCAGGTCTGAAATCAAGCTCTGACGGGCACCTGAGATCTTCCTCTACCAGTACAGCTGGTAAGTTGCCATACTAGCATTATGGTGTCTATTTGACTTTAAATCAACATAAAAATGAACAAAACCATTCCATTTTATAACAGTTGCCATATTAAACCTCAGTCTTGCCTGAAATATAAGATGTCAGTTAATGAAAGAGATATATGCATATTATATAAATAGTAAACCAGAATTACAGATTTTTTAATGAGATCAAACTGCTTTTCATGTTACTATTTCTCTAGTATAACATTTTACTCTCTTGTTTACAGAATTTATAGAAGATGAGACTTTTGATTTTGATCTGCCAGCAACCCCAGAAACAAACTCAGATAGGTACTTTGATCATTTATTGTATACTTTCTTCTTGCATATTAATCTGTGATTTAAATCTACAGAAAAATATTTTTATGTGCTTTGGAAGAATATTAAAAGTATCTTTGAATTGTCATATTTTCATATTTGTCTTACTTATATGGTTAACACTATGTATACCAAGTTTTGTGGAATTGTGAAAATAACGCAGCATTGTGTAAATGCTACAGACTTTACATACATATTTTAAGATTCATATTTGTATTTCACTATCTTAGACTTGAAACTCTGGCACAGATTTTGAATAACTTTCCCCGTGCAAGTTCAATCTTGATAATCACATAAAGTTTTCTATTGAAACTTTACACAAGCCTTTAAGGTCATAATTGTTAGTCACTGACCAAGGCAAATAACTCTTGCATTGCTTTTCATATGAAATGTACCCCTTGGGAAGTAAAAAAGAAATTATATTAAAAATTGTTTTAACTTGCAGCTGTAATCTGTTTATCAAACAATGAAGAGTCAAGGTACATCTGATAATTCTTGTTTAATTTGGGATTACTAAACTGATATAAGAAATATGAAAGTTAGATAGATAATTAGTTTTTATGACTGTACTATTTTACAGAAGTATTCCTGAAGATGAAGAAGAGGAAGTATTTTTTGGACCAGTTGGTTATCGAGAACGTTGTGTTTCCACTGTTGTTAATTCTGCTACTAAAGAAAGACTTCCCCTAAGTCCGCTTAACTCTAGGCAAATTGCAGAGATATGTAGAGAAGCTAATGTTGTGGCACGTAGAATAACCGCCGCAGCTAGTGGGAAGAAAAGTAAAAGCTTGCCAAAACAGAATCTGTTATGTCCTCAAAAATTACGACTAGATCAAGCAATATTTGATAAAGAGACAGTAGGATCACTGTTAAAATCTGTTAAGAAAATCCATACATCTGACACAGACGACGAGGATAAGGAAAATTGTGATAAACCTCAAGCAATGGACATAGATGCAAGTGAAGGAAGTATCAATTGCTTGGAGGCATTTTTAAGAAATGATGTGGTAGAGTCAAAAGAGGTGTCAAAAAGCAATAGTTCTGAAAGTGATTGCTGTGAATCGCCAGCGAAACGACACAATCGGTCTGGGACATACACTTTAGAGGTTACTCCACACGATCTTCTTCCTGCTGATAAAAGAAAATCACTTCCTGTTGTGGGAAAGTCAGATGAAAATTTGTTAACTGTAAAGACTAAGGAGGGTGACAAAGGAAGGAGAAGTTTATCAAAACTACAGCAACCCAATAGCAAAGTGGCAAAACCATCTGGACTAAAGGGTCCAAAACCAGTTAGTTCTTTAATATGTTATTTTAGGCAATCATCTTGAATGCCTCTTCATTTTGATGAATCACAAATTTATCCTTTTTATATGCCCGAAAGGTGCCTAGCGGTGCTCTTGTTGTATAATGCATTTTAAATAAAACTAATAAGATGTAATAATGTAAAATTACAAAATTGGTTTTTATTAAAGTTTGATTGTGGAACAAGTTATTGCAACTTAATCACTTTCAACTTACCAGTACTTTTGTGTCATATGAGTAAACATGGTTCTGACCTAAGTAGGATTCGAACCCATGATCCTTTTGTTGAGACACAAGACACCTTAACCACTAGGCTGCTGCTCTCTCTCTCTGTAAAGTCATTACATTTATTGTTCTAATCAGAGGAGTCTTACAGAATTTAGCACTCACTTATTTTGTTTCCATCTTAATTTCCCGATGTATAAAAAATATTTTTATTTGTTTCAAGGTTAAGAAGGCGGAGAATATAGAGAGTTCAATATCCAAACCAGAGGTGAGGTCACGACTGCCAGGACCTAAAACAAGCAGTCTTTTACCATCTAAGCTACAACCTGCAGGGATTAATGGTTCCAGTGCTGTAAATACAAGCATACCAGGAAAATCATCTAATCAAATACCTCAGAAAGCAGCATTTCCTGGTAACTATGGACAGTTTTTACATAAATTCTATCGGTTAATGTGGCTAACTGTTATGTTTTTGGAAAATGGTTGAACTGATGTCCGTTACCCCTGCCTAACAATTTTATTTGCTTAACAGCCATAAATTTGATATATATAGATTGTTTTTCTTAACCTCTTTTTTTCTCATTCTTTAGATGGTTAAAGGTTGTTCTCATTCTTCAGATGGGTCTATTAAAAGGGATTTGTTCCCAAACATTAAAAATTCCTATTTTTTCAAAAATGTCAGTAATATTTCCAAGTTCGCAATAACTCAAGTTTGCATTTGTCAAGACTTCTATTTCCCAAATCTAATTTATGGTTAAATAAATTCCCAATAGGATAACACAGACCTTTTCCCAATTAAAATGCAACATATTTTCCTCTTTCATTTGAAGGCTAGAAACATCTTCTCATCAGTTTGGTTTTAAGTTGGATAATTGAATATTTGTAGGACCTAAAGGAAGAGGGGCACCTATAAGTAAATTACAGCTGATGAAACCAAGTAGACTACAAAGACCATGTGCTGCACAGACAAAAAATGGAGACAGTACAAAAAAGAATGGACCAATAAAAGCCTTTGTTCCTGCACAAACACAGGAATCTGAAAAAGGTTTTAAAAATTATATTCATTTTCATAGGTTTTAAGATATTGTTATATATGCTTCTAAAGATCTAGGTATGAGGAATTGTAACATCCTGAATGTGTAGTTTTGCCAAAATATTTATAGTATTAATTAATATATGGTTCCTGTCAGTGGAAGTATGAATGAGACTGTATTGATAAAAAAAAATCAGATTGTTTTCATGTCCTCACCATTTCTGTGAGGGAAAAATTACCCTTGTCCTGCTGTCTGTACTTAGTCTGGCTGATAAACTTACAAAATGATACAAGTTGTTGAAAGGAATTATATCTGGAACCTATTATATGATATTATATTTCAGTTGTTTCCTTTTTAAAGCACATGTTTGAGTTTCATGTATCTATCAGTTAATTTATATTGAACATACAATGGTTTGGAGTAATCATTTCTAACAATCATGTTTTACAGTTCTTGAAGAGAGCACACCAGCCAAGGTGGATAAAAAAGTTCTCCCTGTCAAAAATTTGTCATCTAGTTTCTCAACACCAAATAAAAGTAGCGGGTATGTTGTATTTAAACTTAGCTTTCTAGAGCAGGCAGGTTTACAACAGACTGTACTGTTTGAAGTTTATATTAACAAGTTGTTTGCTAGTTAAGTCCTTATTTATTAGTATTCAGTGTTCAGTATTCAAAGTAAGGTAAGTTATTATGTTCAAAGTAAGTTATTATGTTTAACAGGGTGAAGCTTGAATTAAATCTTTGCCAAGGACTAGTGTGTATGCTGTGCCATAGACTAAATAAGTTATATCTAGGACAACAGTCTCACAGTCTGTATGTTTTTCCATGGACAACAGTGTGTGTATTGTCGCTGACAAGTGTGTATGTTATATCATGGAATACAGTGATTGAAGTATTTGGACAAATTATTTCCCTGTCTTTATGCATTACAGACTTTAATAAATAATATCACTCTTCTGAAAAAGTTAATGTAGGATTGTATTGCAGAAATTATTCATATCAGATTTAGTATACTTGAGTAAGTATATGTTGTTATATTGACTGTTGTTTTTTAGGAGTACAAGCAGTATGGACTCACCTGTGTCATTAGTGAAGAAACGGCGGTCATTTCTCCCTACACCCACCAAGTCAAGTGTAGGATCCAGTGGTTCTATTGCTTCACCTTGGTTAGTAATTACATCCTTTGTTTAAACATACTTAAAAGTGTCTGCTTCCTGAAACTAACCAGTACTGATGTCATATATTGGAATATGTTAATACCCTGAATAGGGCTTGAACCTATGATCTGCAAGTAAAGACAAACACATTATACACTAGCCACGGGTCACCTTAAACACTGTTATTCATCCTCTATTGTTTATCTGAAGAAATTGTCATTTACAGATCATATAGGTTAATACTATTACACAATCTAACAACCTTCTTGTTAAAGTAATTGTCCTACTGTATACAACTAGATAAATAAAAAACTATTAAATTGGCACTTCAGCAAAATATAATAAAACATAATGACCAGAAAAGATTTTCTCATGTCAATGAAAATTATAATGATAAATGTTTTGGCATTATATAATGGTATTTTAGTATTCATATACTTGATAAGAAAGGTTTCAATCACAAGAAAGACATATTTGACTTAATTGTTTTCATCCTTGATATCATACAATCATATCATAATGTTGAATTATATTATTATAAAAAAAAAAATCTTTGAAGTGATGATGTATGTAAATTATTTACAACAACTGACACAAGTAAAGAAAACCAGTGTATGTGTAAAGTTTTTGTGATGAGAGAGTTATATATTTTTTCAGCCCGTCAAGAACCAGCAGTACATCTTCACAGAAATCACTTGATTCACCATTTACTAGAAGCTCATCGGTCGGAACCCGTAGTGCTATAAAGGTTTGAATCACACTACAATTTCTGTATTAATAAATAAAATGAGCCGCGCCATGACAAAACCAACATAGTGCGTTTGCGACCAGCATGGATCCAAACCAGCCTGCACATCCGCGCAGTCTGATCAGGATCCATGCTGTTTGCTATCAGTTTCTCTACTTCAAATAGGGATGGTAAGCGAACAGCATGGATCCTGATTAGACTATGTGGATGCGCAGGCTGGTCTTGATCCATGCTGGTTGCAAACCCATTATGTTGGTTTTGTCATGACACGGCTCAAATGTTTATTAGATATCTCTGCAGCTTGATAACTAGATATATAGATACGTATGTTTATTGTCAGTTACCGTAACAAGCAATTTGCTAAAGAAAATTTTGTATACATAAGCTATTTGAAAAAAATCAACATTTTAGGTGTGACGTCTAGACTTAAAATGTGTGGAATTCGTTTTCCTCATTATTGAAAGTCCACAGAAAGTAGTGGTAGTTAAAAAGAAGTATACATGTTGATATTTTTGTTTTTAGGGTGGCAGGGGTCTACATGGAGATTCATGTCTATATGATAAAAAAAATAGGACTTAAAAAATGTTACGATTCTGAAAGTTTAAAAATCTGAATTTTGAACTTGATGTTGACAATGATAGGCCCAAGTGGAATTAGCTGAACTTATTCAATAAACATAAAAAACTCATGCAGACTCTTATAAAACTAATAAATATTAAATAAATATTTTATTGAAACTCACCTCTGTATAATAATATAATTATGTTCACTGTCATAAACATGCTTTATTTTTGTTATAATTTGTCAGTGTAAACCACCTATACCAACAAACAGGCGATCTTTATCAGCGTCCAATTCCAGTAGACAAAAATAGATTTTTGTGAGTTATAGTAAATAAAGTAATACAATCTAATTTTATCCTTATTTATCCAAATACTAGTATATGATATAATGGTGGAAGATAAATTGTCTTTATAAACAAACTTATTACTTCCTGATTATCATTTTGATAAAAAATATATTTTTTTTAAATAAAAAATACAGTTACACTAGTATAAGGTGCGTGACAGAAATATTTTCTGTGAAAAAAAAAAAATTGAAGTTTCAACCATTTTTTTTAGTTGAAAATTAAAGTAAAATGACCAAACTTTGAAAATAGCTTTGTGTGCGTGTGTTTTTATACTTGTAAACTTATTAAAATTATCAAAATGACTTTTCAATATTAAACCATATTGTGTCATTTTAAGATTTGAAGGGTAAAAAAAAAAGAAGAAGAAATATATAATTTTGTTTATGGCTATTGAGATAACCCTTTCAATACTTAAACAAATGTCACGTTCTTTATAATTTTGGTTTTTATATTAAATTTTCAGACCCCTAGTCAGAATTAAAACTTAAACTAACATTTATTTTGTAAAAAGTGTATAGTCTTCACTTGTTATATAAGTGCATACTGTATACATATAAATTAACATATCTTATGCATGCTGTAGGTTATAACAAGGAGATATTAATCAGGTATATTATCTTCTTACCTTGCTTTTATATACATATATATATACTTCTTGCTGCAGGATTGGTCTTCTTGTGTATATAGGAAACTAGCTGGCATGATTAATGTCAAACCTTGACAATGCTGAATCAAAAGCTGCATAACATTTGCCATTATTATAAAGTCAGGCCATAAGTAGCGGCATGGCTGAGTGGCTAACTTCTCAGAATAGTAATATAAGGATCTTTAGTTATGTTTGTTCAGACCTCATAAGGAGCAAGCCATTGCCGTGAACATTATTATGCTTTTGTGGTACAAGAGTGCCCTGCTATTTTCTGTGCCAGTTAAGTGTATGTGAAATCTTGTAATATTTGAAGCATGTATAAGATTAGAGCTTTATTCTGCTGTGCTTATATATCTGTAGATGTGCACCCTATTGCTTATATGTCAATAAGACAGAGTTTTTAATAAAAATTGTTAGCATATCTGTCAGCTAAAAATTATTTTGTTTTCCACTTAGTTTGATAACATTAGGTCAAAGGTCATGGTTTACATGCTATGTGCAGAGGTTTTACTATAAGAAAAATATTAAAAAAGAAAAATAATTTGAGATGTGAAATGACTTAATAGATTGGTTGCGCAATTGCAGCAGCCAATGACAGTCTTGTACATGTATTATGCGTCACTTTATTGTTATATCTATATAATACTTGTAAACATTTTATTTGTAAATTACACTTTGACAAATTTCTAATTGGCCACCTACTTTTTATCATATATTTATTTATTTATTTCTTTTTACAAGAAATTCTTACTTGAAAAAAGAAGATTAAATGTACATTTGATATTATTTATTACTCTTGTATTAAACAAATCTTCATAGAAATTTATTAAAAGAACTAACATAACAAAAAAAGTTAACATATTCATCATGAAATGACACCCACCACATAGATATGGAAAAGAGCTTTACTGGAATCACTTTGTTGTGTTGGTAGATGAGTGCGTCTTTTTCCACAGTGTCCAGTGTATCAATGATTTTCTTTCAACTTTGCTAAAATATTCACCTAAACAAGGTGATGTGCAAAACCAATGCCACCTTTGTGCAATTTCAAGGTCACTGTTACACTTGAAGGTCAAATATAGGACAACCAATCAAGAGATTGTGCAGAATCCATGCCGCCCAGGTGTCACCTTTGAAAGTCAAATGATAGGCAATTTTGTGTCTGCTGCTCTATAAATCTTATACTCCTTGTTATTGCTTCAAATTTATCTGCAAAAATGTATAAACAATCATAAAATCCTGTGTCAATGGGATAGTTTGGGTATTCATCACTCCTTTGACAAAGCTCTAGTATTGATTCTTCAGGTTTATCTGTGTTAACTTGTATTTAATTTTTCAGATTGGAAGTCTGGACCTGATGGATGATTCTTCACCAAGTGCTATGAGGGTGGGTATCAAATCTAAATATTCTATTGATTTATTTTGCTTGGTTTAAATTACAGTAATAGGTACAAAAACATGGTCAGTTATAACTGGAAAGTATGCCTCTAGAACTCCTTTCATGCTGACATATGTATTGTTTTATTTTGTTGTTTGAAGTGAATGTATGATATAGGCTAAGATTACACTGAGATCACACAGTTTTACACTGGATAGTATTTATAGGGAAAAAAATCAGATATTAGTAACACTAAGATGTTCCATGTTACAAAAATACAAAATTTTCCCCATATGTTATTCTTATTTGATTTGTGAATAACAAAGTGTCCTTCCTCATTAATTAACAATTAATGAATGATATAAATTATATATGTACATGTATTTCGCTGAGATTCACCAAAGTTTTTTTTTATTAGAAATGGTTTATCTGAAATATTCTCAAATATTTGTGTTGCAGCCAAAGAGACAGTTAGTTACAAATACACCAAACATGCCAAAGAAGAAGGCCTCCATGTGGTCACCAGTACAGAAGAAGAAACCTCATGATTTAATAGATCAAGCTATAATGTGTACAAAAAACTTACGTAAATAAACATAATAATCAGCTGATAGTATCAAAATGATAGTTGGAAAATGATAATGATGCATGTTTTATATTTATATAGCATTCTTTTTCTTATCAAATTAACGTATACCCTAAATTAAACATATATACTTTGATAAATACACTTTGAACTCAAAATAGCCCTCTAATGCTTTGGACAAAACAACATCAACATTTCTTAAATGTGATTAAGATTAAAAATGGATTATATTTTGTGAAAAATTGAAATTGATTCATTTAGGGATACTTGTAAATTTAAATATTTAATTTTTGTATTTTTACATTTTACTCAATGAATGAACAGTGCTTTTTGTGTTGCAGTAAAATCTATGATAGGATGTTTACTGTGTTTGATTTGTATGATAATGAATTGTATAGACAAAAATATTTGTGTAATATGTTGATAAATGTAAGAAATATTACTAGAGAAGTTATTCATACTATAAGTATTTTATTTTATTGTATTATATCATTTTGATAGTCATTTTCAACTGAACAAGTATGTACACCTGGATTGTATCATTTCCACCGGGTACATAATGTTTTATTCTCACTTGCCCTAATACATTCTTTATACAATCAACTCGAGTGATACAGTCCATCAGACTAGCACACTTGTGCAATATTCCCTGTAGATTAGTCACAATGAATATATAAATGGTTTGTCACAGACTTGCGTTGACTTGATATTTAAACTTGTCAAGTTACTAAGTTTTGTAAATTATAAATGATATTAAACAAAAGAAATGGTAATTTCAGTATTTTGTGACAGGAATGTGTTCTTTCAAAGAGTATGATATAAGTACTATATTTAATGCAATTTGTTAATTCATCCCAAGTGAAAATATTTAAGTATGTTATCCTATATTTGCTACATTATTTTGTTGAATGCTTTAGGTGCTATTTTCTACTTCCTATGGAAATGTTACATTTGCATGTTTTTGTGCAAAGTTAGTGCTTATAATAAATTTGAACAAAAATAAAACCTGTTTGATGAAAACAAGAGACATGTCGTTTCTGTGGATTTTATTTTTACTTTTTGATGGGTGAATACTGTGATGGAGTCAGTCTGTATGCACTTTATGTTATCCCTGTTTGATTAATAACTGGTTTATATAACCTGGTATGTACATTTCCGAATGGTTAAAGTTGTTGACTTCAAATCACTTGCAGCTGTATGTTGGAATTTGGATTCCTTCATGTGAGGAAGCTATCCATCTGCTAGATGGATAATTGTTGATTCTACTCATGACACTTCATATTAAATCCTCCCCTAATTAATAGTTTCTTCAGTCATTGGTTTGTGAGACTTGTTACAGGCATAAGTATGTTATATGCCACTGTGAAAGGCAAACCAAGTGGGGGCATAAGTGTATTATGGAAACATTTCTAGTTTCCAATCTGTTATCTGTAATAGCAATGCCTTTTTGGCATCTTTGGTTATTCTTAAAGTGGGTTCCATGCAGGTAAATCTCTTCAAAAATAACAACAAAATAATAATATTGCAACACATTTTTTGTCAAGTTATTTCCCTTTATTACATTTGTAAATACAATAGTTGTTTGCCCATTTTCGTTCTTACTAAAACATAAATTTTCTTCTCAACTTTATTAATATTCACTTTATTTCCTCATTTAGTGCGCTAACTTTTTTCATTGAATTTGTGTACTACTAGTATAATTTATGTATTTTGTGTATTTAATATTGAAATGCTAGAACATATTTTGTCACAAATACATTGATTATGTAATAATAAATGATGTAAAAAATGTAATTTTATAAGCACTTGTAAAGGACTATTAAAAAAGTAATATATATTTATGATTTTGTGAAAATGTTCTCTATCTTTGTCAGTCTAGCTGTAAAATGAAATACATGTGCGGAGAGATTTAGACAATTGATTATCTCATCAATGACATAATTTCTTCAATAAATTCATTAAATTATAGTGGCCATGTTAAACAGTTAAGATTATAATATAATCAAAGCATGTTAGAAAATTTTAAGTGCTAAGCACAAGATGTAGTTAATAACATTCTGTTTGAATTTCCTTTTATAATAGCACGCTTTTATACGAGTGTAAAACAGTAAATGAATTTGAATTTGTTTTTTGTTTTAGCCTGGATATGTAATAAATAAAGCTGTTGCTAAATTACTGCAGGTTCAACACTGAATTTATTTATTTTAGCCTGGATAGGTAATATATAGAGCTGCTATTAAATTGTGTAAGTTCCACATTATAATTTATTAAACTTCCGGAATAAAATTAAATTATAATATGCAATCCTCTGGCTATTGAGAGGTGGCAAGTCACTGTATAATTTTGTTGATCCGAGTTGATACCAATTGATTATATAGAGGATATTTGTTTAGTTCAGTGTAAGATCGGAATATATTTCACCGAGTGAGCACCAAAAGGTATATTTCACGAGTGGCGCAGCCACGAGTGAAATATAAACTTTTGGTGTTCACATGGTGAAATATATTTCGATCTTACACTAAACTAAACACATTTTCTTTTTATTACATGCAAAGAAACGTTTTAAAAAGACATTAAACCCAATACTGAATGAAAAGCGCGCCAAATAATAATACAACGTGACGTCATTTACGACGTCATGTCATTAAGTTGGTACCCAGTACGGTGCACGCTGGTATTTCACTGAAACAACGTAAGGGGCTTAAATTCAAAACAGTGAAATTATCAAAGTGGTAATTTCATTGTTTCAAACAGTGAAATTACCAATTTTATATCACTGATATATTTCTATAAACCACCGAAAAGCATGTAATAAATAATTATATTGTATGATATGTGTATTAATTCTGGTGTGCTGTGTCAAATAAAATTAGAACTTAACTGAGTACTGTTTTCTATATTAACACATACTGTGCTTAAGGGTATTCCAAAAATCTTTTAGATACAAAATTATAATTTTGCCATGCCTATACACTTTAAAAGTTGCTTATGATGGTAGAAAGATTTTAATGACATGACATACCAGACTGCTAACCATTGGACTTCATTGAAACTATCTGAGAGGGTATTGCCAGGGATGCTAGACATTAGAGTTGTAGGCTACAGTTTTAGCCAGTTTATTGTTGATTTGAACATTTTTAGAGTACATGTCAGTGAAGAGGTAATATTGGTAAAATGTAAGTATTTTGTCTTAGCTTTGTATCAGAAAATCTAGGGGTTCCTATTAAAATTTATAGGAGACAAGGCTCTTTCCAATATTTTTCTAGTTCCTGGAATGCCAGACGTTTCACTCCCAAGACATTTCACTATTGAGATGTTTCACTCCCAAGAGGGTTCACACCTAGATGTTTCAGTCCCAATTTGTCGATTGTATAGATGTTTCACTCCCATTTTTTATGCTTCCCGAAGGCTGAGCATATAGTCGCCGCTTTGTCCGTCCATCCGCTATCATTGTCCGAGACATAACTTTGAAACAACCAGAGGTATCAACATGAAACTTTGTAGGTAGATAGATCTTATTGAGTAGAAGTGCAGTACAAAAGAACCATAACACTGTCTTACCTAATTTTGGAGATACTGCCCTTGTTCATTTTTACACTGAACTTTGTCTGCAACATAACTCTAAAACTACTAGTATAAGAGATATCAAATTGAAACTTTGTAGGTAGATAGATGTATTCTAAATATTTGAAAGCAACAGAACATTGAGCACTATAAACCGTGAATGATCAGTTCTTTATCAAACGCGAGTGATAATTCGTTAAAAAGACTTATATTGGCAAAATTATCCCTGTTGCAAAGACTGCCAAAAATACAACTGCGTCGTATGATATTTTCTTTTCATCTGCGTCTTATCATATTGTACAAATCATTATTTCTTTCAAAATAAACATCTTTTTTAATGATATTTTAATAAAGGGTGTAAAATCATATTTTGAAGTTGATGGTTAACTCTGAAACGAGTACATGATTATGTGAATGAAAAAACAATGGATAAAACATTATGAACGGAGTCGTATCCCTAAAAGTCTGGCCCGTTTCGAGTTGCAAGTTCGCTATAACTTTTGTTTGTGTTCGAACGAAGCGGAAAATAGTGGAGCGTGTTAATAGGTATATCTGGTTTTAAGTCAGTTCCAACAAAAAGAGTAATAAACAAAAATATACCTTTTTCGTTCCAAGATGGTGGCGTTTGTTTACCTTTAGTAGGATACGACGTAATTTTGATTCCCAGCCCTGCGTGTTATAATAGCAAATTTATATGGGCATCCGTGTAATAACAGCAAATTTCACAAGCAACAAAATGATACAAATGTGTAGACATGTAGCTTGTAGACAAACTAATTTGCATGATAAATACAAAAATAAGACTAAAGACACTTATGAGAGACTAGAAAGTGATAAAATACTAGCAACTTAATTCAACCACACCATGGAAATTACTGACCAAAACACAGATGAAGTAACGAGGTGCCATAACGTAACCACAACATGGGACCCATGAAACAACCCATACTGTAACCACACTATGCCCTGCCCGTATGATTAGTTTCACTGACATTATAGGAAGTGTCATATAATAAACGATTACAAATAAAAGGTCGTAAAGATGAAAAATAATAAATAATCAAATAAAATACAAAAAATAAAATAAATGATTGTAGACGATGATATGTTTATTATATCAACACTTATGATAATGTTACCAATACAAATTATAATAGATTATAAATAGATTTAAGTTCATAATGCTTCATTTACCATTGTCATACATACACACACGCACGCACGCACGCGCGCGCGCGCGCGCGCGCGCGCGCACACACACACACACACACACACACACACACACACACACACACACACACACATTGTACGCTTGCAGAACTTGAAGTGGTGCTTATCTATATGAATTTAAATAATATATGGAAAAATTATAATGATACGATAGCTTAACAAAGATATAGCCCATATCATTTGCCAGCTGTTTAATCTTGTTCAAGTTACGTTTTCTCAAAGGGAAAGTATTTATCATACCAGTATTATTCGCTCTATGTCAAACAATTTACAATTTTTCGTTTTTTTTGTTCTGTATGTATCTATTTCTATAGCTAGCACCAAATAGTTAACCTACTGATTAAGTGATATTTAATTACCAAAAACACGGACTAATGTACTTTCAGCCAAAGCTACGGAACTTTAATAATTGTTCCTTAAGATTGGTTTTCTATATCACCTATGGATCTCTTCAGCACATATGAAGCTCGACTGGAATTTCTATTTAGTCAAAATTCTGTCTGATTTATGGGCCTTGGATAGTGGCCTCCTAAGGTGATCCTAAAGACATTTATGAAGTTTAAAGAGAATATTTTCAGTCCACTAACATTCTTTGGTTAACCCATTACTTCATGAGCATTTTGTGAAAAATAGCTGTTTTCATTGAAAAGTCTCCCGTTACAAGTTCAAATTGCTACAAAACTATAAAAACTGCTTCAATACTAATCAAACTTGGCACAAATGTTGACTGGACCATTGCCTTTGCAACAACATGCTCAGGCTTAAATTTCCTGTTACCATGGCAACGAGGGGACATCTCAAAATTGCCAAAAATCACCATTTTGCGTCAAAATTGATTTCAAAGTGCTGCAACTTCTCAATGGATTGAGATAGAGTCAACTGTTTTTTAGAGTTGGTTACACGTTACCTTATGATCGATCTGGGGTCATTTTAGCCACTCACAAGTCCAAACTTTTCTTGGCGATGAGGGGGCCTGTCGCCCCCTTCAAACCCCCCTAACAGAAGGGGGCACATCCCCCTTCTGGCAACCCCCTGATGTATCTTTTGATGGGGGGGAGCGCGCCGAAAAAGTGGTCACTTTTTTAACAACACTTCTCAAACAAAAACAAGTGTTGGGGCCTAGATAAGGCATTTTTTTTCTCAACATTTGAGACGATAAAAAGGGGGGGGGGGGTGAAAAGGGCGTTAAAAGGCGTGTATATCGTGTAATGGTTAAAAGGGAAAGTTAATTGATCTGAAACTTTTTGTGAAATAACATAACTGATAAAATATTCTATAATTTGAACTTGCTGTTTGACAGATTAAATCAGTCCAATATGGTCCATATACAGATGAAACCGGAACAGAGTAAATAGGAGTTTCAAACTTAAAAACTGTGTAGAATTAAGAACTATCAAGACCTAACGTATTAATATATCAGGCAATACTCTCAAGCCAAAAAGGCATTGTTTCAACAAAATAGAACCAATTTTGTTTCTGACTGAAAAACAGGTCTTTGAAACAGTCAATGTTTACAAACAGTTTATATTCGAGATTATTTTGTTTATTTGTGTAGAACAATTTAGTAACCATGTATGCTGTCTGTGTTTAAAGGGGAAACACCTCAGTATTTAAAACAAATAATTCATACATACACAAATCAACACAATCTGATTTTTAAACGTTTTTATAGAAAATTTATGGAACTTTACAGCTATCATTAATGAAAAGGTCCTTATTCATCAGTCCTCGATTGTATGTACATGTAGATACAAACTTATAATGGCTGTTTAGTCGTTTTAAGTACTTACTAAATTACAGTTGAATTGACGAAAAACAGGTGAATAAACGAAATAGGTTTTTGCATACTGTTCAAATCCGACAAAATCCTGGTTATTAAATTGGTAAAACATTTTGATAGATTGTGAGATCTTACAAGATACCCCAAATGGTATCACTTGTAAGATATCTCTAATGGTATCACTCTTTCAAAATCACCGGTCAGTTTTTTCTTCTTTGTAACAAAATCACGAGGAGTGTTAGAATTTTTGTATAAATGTATTTTCATGTAGGCCTAGTTAATAAGTCTGAGGTGAGAAATGTTTATGTGAGAGGCACTAGAAAATTTCAGCATTGCAGATGCCATTGGATTTCAATGAAAAGAAATGAAATGAAATGAATTGGTTTGTCATGTCCATACAGATAAGTATGTGTATTTGAGTTTATTTATACTCTCCAACGGCTGCCAATATGGGCAAGTCCTCCAGAAGAGTATTAGTCATTTTAGAAAGCAAGATACAGATACAAAAAGATGCTACAGATCCAGAAGCGCTCCTAGCTGGTTCTTTAACGTGCCAAGTGTTAAAGCACTCATACATTGGACCTCAATTTAAAGTCTCATCCGAAAAACTGATTGGCCAGCCCGGGAATCGAACCCACAATGTCGAGATAATTAGTCTCGCGCTCTAACCGATTGAGCTATGCGCGTTGGCTCCATACAGATACAGTGACAGTTTTTATGTTTGTGACAGGCATATACATTTACAAAGAAAACAGCACAAAATTATAATGCACAGTCAATTTCAAGTTTAATTTTAGTGCCATTTCTTTAAAGATCCTTGAACTCAATTTTTTATGGTTTTATATCATAAATATATTGCTCAAATGAAGATTTATCAATATTTTAAGTTCCAAAAAGCATTTCTTGTAAAGATATTACCAAATTTACATTTTATGTTAATAACATAACATAACATAACATAACATAACATAACATAACATAACATAACATAACATAACATAACATAACATAACATAACATATAGTTTATTAGCGTAATATGTGTTTACATACATACATAGCCATTTACAATGCAAGAAGTACAGACATGAAATTTTTAACAGAAGAACATGATCAAACAATTCCAAAAGGATAAGTATATTGATAACATGTACATTCAGTCAATTTTCAAAAAAACAATACAAATTTTCAACTGTGACTAGATCAGTAAATAAAAAATAACTATAAAAATTGCGTTTCTTTGATCATTATATAGTATGATAGTATAAAATTCTAAAGAAATGGGAGGTAATTAGAAATTTAATTTCTATCAAATCTAAGTCAAATTTTCAATAAGAAATGGATGCATATATTTTAATGATTATATATAATGTGGACAAATATTTGCATTACATATTTTACATATTCTTCGATGTTTGAAAATTGTTTTAGAAGCATAATTATATACATATATAAAATTTCACTTAAGTGTGGTAACAACCTTAATTACAACATACAGGATCTTTAAGCATATTGCTACTGTTAACGGGATACAAGTTTATTCAACTTAGGATTTTTTTGACATGATGAGACCGAATATAATTTTTTGAGATAAATGTTCAATCTGCCTAGGTCTAGACCAACAAGGTGTGAAAAATTTTTAGATCGTTTACACCCTCAGTTTTCTTCAAAATAATTGTTCTCGGACACAAATCGGGCTGAAAATAGCGCATTAATACGATTTTCAATATTTTTTAGTATATTTCTCAATTTCATCATGCATTTCTTTTTGTTTTAAATGCACCAGCTGATATAAAAATATATATAAGAAATTCAAACTTTTTGCGTCAGAGCCTAGTGCAGCGTGATAATCAACACGCATGAAAGAGTTACTCCCCTTTTTTAAGAATAAGCCATTTGTACACAAAAGGTTAGACGGAGAAAAAGTCACAAATAACAACATTTAGTGTTACACGAATTCGTTTAATTATTTTAAAGACGTTGGCATGAAAATAGATAATTGTATATACGTTGATGGACATATCTGTGTTGTATTCTTATATTGGTAAACCGTAAATGAACAGATGAACGTTAACCTTTGCGAGTGCAGAACCCAAACCCAGAGGACGAATTCAGCAGTATAAATTCAGTATAAAGAAATTCTGTCAAAGGCAGTCTGTTTGTCAAACATAATTTTCTGCTGAGAAAAGGTATTGATTCATCAACATTTATTGTTATTATTAAATGTGGAAAACGCGTGAAAACTTTAATAAAAGTTGTTGTTTATTTCACTATCTTAATCAATATTCAATTAATTAAAATGTTATATTTATTGGCAGAGAATTCCCCAGACGCTTTTAACGCATTTGCACCGATGCGCTAAAATTTTAGGACAAGAAATCCTGATACGCTTAAAATTATCATAGCTCTTTAAAAGATGTCCGATATTCCATTCTATTGTGTCTATTAGTTAGAGTTACAGTACCTGTGCTCGACCAGCCCAGTGCTCGACCAATACTTCTATTTGTGTATGATTTATGCATTAAAGTGGAAAAATCCTGGGAGTTTGTGTGTGCTATTTGTACCTTACCAGTAACCTCTACACCATGTACAAGTATCCCAAGTTTGTTAGAAGATTGGCCATTTTGCAGACAATATTAAACAGTACAAAAATACATAGTGGCAGTAAAAACTTTTAAAACACTGAAATAATGATAATTTAGGACAAATGTGGACAATACTTTGTTAAATTGCCTTTACTCTTATGATTTCAATTGATTTCCATAGGAAAGGTGCCTAAAAAACATCAAAACCCTGATTTCCATAAAAGGCAGCGGCTATGAACATGTAAACAAATATGGCAGCTGTACGGAAACAAACCGGGAACACACCACTAAAAGCGTAGACCATTTGTATATTACACCAATTATCATACTTAACTATGTTTGCAGAGTGATTTAAGTAAAATAGAAATGAGAATAAGTTATCTCAAACACCCCAGTATATATAAATTCCAAAACTCTTATAAACACTTTATTTGTCAATGTATAGCATTTCCCTCGTATCATATTTGCTCTCATGTTTACATCTATAGACACTAAAACATAAATGTTTCAAAATATTTTTGAAATAGAATTGTTGAACATAAAAAGTCATATCTATTTTAAAAAAATAAAAGTTCTGATAGAGATAAAACCACCTGGTTGAGCACTGGTTTGGTTGCCTGAAAATATAGTGGTTTTATACCCTATATACAACTCCGTAGTAAATTGTATCCTGATTTGTGTAGTTAAAACGCTTAAGCTTATTGTGAGTTTGAAAGGGCCAGCTTTGTAACAAAAATAAGTTTCCCAGGAAACTTTTTGTTCTGAAAGAGTTTTTACGTCATTTTGTGAAAAACTGGTTGAGCACTGGTACGGTGACTCTAACCCCAATTAGCCAAATAAACAAGCCGATATACATGTCCTGTGTAGATAATTACCCAAGACGTATACACAACGTGACAACCCGATACACTGATTGCCTTGAGACTGTGTTATATCACAGACACCTGTTATCGATGTATGCAGACAGCTGTTCGGGCACTTTTAGGTGTTGTCAATTACCCTGTTTTGAGATTGGTGCATTTTAACCAACAGTTTCTAAACAGAAATAAAGTGAGCCATGTTTCAATATATGGCATAAAATCACGATTCTTTTTTCACACAAAAGTGTTACACAAGGTTACATTGGGATAAACTGGATTTCCATAATTCTCCAGATATCTGTTAAATTAAATTTGATTTTTAAAAGAAAAAATTTGAAACCGTAATTTGGTATAAGCAACAAGTGAATAATTTGGTGCTTAAGATTAAACCACTTTTATACGGACTGATATGAAAGTGCTTGTTTGAGTCTGGGACATAATAAAATATAGGACAAGCAACACTACTTACTAGATAAACTGTCATATGTTGGCTTCATATTGAGTGCTAATCAATCGATAATGAAGTGTTTGTAATAATGAATAATTACATTAATGAATTTTCTTAGAATTATGTAAAAATCATTTTAATTTTAAAGGACTGTTAAAATCTTCAGCCAGTTGGCTTATATATTTATTTTTTACAATGTTTACTGTGAAAAAAAACCAACCTTTTACTAGGATCAACAAGATTAGATGGTGACAAGTGCGTCTGACTGGGCGTAGACATAACACATCACAGCACAGTTGCCTAAAGAGTACATTTGTATTCTAGGCAGTTTTTTGTTACATTTTGTCATTTTATTTTGCAAATATTAATATCCTACATAGTGAGATATCACCTATATTTTTTTACCCAAAGATGGTCACAAAATGCAGGTTTGACTGTACTGTTCTTTTTATATAATTATTTCAGGTGTGTTTATTATTCCAATGATTAGATAGAGAATTTGAATAGATGAACTGCCTAACAGCTTATCATTATGTATCGGTGTCAAAACTGGGTCAGTAAATTATCAAGGACTTTTGCCACTGTATGTATTTATACACCAAGACATGGACGTCTTCTTGTTGCTTACAATGTAACTGAAAATAGGCGCTCTATATTTTACAACACAAGAAAAGGAACTGGTAGTTCTTGCCCAGTTTCCACATTTCCAACACTGCTAGTCAAGGTAAATATTAGTTTACTTTATATTTTCATTTCAACATTATTTTGTTACATAATTTTTTGTTACTTTTAAACATATTGAATGGGATAGTTTCATAATTTAAACAGAGTAGTAAAAAGGACTACAGCTGTTTATTTAATTCACCAGAGCACAGTGATATAGAAAAAAATTTCAAATCTCACCCGACACTCTTGTTCAGCAGCACAGGGCAAGTGTACAGTATTTAAGAGATATAGATTCATAAAAATTTATGTTCAACTTTTTAGTTCCAGTTAGTTTGTAATCTAAAAGTTTATTTAAAATTCTCCATCAATAAATATTAATGATTTGCATAAATATTGGCAACCTTGGGCTTGTCACTATAGGTATCTTGTAGTTTGATATTTAGAAAGGCAAGATTGTTAGGATGTTGCTGCTAATGAGACAAGAGACTGTGGTAAAATATTTTTTGATTTACCACAGGCTGTTGACAAAATGTATCATTCATAAATTATTTATTATATATGTGTGTATATGTCAAACATTGAATACATTGTAGATACTAAGTTATGCAGACACATTTACATAATACAGTACAGTACATGACAACTAATTAACATCTACATGTACATTCAAATTGTTTCCATTCATTTACTATCTTTATATATGACCATTTTATTCACATTTTTTCAGTGGTATTAAGTATTTTCTCTCCTTTTATTCCATGAATCGTTCCAGAGTGTGGAAGATATGTTATGAGACCAGACATATGATTAATGTACCATATATTTTTTGTTTATTTTGTGAGGCTAAGAGCTCAAATTATTCAAGTTTTATGGAGGGGTTATATGATTAAAATACCACAAATATACAAATAAGTTTCCTCTTTTTCAGTTCGGGTGTAGGCAGTTTGCTACAGCTCTGTCAAATACAGAGAAATTGAACCAGATGGATGTACAAAACATGCATAAAGATGCACGTGAAATATTTGATGCTGCTGTCAGATCAGTGTATCCTCCACAGATGGTCAGGAATGCTGTCAAATTATCAGAAGATGGTATGATTCTATTTATAGAGTTAAACTTATATAGATTTAGAATTGATATTACCTGAAAGTGTTATATTAAACATGTAGGAAATCTTATACTTTTAATTTTTATTTTTACAAAAACCTTTTTTCTTTCTGCAAAAACTGACAATCCATGGATTAAAAACCCACAAAAAAATCATTTTTGACAAAGCCTCAGAGTTTCATGCCGGATTCACAGTATTACAGGAAGTACCATATATATATATATATATATATATATATATATATATATATATATATATATATATGTGTTTATATAGTAGTAAAATGTTATATGGCTCTTATATTATAGGAAGTACCTAACGTAAAAACAGTAGATATATGTTTATATGGCTTTTATATACATATATCAGGAAGTACATACTTAAAAACTGTAGATATATGTTTATATGGCTTTCATTTACATATATCAGGAAGTACCTTACATAAAAACTGTAGATATATGTTTATATGGCTTTCATATACATATATCAGGAAGTACCTTACATAAAAACTGTAGATATGTTTATATGGCTTTTATATACATATATCAGGAAGTACCTATGTAAAGGATTTCGGATAACAACTAGACTTTTCGAGTATGCGCTTCTATATATCTTTTATTTTTACACATCAGCATAAACAAAGCGATTCTCTGAAACAAATGATAAAGTAATTAACTAATACATTCATTTCTGATATAAACTTAACAAATAAATAATAGAATAGAATAATTAAATAATTATTTCCTATGACGAAGAATCTTAATAAACAGAAGTACAGTTAAAATCCATAAAATAAATAATCGTAACAATTGATTAAAATTAATAAATACTTCATTAGAAAATTCTAACAAATAAATAAATCAAAATAATTTAAGCAGCTATCATACCGACTATAATGTCTTTCACATCGAAACCTTTAAAATACAGTTTCAGCTTTAACGTTTAACGCCGCTACATATAACGGAAGTTACCTTTTAAATTCATAACAAACAATTACGTCAAAATGACGCGCTAAACTATTCAGCACGTAACGTTAAATAAGTTGGCGCCAAACAACGCTTAACGTAAGACATATATTATATATTTTAATTAGAATCGGTAATAAACGATTCTTACAGTGCCCTCCATGAAATATCTTAATTTCATCAAATCATTTAATGTCAATTAACAATATATTATCGATACAAAAATGTAAATTGCAACGAACTTCATGTTCATTAGAATGATTATATTTGCAATAAATCATGCATTATATTAAAGTACTTGCTAATGTTAAAACAATCTATTTATTACATGCTATGTATCATTTTAAACATTAACGTAATCATGGAAATATTTTCAGCGTAATACAATAATTAGTCTGAACATTCTAAAAGGCACAACTTTGTGATTGGCCTTATCATAGCTGAGTCCCTAGTTTGAACTTTACATTTACGAATATGCCCATCCCTACCCTTAATGACTTCGGTTACTCTGCCTAGTGGCCACTGTCCTCTAGGAACACTATTGTCTACCACAAGCACAATGTCATCTACATGTACGTCTCTAGTTTCCCTTTGCCATTTCTGCCTGGCTTGTAGGGTTGGTAAATACTCTTTTACCCATCTTTTCCAAAATATGTCCGCTAAATATTGGATTTGTCTCCACCATCTCTTGCTATAGATGTCTTCCTTTTTAAAAATGCCGACTGGTAAACAAGGATTAGACTTCATTAAAAGAAGCATGTTTGGCGTGAGTGCCGGTGGGTCCCTCGGATCACTGCTTACATTAGTTATGGGTCTATCGTTGATTATTCGTTCAGTTTCGGCAATCAGGGTCAATAACTTTTCGTCTGTAAGGAGTTGTTCTCTCACAACAGCTTTGAGAATAGTACGCGTTGACCTTATCAAGCGTTCCCATGACCCGCCCATGTGACTGGCATAGGGTGGGTTAAAGTGCCAGTCTACATCATGTTGCACAAGAAGTTGTCCGATTTTAGACTGGTTCCATTGTTTTATTGAGCTTTTTAACTCTTTTCTAAAGTCTCAAAAGTTTCCGTTTCTTTGCACAAATCCATACATTGTAAATGTACTGTTTTGAAAAGTTCGTATCTATTACATAGACGGTCATATAATTCTTTCACTTTTTCTGTATTTTCATAAGACACCATCTGTTTTTCAATTTCATTGTAAATCTTTGTCAGTTGTGAAAGATGTGCTGTTCGCGTTTTCCTTGCACTCATAAAATCTGTTTGCTCCATAGTTTATAACACTTTTAGAGTTATTGATTTATCATCACACGAATTCACTTGTATTAATAGTAAGTATCTTTATCTAATTTCTTCAAATTTAGTAATTAGAAACCTCTGTCACATACCGCTTATTCTTCTGTCAATATAGGTAATTTCTTTTCCATGAATCTGTAATTTCTCATCCACAAATATCAAACTTCTAGTCCATCACGATGACTAGTCGAGAATTGTAAAGGATTTCGGATAACAACTAGACTTTTCGAGTATGCGCTTCTATATATCTTTTATTTTTACACATCAGCATAAACAAAGCGATTCTCTGAAACAAATGATAAAGTAATTAACTAATACATTCATTTCTGATATAAACTTAACAAATAAATAATAGAATAGAATAATTAAATAATTATTTCCTATGACGAAGAATCTTAATAAACAGAAGTACAGTTAAAATCCATAAAATAAATAATCGTAACAATTGATTAAAATTAATAAATACTTCATTAGAAAATTCTAACAAATAAATAAATCAAAATAATTTAAGCAGCTATCATACCGACTATAATGTCTTTCACATCGAAACCTTTAAAATACAGTTTCAGCTTTAACGTCTAACGCCGCTACATATAACGGAAGTTACCTTTTAAATTCATAACAAACAATTACGTCAAAATGACGCGCTAAACTATTCAGCGCGTAACGTTAGTTGGCGCCAAACAACGCTTAACGTAAGACATATATTATATATTTTAATTAGAATCGGTAATAAACGATTCTTACAACCTACATGAAAACTGTAGATATAATTATGTTCATATGGCTTTTATGTTACAGGAACTACCTTACATATTGATTGTAAAGAATATAAGTTGCACAATAATGTATATGTTGTTGGGTTTGGAAAGGCTGTTTCTGGTATGGCTCGAGCAGTGGATGACCTGATTGGTCAACATATTGTCTCAGGAATCATCAGTATACCACATGGTTCACAAAATGTCTTCAAGTCTATAGAGAAAGAGTATGTACTTTCATTGTTACAAAGAAAACTAACATAAATTTGTTATTTATTGAAATATTAATGAATAGTTCAGCCAGCATAGATGATATCATTGAAAGAGTTTGTACTCTCATTGTTACAAAATAAACTAACATGAATTCAAACATTAAAACATTAATTAATAGTGCAGCCAGGCTAGGTGATATTTTATTTTATCACACATCCGTGACGATTTTGCGACTCCTTAAAAATGGTATTGCACGGTCGTGCATATATTTTGACGTGACGTCATTAGCGTTATACAAACATAGTGTAAAGACGCACTAAATGTTAGCGTTATATGCTATAGAAGCGTCAATAAAATATGACTCTAATATTTCACTTTAAACGGTCTTTATTTTTGATATGTGATATATAGAATATTAAATTCGTGTAAGTTCGTTACTGAATTTATTGCACTCGTTGAATAAAATAATATTATGCTGACCAGAGGCTCGCATAATATTATTTTATTCAAGTCGTGCAATAAATTCAGTAACGAACTTACACTCATTCAATATCCTCTATCACATGCACATATAGAAGTTGCCTTGATTAAGGTAAAACATTGATACATTGTATAAGTTTTCTATCTTTTATGATTGGGTTTCACAAGCAGAGAACAAAACAAACTGAGTACAAAACATTTTGAATTCAAACTCAGTTTTCTTAATTTACATTTTGAACAACAATTATGTGCTTGCAACTGAAATAGTAACATGTGTAGCTGTTAAGCAAAACAGTTATCAAAGTATAATTGTTTGTTATGAAACAATTATAAAGTTTACTCTTTACTGTCACTTCTTTATATCCAACCAGTAACAAGACCGTCTGTCTGATTACATCTCTTAAATTCTGATTTTAACCAATGTAAAATATTTTTTGACCTAATTATGAATTGATAGCAGTCAATACCTGTCAGTTATTTAACCCTTATCCAACTGTTCAAAAATTGATTAGCCTTTGCCACCAGTATAGAGTCAAGTCAGCCTGCTCAATTATGCAATCTGACCAGACTGTACACAGGTGGTAGCTCAACTTTTGTATTTTGATATTAAAATCCCATAAACTTAGAATGGATTGTTCCAAATTCATAGCTGGGCATATCAGTTAGTTAAATTCAGCAGGTTAATTGTAGTTGAGAATTTTCTCCATTACTTATACTTACAAAGCCTGCTGTCTTTGAACAGACATTACCTTGACTTAAATCATGGCTCTCATGTGTAGTTTACAAAGCCTGCTGACTTTTAACAGACATTGGTTAATAATCTTTGATTTATTTCAGGGATCTATGTGTTAAGGATAGCAGTAAGATAAAGGTGTATGAGGGGGCAGAGAATAATTTGCCAGATGAAAATGCACATTCTGCTGCCATGGCGATAGAACATCTTGTTCAAAATCTCCGTGTAGATGATATTCTACTTGTCCTGATATCAGGTATAAAACTTGACTTTATTATACATACATATCACAAAGGACATGAAAGGGCGGATGGACCCTCATTAAGCCTAGAATACAAAACATTCATAAATATCACAGTTTTAAAAGCTTATGGTAAAAATGTAACTTGTATCTATCTGCAAGTTATTTATTTGGTGAATACCCAGCCTGAGTCTTTCTTAGTTTCTTTATAATAATTTCCTCTTTCAGAATAGAAGCATAATGCATATTTCATTATTATAATATTTTCACAGCATAGTCTGTGCTACAAGTACACTTTCATCTGATCCAGATGGGGAAATTATTTGTAAATTGATAGTTATTTGAAGTGTTCTTAAAAGATCTGTTGACATATATGGATAGTTTCTCAATAAAGCAAGTACATGCATTGAATATGTCATACTGTATTCACCAATGCTAGGCTGCCATAGGAATTAAATTTGAAAACATTAATTCAAATCAAAATTAATTTAGTGTCATGATCGGGAAAAATACACCTTAATATTCTGTGCTATACAGTTATGGAAAATAATATATATACAATGTCCATGTATTTAATTAGTGATTTAAAGGGTACATCTAATGAAATATTTTAATAAAATTTACAAACAGTAAAATAATATTGTTTCCATAATCTTTTGGCAGATTGTTGAAAAAGTTGTACAATAGAATGTCTGTGTTATTAAACACACATGACTATTGTATCATGGTAACAAAGTAAACTGTTCACAAACAAAACACTATGCTGTTATTTTAAGTTGTATTTTAACCGTTAAACAATGATTTTGTGTATGCGCCATTCACTTTTAAGGAAATACATTGTATACTCAATGTGTTTTTAAGCATTATATTGATATCAAAATCAGTGACATAATAGGGAAAAAATATAGATAACAGTGACATATTGGCAAAATATTGATATAAAATCTAATGGTATATTTGGAAAAAATATTGATATCAAATCCAGTGATGAATCAGTGACATATCCTGGAAAACAATATTGATTTCTTGAAAAAAAAGAAAAAGACATATTAAATATATTCGAAAATATTGATATTCTGTAACATGTTGGGAGAAAGTTGAGGAAAATTAGCCGTGTCACGACAAAACCAACATAGTGCGTTAGCGACCAGCATGGATCCAGACCAGCCTGCGCATCCGAGCAGTCTGATCATGATCCATGCTGTTCGCTTACCAACTCTATTACAAGTAGAGAAAGTGATAGCGAACAGCATGGATCCTGATCAGACTGCGCGGATGCTCAGGCTGGTCCGGATCCATGCTGGTCGCAAACCCACTATGTTCGTTTTGTCGTGACGTGGCTCAAATATTGATATAGAATTGAATATATTACAGGCGGAGGCTCAGCTCTTCTACCATCTCCCATACCTCCCCTGACACTACAAGATGAGCTTGAGATGACACGTGTTGTATCACGTAGTGGCGGTACTATACAAGACCTTAATGTGCTCCGTCAAAACTTGGAGAGTCTTAAAGGTGGAGGACTGGCACAGAAAGCTAAACCTGCTTCCGTATGTACTGGTATTCAAACAGTCTGTTACCTAAACAGTTACTATAGTATGAATAAAGACAATGTTTTTGTCATTGTGGGCTATGTGAAAATTATGGTAGTATTGCATTGTAATATAAAGATGTTGAAAGTGTATAAAACTTTTAGATAAAGGAAGTTTACTTGTTAATCAACTTAAATAATGGAAATAAGTTGTTTTTTTCTCTTTTGATATCATAAAAGTATGTTATGTTTATAATAGGTTAAAAAAATTCACATGTTTAGGTATATATGTATAGATTTTAGAATAATTTATCTTTTACATTTCTAGATTATCTATAGAACATAACAGTTATTGTAATTACAGGTGATTTCCCTGATATTGTCTGATGTAATTGAAGATAAACTGGACATCATCAGTAGTGGACCTACCACACCATTGCTTAGTTCTCCTAGACAATGTATACAAATACTAGAAAGATTGAAGATTAAGGTATTAATTTGATCATTTGCTGTCTGAAATAATGGACCTATACCACTAGTATAGAGCCGACCACTGGCACCAGTCAAGCCAGTACATGCACTCCTCACTGTTAATTGTTTCATTTTAAAAATTTAGATTTTTACTACCTGAAAATAACAATGGGCAATCTCAATAATAAATCATGACAGAGTTCATTATATAAAATCAGCATCATCAGAATGGGTAAATTTACCTTCTCTCAACACCAAAGGACAATGTTTTCGCTAATTATGATGATACATGTTTAAAGTTTTTCTGTGAAATAAGTATGTAATTTGTATTAAAAATGGTAAACATTTTTTAAAGTAACATAATGCCCATTCTAGTGTTAATAGTCTGTGAACAGGTTGAAATAAAAATAGCTTCACATTTTATCATAATTTTGTTCAATTTCATTTATACCACAAAAATATAACCAATAATCCATGTGACCTACAGAAATTATGGTAACACTCAATTCTTAAAATGAGTGGGCAGTCTTTTTACATTTTAGGTAGATTAAATACTGTATCTTAAACTATTTTTATTATCAATTATTGATCATTCACCATAATGGTTGCCAATCTTTTGAAATATGATACTTATTCAACTCAACTTTACAGAGAAAAAGTAGGCAGAATGTTACTTTAATTTGTAGATAAAATATAGAAATGTGACACAGTCCTTTGAAGAATACACTTCTACTTAAACAGGCAGTAAACACTTCTCTGTTGTTAAGATTTGTGTAACATCTGTGTATTGATTCACCAAAGCTATAAAAATAAGCATGGTAATAAATAATGTTTTTGTAATAATCCTTTTATCCTGTATTATTAGTATTCTTCTAGAGTGTTTGGCCAATAGATGGAAGAAAACAATGAATTTGTTGAAAGCACTGGGTGTAAAACCTGTTTCATAAAAATTTGAACATGGGTATTTAAAATTAACCTGTGCATGTTAACTTTTTTTTTGGTTCAAGAACAGCATTAACAATATAAGAGTGATATCTGTGTAACAACAATTGTACATTTTAGTACAAAATTTAAGGTTTTAAGTTAGGATTAACATTTACCCTTTTTACTCATACAGAGAAAGAAAAAAAATATAGCTCACAAAAGTTCTTTCTAGGAAAATATTATAGTACAGGGTTCTTTCTAAAAATATCATTAAATCTATTTCTTAAACTACACTAAGTCAAAAGCTTTTAAAACCTTAACTTACCTTAACTAACATAAACAAAGGTATATTTATTTTATTAGGACAAGGTTCCTGCAACAGTAAAAGAGGCATTAGAACAGAAAGCATCTCAGAAAAAATCACTGGAGGAGCGGTCACCTTACCAACATAATATACAAAGTTTTGAGGCTCAGTGGGACTACGTTCAGAACTTGATAATTGGTAGTAACTCCATCGCAACTCATGCTGCATCACGGGTGGCCGCTGACAAGGGTTATGTGCCTGTTATTTTAACAAACACATTACAGGGTGAAGCTAAAGAAGCTGCTGCTATGTTTAGTGAACTTGCAAAGTATGCGATTCTTTCCTTCGGGGATATTTCACCAAACCAGGGAAAGTCATCTCTTTGTGAAACTGAAGTTGGTCTAACAAAGAGAGGAGTTTCTAAGATGGATCTGAAACGTATTGAAGAATCTGCTGACAAGGCATATAATAGTCAGGCTGGACTTTGTATAGTGTGTGGAGGAGAAACAACAGTTAATGTTAAAGGTAAAGGAAAAGGTGGCAGAAATCAGGAAATGGCTCTTACATTTGCTATTGAATTCAGCAAAACTTTAGCAGAAGACAAAGGCGGTGTTCTGAAAAAGTTTCATGTAGAATTTTTGAGTGCAGGTACAGACGGGCAAGATGGCCCTACAGATGCTGCTGGTGCTATTGTTAACAAGTACTTTATCCCTGCTGTTATCTCATCAAAACTTGATCCAAATGATTTCCTGAAAAATAATGATTCTTACACACTTTTCAAATCTGTAGGTGACTCTAATTATTTAATTCAATGCGGTCTTACAGGGACAAATGTTATGGATATTCAGATTATACTTATAAAAAGCTTTTCATGAATCTATTTATTGTGTTGATTGTGTATTTAATGTTTGAATAACCTTTTTTACTTACAATTTAAAGTGTATTGGTCAATACTAGGCCAGTAATTCGACAAATAATTATGTTGATATTAATTTAGTATCATACATGACAACAAGTTCTATTGTTTTTATCAATATTTGAAATACTTATGAAAAATGTGCCCACTGTAGACCAATTCACTTTAATTAGCCATTGTAATTGCGTTAAACTTATAATGCTTATAAAGTTGTTACTGTAGGAATTTTCGGTTTCGTTATTTACCTTTTATATAAACATTTTATTTACACCAAAAAAGTAGTATTTACTAGTTTAATACAAATTTTATGAATATTTGTTGAATAAATATTTGCAAAACTTCTGGCTCCTAATTTATTGATTTAATAATACCAAACTTTCTGCATCTGTTAAAGGTATACTCGGGCAAATTAAATGACAAAAATAATAAAATAATCCTATGTACTCAAATCACGCTAAAATGACTTTTTTGAAAGTCCCAACATGAATTTCTGTATAAATTCTATATATTTTGGGTTTGAAGCGTAAATATATAGATACATAATGAACGAAATTTACACGCTGGCAAAATCACAGAGTAGTAACAAGTCATGTGACTTGAACAAACCCTCGAAGTTACCACAACAGATTTTGTGAATACTGTATGATTGAAACAAGTCTAAATCATTCATTTGACATGATCTTTAAAGTTTCCAGAGTTCACTGTGACAACTGTAGTGAAATCTTAACGCTCTAACCTGACCTACGTGGGACAAGTTAGAAAACCACCATTTTATAAGCTCACCTGAGCATGCTCAGGGTGAGCTTTTAGGATCGATGATTGTTCGTCGTCCGTCGTCCGTTCGCATTTGTTAACACTCTAGCGTCACATATTTGCATCAATCATCATCAAACTTGGTCAAGATGCTTGTCTAGGTGATTGCTTGGATGAGTTTGAACATGGGTCATCCTGGATGAAAAACTAAGTCACTGGAGCTAAAAATAGAAAAACCTTATTAACACTCTAGCGGTCACATTTTTGCCTCAATTATCATCAAACTTGGTCAGGATGCTTGTCTAGGTGATAGCTCGGATAAGTTCGAACATGGGTTATCTCGGATGAAAAACTAGGTCACCAGAGCTAAAAATAGAAAAACCTTATTAACACTCTAGTGGTCACATTTTTGACACAAGTTTCATCAAACTTGGTCAGGATGCTTGTCTAGGTACGTGCTCGGATGAGTTCGAACATGGGTCATCTTGGATGAAAAACTAGGTCACAGGAGCTAAAAATAGAAAAATCTTGTTAACACTCTAGTGGTCATAATTTTGACTCAATTGTCATCAAACTTTGTCAGGAAACTTGTCTAGCTAATTGCTCAGATTAGTTCGAACATGGGTCATCTCGGATGAAAAACTAGGTCACAGGAGCTAAAAATAGAAAAATCTTGTTAACACTCTAGTAGCTACTGTTTTGATCCAAATATCCTAAATTGGTCTGAAAGTTTGTTTCTATAATTTCTAAGTCAAGTTCGAACATGGGTCATCTCGGATGAAAAACTAGGTCACACCGCCCAAATATGGAAAAACCTTGTTAACACTGTAGTGGTCACATTTTTGACTCAATTATCATCAAACTTGGTCAGGATGCTTGTCTAGGTAATTGCTCGGATGAATTAGAATCGCATGTGAAACTAGGTCACCGGAGCTAAAAATAGAAAAATCTTGTTAACACTCTAGTTGCTACTGTTTTGATCCAAGTATCCTGGAAATTGGTCTGAAAGTTTGTTTTGATGATTTCTAGGTCAAGTATGAATATGGGTCACCTGGGTAAAAAACTAGGTCACACTTCTCTAATAATCCTTGTTAACACTGTAGTGGTCACATTTTTGACTCACCTGTCTTGAAACTTGGTCAGAATGCTTGTCTAGGTAATTGTTCGGATGAGTTTGATGGGTCAGGTGAGCAAATCTAGGGCCATCATGGCCCTCTTGTTCTTTATAAGGAGAAAAGTTTTGTTCCTGTCACTGCCTAGTGTCTTCATTTTGAGGACATTAAAATGAAAAATTCAAAACGAAGAAATGAAAATTTTGCATGTGTCTCCCTTTATAGGAACTCCGAGGAGTCTGATTTCTAAAGCCTAAAAACATAAAATTTGAAATTCTTTCATAGATCTTTTTGGGCACTGAAAACAGATGTGCAAAAATATTATCAAACATCAATTAAAAAATCATTTTTCTTGTGAGAGTCTTCACTTGCTTTGAGCTGGGTCATTTTGCACCTTAAAATTTAATCTGGAAAAAACAGAGGGAGCTAATGATCTAAAATTTAGCCAACATCAATTATATACAAGACTAAATAAAAACTTTCTCCGGTCTCATTAAAACGAGTCGCTTTAAAATTAAAATAAGTTTATACATGACATGGTGCAGCTTGTAAACTCACAGTTACCAAATGTTTAACTTACAATATGTCTTTTATACAATTTATTTATGTTTATTACAAGGGGTTAATTGCATCTGGGTTAAATTGGTGATTTTGAGTCGTAATACAGTTGGAGATGGGGGAAGTATTTCAGTTGGATTGAATTTGTTTGTTTTGGGTTTTACGTCACATGGACACAGTATAGGTCATATCGCGACGTTCCAACTTTACTGGTGGAGGAAGACCTCAGGTGCCCCTCCGTGCATTATTTCAGGCACGAACGGGTACCTGAGTAGAACCACCGATGTTCCGTAAGCTAGCTGGATAGCTTCCTCACATGAAAGAATCCAAAGTCCCTGCCGGGATTCGAACCCACAGCGGTGAGGGGCAAGTGGTTTGAAGTCAACAACCTTAACCACTCGGCCACGGACGCCCCCAGTTGGATTGAAGGGATATACTATAGTTAGCTGGCTTTAAGAAGTATGTTGAAGATATATGACATAATGTGATCCTTGTCAACATGTTGATACTGTAACTGACAAAAGTAACACAAAATTGTTTTTCATTAATTTAATTTTGATCAAAAAATTTAACAAGATTCAACAATTATACATACATATATATATAATTATGACATCAATTTGGAGTTTAAATTCACAGACATAAAAGTGACTATTATAGAATGTAAAACAAAAACAAGAAGTAGAACAATCTTATCTATATTTAAGTCTCATTAGGCTTATTCAAAATAGATGTTACAAGTAAAAACAAATTTTTAAACAACAGCAAAAATAAACTGGAACAGTCCAAATTAAGAATCCTGTATACTACAGATTGTATAACTCTGATTAAAGCAACAATATGTATACCTCCATCCTTATTTGTTCAATACATGTGATGTACAAATGCAAGTAATTTCATACAATTTTTTATGGAAAGCAATTATAATTTCATACTTTATGATAACCAGTTAATGAAGAAAAAAAATGTGTTTATGTAAGGAAAAATTATTCTTTTTAATATAATATGGTCATGCATAGTTTATTATTATTTGGAATTTTACAGTTTTTTAGTTGTTGTTCTTTACTTAATGTTAACTTTCATACCCTACCATTCAATAAGGCACTTTAAATGATGAAATCCTAAACTTTGAAATGAAGTGATGTGAATAAGTTAATACTCTTTTAACAATGTACAGTATATAACATCTAAAGCAGTAAAATGTCCTAGTGGATATACAAACAAGAGGGCCATGATGGCCCTGAGGTCGCTCACCTGTATATAGGCCCCCCCCCCCACCCACCCCCCAACGTTGCAGAGCCAATTTAACCCAAGGGCTTTTATTTGCACAAACTTGGTAGACACCCATAAGAAGATGTTTCATGCTAAACATTTAAGCTCTAGCTCATTGGGCTTTTTAAAAGAAGATTTTTTTAAAGTTTTTACTATACACATATAGTTAAAAACAATGACACCCCTGGGGCCGGGCCAGTTTTGACCCCAGGGCTTTTATTTGAACAAACTTTGTAGACACCCAGTAGAAGATGTTTCATGCTTAATATCTAAACTCTAGCTATTTGGGTTTTTTCAAAGAAGATTTAAAGTTTTTGCTAAACACATATAAAGAAAATCAATGACCCCCGGGGCGGGGCCAATTTTGACCCCTGGGCTTGTATTTGAACAAACTTGGTAGACACCTATTAGAACATGTTTGATGCTCAATATCTTAGCCATAGCTCTTTGAGTTCTTTAAAAGAAGATTTTTTAAGTTTTTACTATATGCATATAGGGAAAATCAATGACCCCCCGGGGCGGGGCCAATTTTCACCCCAGGGCTTTTATTTGAACAAACTTGGTAGACACCCATTAGAACATGTTTCATGCTAAATATCTTAGCTCTAGCTCTTTGGGTTCTTTAAAAGAAGATTTTTTAAGTTTTTACTATATGCATATAGGGAAAATCAATGACCCCCCGGGGCGGGGCCAATTTTGACCCCAGGGCTTTTATTTGAACAAACTTGGTAGACACACACTAGAAGATCTTTCATGATAAATACCGGTATCTAAGCTCTAGCTCTTTGCGTTCTTTAAAAGAAGATTTTTAAGTTTTTACTATATGCATATAGGGGAAAATCAATGACCCCCTGGGCGGGGCCAATTTTCACCCCAGGGCTTTTATTTGAACAAACTTGGTAGACACCCATTAGAACATGTTTCATGCTAAATATCTTAGCTCTAGCTCTTTGGGTTCTTTAAAAGAAGATTTTTTAAGTTTTTACTATATGCATATAGGGAAAATCAATGACCCCCCGGGGCGGGGCCAATTTTGACCCCTGGGCTTTTATTTGAACAAACTTGGTAGACACCTATTAGAAGATGTTTCATACCAAATATCTAAGCTCTAGCTCTTTGAGTTCTTTAAAAGAAGATTTTTTAAGTTTTTACTATATGCATATAGGGAAAATCAATGACCCCCGGGGCGGGGCCAATTTTCACCCAGGGCTTTTATTTGAACAAACTTGGTAGACACCCATTAGAACATGTTTCATGCTAAATATCTTAGCTCTAGCTCTTTGGGTTCTTTAAAAGAAGATTTTTTAAGTTTTTACTATATGCATATAGGGAAAATCAATGACCCCCCGGGGCGGGGCCAATTTTGACCCCAGGGCTTTTATTTGAACAAACTTGGTAGACACTCACTAGAAGATGTTTCATGCCAAATATCTAAGCTCTAGCTCTTATGGTTTTTTAAAAGAAGATATTTAAAGTTTTTTCTTTCGGTTGCCATAGCAACCAGAGTTTTGCATGGAATTAAATTCTTTGAACAATTTTTAAAGGTGACCACCAAAGGAACATTCCTGTGAAGTTTGGATGAAATTGGCTTAGTGGTTTATGAGGAGATGTCATTTAAAGTAAAAGTTTACGGACGGACGGACGGACGCCGGACGAAAAGCGATCACAAAAGCTCACCCTGTCACTTTGTGACAGGTGAGCTAAAAACACAGAATTATTATGCTAGTAAAATTTTATGGATGAAAAAAAAAAAGAAATTATGGATGAAAATAAAAGGAAATAAATTTCTATTTATATCAGGTGGGTAAACTAACTGAATGATTTTGAATGTTTTGTGTGGAAGAGCAGTTAAATAAGCACCAGTTGGAACCGACAACCAAATGGTATTTGAATATTAATGATCTTCACAGGGGGGAATTTTAAATTCATTAGTTATTTGTGTCATGCAAGTAATAATTTACAATGCAGTTAATTCTGTACCAGACGATTTCTGCAGTATGAGTAACCTGTAAAAGATAAATTGATCTAACAGTGATAGAAGTAACAAACAAGTGAATTGTAACCTTAGACACAACAATACTGGTGATAGCAGGAAATAAGGAACTAAGGAAGGTTTTAATTCCAATCTAATCACACTACCTTGACAATGCAGTGGCTTTGTTCTGGCACCAAAATAGAGTGGGATATGTCCAACCAGTGGATTTGAAAATCCAAGTCGAAGTCTGTTTGTGTCTAGGGGCCTGGGTAACAGTTGACAGGTGCATAAAAAGGTCCCGAATTAAAGACTACTTGATAATGAGTTTTTACTGAAGTTTGAAGGTGTATTATTATATATTACCAAAATTAATGTTATTGTCAATACAGTTATTAATTACAGCTTCAAGATATATTCAACATTAAAACAAAGCCAAATTATACATTAGAATAAAGCATTTAGATGATATATTGTCAATTAAAAATGAACACAATTATTTAACACTGCAAATATACAAATCTATAGGCTAACAGTAACTGATAACAACTCAACAAACCACTATCAAAACATATATATTAAAAACTCCCCTTTTCTTCACCCCCATTCCCCCCCCCCCCCCCCAAATAAAAAAAAGAAAAAAACACACCAAGAACAAACCCACTCCACATGAGCGAGTTGACATTTCAAATAGTATAAAATAAAGAGCAAGATCCTTTATGGTACTATAACTCAACTACTCAAATTAATGAAATGTTACAGTTAATTTTGATAATCAAATCAAATTTTTTTTTTTGGCAAGCTGTGTTAAAATGACTGAAAAGTAAACACTGATTTTTTTGTTTTAGGTTTTCAAACAGACAATGACTCAAAAATGAACATGTGTGGACTCATAATATTGTGTAACAATAAAGTTATTATATAGAGGATATTGAATGAGTGTAAGTTCAATACTGAATTTATTGCACGAGTTGAATAAAATTATATTATGCGAGCCTCTGGCAAGCATAATATTATTTTATTCAACGAATGCAATAAATTCAGTATTGAACTTACACGAATTTAATATCCTATTTATCACATACCCAAAATAAAGACCGTTTCAAGTGAAATACGTGTCATTTTTCATTGACACGGTTATAGTATAACGCTAACATTTAGCGCGTTTTTACAGTATGTTTGTATAACGCTAATGACGTCACGTCAAAATATATGCACGGACGTGCAATACCATATTTACGGAGTCGCAAAATCGGCACGGGTGTGTGATAAAATCATTTACATCACATCAATTAAATAGTATTCTAGTACACACTATATGCCTTTTATTTAAGAATCATACTCCGATAATTTAGATAAACATAAAATCAATTCAACAAAATTATAAAAATTGACATTTTACTTTCACATTACAAAACAATATTCAGACGTTGTAAATAATGATTTAGATATCACAGATTGAGTATTTTTCACATGTTGAAACAAAAACTTTCTTCTCTTGTAATTCAAGTCTCAACAATCAGAAAAATAATTCATGAACACTTTGTCATTTAACTTTGCTTATAAACCAGCCACCACCTTCCACCAGATGGGCATACAAGCCATGCATTCATAAATGTTTAATGTCTAGATTTTAGACAAAACTTTCAGGAGCTGATTAGTGTGATCACACTTTCTTACATACACAGTGATATATCTTTATGGAAATGTTAATAACTATGAGTGACTCTGAAAAATTGAATGACAATATACAATGTACTGGCAACTGATCTAAAAATGACCAAAATATCTTAACATTTTAAAGTCCGAAAAAAACACTTCACATCTTTTTTATCAACATTATAATACAGATCCAAACAGACTTAGTTTACAAAAAGTCAAAAGTATTCTCATAAATAATAATCAATGAACAGATGTGTACATTTCAAGGAATTCCTTTTTGACTACACAAATTTGTAATTCTATCTTACTTTACTATTTTAACAACCAACAAGAACTGTCGGAGGACAGTAACGCTCGACTATTCGAAAATTTGTCACAAGGGTGTTTCATTGAGTATAATAATGCTTACCTATATGAATACATAAAATTGTCCGAAAAGGTACAAACTCTTCAAGTTTTAATACATTCCCTTCAGTAGTTATGGAGATACAAGCTTACATGCAAAACTTAACCAAGAATTCATGAGTCGAAAAAGGGGCATAATTATGCAAAAAAGCAAATCAGAGTTATGGGACTTGTACCAATCATCTTAGATAATCACAGAGACCAAGTGTGTGAAGTTTCAATCAATTCCCTTCAGTAGTGATGGAGATACCAGCTTACACGCAAAAACTTAACCAAGAATTTCTAAGTCGAAAAAGGGGCATAATTATGTAAAAAAAGCAAATCAGAGTTATGGGACTTGTGCCAATCATCTTAGATAATCACAGAAAACAAGTGTGTGAAGTTTCAATCAATTCCCTTCAGTAGTTATGGAGATACCAGCTTACATACAAAAACTTAACCAAGAATTTCTAAGTCGAAAAAGGGGCATAATTATGTAAAAAAGCAAATCAGAGTTATGGGACTTGTGCCAATCATCTTAGATAAACACAGAGAACAAGTGTCTGAAGTTTCAATCCAATCCCTTCAGTAGTTATGGAGATATACTTGCTTACACACAAAAACTTAACCAAGAATTTCTAAGTCGAAAAAGGGGCATAATTATGCAAAAAAGCAAATCAAAGTTATGGGACTTATGCTAATCATTGTAGATAATCACAGAGAACAAGTGCGTAAAGTTTCAATCCAATCCCTTCAGTAGTTATGGAGATACTTGCTTACAAACAAAAACTTAACCTAGAATTTCTAAGTTGAAAAAGAGGCATAATTATGCAAAAAAGCAAACAGAGTTATGGGACTTTTGCCAATCATGTAAGATAATCACAGAGAACAAGTGTGTGAAGTTTCAATCCAATCCCTTCAGTAGTTATGGAGATACTTGCTTACAGGCAAAAACTTAACCAAGAATTTCTAAGTCGAAAAAGGGGCATAATTATGCAAAAAAGCAAATCAGAGTTATGGGACTTTTGCCAATCATGTAAGATAATCACAGAGAACAAGTGTGTGAAGTTTCAATCCATTCCCTTCAATAGTTATGGAGATACCAGCTTACATACAAAAACTTAACAAAGAATTTCTAAGTCGAAAAAGGGGCATAATTATGAAAAAAAGCAAATCAGAGTTATGGGACTTGTGCCAATCATCTTATATAATCACAGAGAACAAGTGTGTGAAGTTTCAATCCATTCCCTTCAGTAGTTATGGAGATACCAGCTTACATACAAAAACTTAACCACAGGGACGCCGACGCGAATAGTCGAGCTAAAAATAAAGCACCTTGATGTTATAGATAATAAATGACACACAAATTGTTTTATATAATTATAGTACATGCATATCTGATACATTTATATATAGCAAAATATCTGGAAAACTGTTATGATTGAAATGTCAATGTCACCCTATCCTAGTATTCTATAATAAAACTGATGCAACATCTACAGATATATAATATATATGCATCACATAAAAAGATGAATCCCATATAAAACCCTACATATTACCGGTACAATAATATCCAATAAATAACAACAGATTAGAACCTGGCAGAATATATCCTGCCAATAACTTTCAAATATTGCAAAAAAACAAACAACAAAAACTTGTATATTCCTTGATTACTTAGAAACTTATGGAAATTATTTCAAGGAGAAAAAAATCATGTTTGAACTTCTATCTAAATGGTCTTTACCAAGAAGAATCTCATTTCTTCTTTCAGTTTCACACTCTTCTGAATATCTATAAATAAATTTGTTACACTTCCATTCAATAGATATGCTGCTATATACCCTATGAGGAAGCTATTTCTCACGGTTCAGTAAAATAAAATTTCCCAAACCCCATACTGGCACAACCATCTGTAGACTATGGCCTGGTATAAATAAGTAACAATTCACACCTGGCAATGATCTAATCATGTGCACTCTGTATGTGTAGTTACTGTATTTCCTATACGCTGTGTCACTGTCCTACATGTTCTACCATCTAAAATATAAACATAAAACAATAGAATTATTTTATACTCAAAATGATTCATCATCAAAATTTCAATATCTTAAATTCTGATTCTAAAATTAAATTGATGCTGAAAATTTTAGCATTTTACACTAATTGTAATGTTTTTTTAGTCATATTTTGGCCGTCAATCCACCAAAGCATAATTCCTGGATAGCTAACCAGTAAAATAACCAATTTCTCTGCAACTGACTGACAATTTATCTAACATGATTTGAGCCGCTTCATGACAAAACCAACGTAATGGGTTTGCGACCATCATGGATCCAGACCAGCATGCGCATCTGCACAGTCTGATCAGGATCCATGCTGTTCACTATCAGTTTCTTTACTTGTTATATGGTCTGTAAGCGAACAGCATGGATCCTGATGCGCAGGCTGGTCTGGATCCATGCTGGTCGCAAACACATTATATTGGTCTTGTCGTGACGTGGCTCATTTCTGAATCAGTGGTGAGAGAAATATGACCATTAGACTCAATGCCAGAGATAAAACTCAAAAGTAAGTGACTGATTAATAACTTAAGAGTAACAAAGTTGCTAATTCTTATATACTATTGTTTACTGTTCATTCAAATGTGATTAGTCATATGATCTCATATATTTAAAGTAGGAATGTTATTAGTCTAGATCATCATGTGTCAAAGTACGAGAGGAATATACAAACTGATCAATACTTGAACCCTGGGACCCTTAACAGTAATACCATTTTCCTTCTAATCTACTTAGCCATTCAATTTTTATTTAAACCACTACTGATCAATTCTACATGGCATTGTATACCACTATGGTGACAATGGAACACACAAGATAATTAAAAGTTCCATTAATAAAAGAAGTTGTAATTTAAATAATCCACTTAAGAAACAAAGATTTTTTTCAATACTTACTTTGAGAATTAACTTTGATATTTTGCATGTTCATGTGGCTGCCATGGAAACCATTGTTCATTTGTCTAGCATGGTTGTGTATATGTTGAGCATGTTGAGTGTTATGCTCACGATCGTAATGATTATGTATTTGGTGTCCAAAAAAGTCATCATCTTCTTCATCATCACCAAATCCAAAATTAAAATTTAAGTTTGAAAATGGATCAAAATTAAAGAAGTCATCATTACTGTCATCATCTTCGAACAAGTCATCAAAATTAAAAAATTGAGCGTGCTGTCCACCATTACCACCTCCAAAGTGGAATTTAAAACCGTTTTGATGAGCTTGTTGATGAGCATGATCATGATGAGATTTATGAGAACTAAATGCTTCATCAAATCCTTTAAAGAAATCATTAAAGTTAAAATTAAATCCTCCTCCTCCTCCACCACCTCCACCATTCTGTTCACCGTCATCTCCAAATCTGTCATATCTTTGCCTCTTTTCAGGATCTGATAATACCTCATATGCTGAAAAAAATCAATATTTATTAAATAAATTTAAAGGCACATTATGTCTCAGAAACAAATTTATCTTTATTCTGAAGAAACAGCAGACACAAGTTTTACAACATGAAAGTATGTTAGATGCTTGTAACATGAAGAAGGTACATGTATATATATTTCTTTATTTCCTCCAGATTTGAAGAGTACATATACAATAGAATTCTTACAAAAATGTTAACAATTGGAACATGGAATTTTTACAGGAAAGAACAAGTGACTTCCAGAAATTTTCCTCATGATTTCCAAAATTCCTTGAAAGGAATTCCTGATCTCCTAAAATAAATATTTAGTGGAAGACCCTTTTCATGCCCATAATTATTGATAATGTAACCTATAACCTTGACCTCTTTGATTCATTTGAGGGACAAAACAATAGAATATGTTTACATATATCATTTGTCACTAGGTTACAGCATTAATTTTGCTTTCCTAGAAAAATATTGGCACATTAAAATAAATGTTGAACTGACTGCCAAGTGAGAAAACTACAACTATGATTGTTGTAAATGAAGTTGGTGCTTTAATCATAATAACATGTATCTAAAATTGTTGTTTGATATTTAACATAAGCATATTTAAAAATATAATACTTTCATTAATTTAAAACCTATAACAATAATTATCTCTGAAAAAATTATAAACACAAACCTTTTGCTATTTCAACAAATTGTTTTTCAGCATCTGGATCTTTATTTTTGTCAGGATGATATTTTATGGCAAGTTTTCTGAATGCACGTTTTATTTCCTTATCTTTTGCATTTTTCTTCACTCCCAGAACTTCATACAAGTCCTTTTTTGCTCCTTGGACTAGATAGGAATCTAGCGCAAATATACAGCATAATGCTGATACATAGAATAACTGCTCACAGTTCATTTTAACCTGAAAGATAAATTTGTTGTTTTTTTAAACACATATAAAAATGAAAACTTGACTGACTTGCAATAAAAAATAATAATAAGTACTTTCATCAATGCACGAGTTATAGAAAAAAGATGGGAATATAAGCATGTTCACAATACAGTATCAGCAATAAAACTTGTTGATTTAGTCAAACATCCAATTAAGGCCCCCACGGTTACGCGTTTAAACGGATTCGTTTCGATTTTCAGTCGATAATTTTAACCGTTTAATCGAAATGACCATATTGTCTTACAAAATATCCTAATCATTGCTGTAATCATGAATTCTATAAATTTTAATTGGTTTATTCCAAAGTAAAATACGTAAAATAGGTATTTACAACCCTCCACACACCATTACCGTGCACTAATCGTGACATAATACATTGGTAAAGTTAATTATCCTTTGATCTTTCAAAAGAGCGAAACAGGGATACAATGCAGAAAATGTGTGTGGACTCCATCGTGATGAGCCCTGAACATTAAATTATTTGTAAATAAAAAGTAAGTCACCATTTGGAGCCTTGAATACATGGTGCAGTATAGTACAAAAAAGTACCATCGTTTAAACGGTATACTGTTGCCTCATATTTCCGTGGTACCCATATTTCCAAGGTATAATTGGCTTAAACAATCTAAAGTGCCTCCTAGACTTCATGAACCTGCCAGTAGTGTTACTTTTACTATTTTATTTTATTTTTAACAACATGTTATATATAGAACTAAAAAAAAAAAAATTATTCAGATTAAAAGCAAAGTTATTTAATATTTCACCATTTTTCTTTTAGATTTCATATATACCTTTTAAGAAAATCTTCTTTGTTAAAGAACCATTGAGGTATTTGATAAATGCCAAAGAGAAAATCGCCCCTTTCAGATGAGCCTAGGTATAGGGTGTACTAATAAATAAAGTTTACTGTTGGTTTTGCTTTTGAAACTGTTAAAATATAATTGCCATGGAAATACGAGAACACAAATTTGACTCACTAGGCAGCAGACAGGTGTTAATTACAATGTTGTATACATATTTGCTTACATGCAAACATTAAATGGAATAAACTATGATGCAACTGACACGTCTATCCTACAATATTCACTGTGTTTTCCAGAATTTTATCCTCTTAACTTTGGTTGTCTGTGTTAAACAGTTAAGTACCACGGAAATATGAGGCACCAGTATATCGTTTCGGTTCTTAGCAATCGTGTAAAAGTTTACAAAAAATTGTAAACGTGGGAGCCTTACATCCAATATGGGATTTCAACTTGCCCGAAATAAATTGGTGGAAGGAACAATAAGATCTACTGTATGGGTTATGCTACAGGTTATTCTGTAAGTGTAAATCATTTTTTAAGGATATGCATGGGGAATGAAAGCGGAGAATGTATACCAGCCTAAAGTTTTGTATTTGCGACCGAAATTATTTGTCTGGAATAGGTTTGTGATTACGACCGATGTACCATTGGTATTAAAAATATAGTTGAAAAGCACGAATCAAGCCGGGGCCAAACAGTTTCAGTCTGTTTACATTATTTTTTTCTACAAATAAAACGAAAGTAAAAATAAGTTATGATTTTTTTCACACAGATATCAACATCAAAAAAATAATGGAAATAATTTGTTCTTTTATAAAGAAAATTACCTGGAATAAAATAATATATACCTTGATTTATTGTGCCGCTTCGAAGTAATGTAACGTTGTAATTCTCCTTATTTTAGTTTGACAGCTGTGTCATCAAACTGTTCTCAGGCAGGAAGTACACGACAACTTTTCTGATTGGATAAAATTTCCACGTGGTAGAATGGTTCACGGCTTGTCGTGTAATAAGAATCTTTTGCGTAAATTTTTATGCAAACCCGACAGGTATAGTTTCGGATTACTTCAGACACTTCGAGGAAAATAAAAACAAAAACATCAAATAAGAAATGGCAGATGAACTTTTACCACTTTTAGGCATTCATGTACCACCTAACGATGATGACAGCTCTGACAGCAACAGTGGTATATTTTTAAATTATTTTTCAATGTTGTTAGCAAGTTCATGAGAGATATCTTCACCATTTCGTGAAATAACTCGTCATATTGAGTGAAAATCGAACAAATTAGGATTGCAAAAAAATAGCCTTAAACTAGCAGTTTTAAGACAGTGTTTTTTAAATGGTTTAAGTATGGTGGCTGATTTGTGGCATTTGTGTTCTCGCCCCGTGACCCGCCAGACGAAAAGTCGAAATTTAACAAATTAAAATGGAGGGGCATGGAGCGAAAAACACACTAATTAGCGAGGGTGCGGGTCGAACTTAAATGAGTAAAAGTTCGCCCTGAGGTGCTGCAAAGCAAGATTTAAGAAATGAAATGGCAGGGTAGTGGGACGAAAACCGGCTAATAAGCGGGGTCTCGGGGCAAATTTTAATAAATAAAAATTTGCGCGCACCCCCGCAAATTAGCATGTTCTCGTCCTGCAACCCGCCAAGTGAAATGTCAATAATTAACAAGTTAAAATGGCAGGGTTCCGCCGTTTTATTGCTTAAATCTCGCTCCGCGCCCCAGTGGGGCAAAGTTTTGTCCTGCGCCCTGGCTAATTAGTGTGTGTTGCGCGCCGCGACCCCGCCATTTTGAATTGTTAAGTTTAGACTTTTGGCTTGGCAGGGTCCCCGGGCGATAAACAAATGGCACAAATTAGCCACCATATTAAAGCATTTGCAATATAAATTTTATTTGCATTTCAGGACAGATAACTATGGTGGTTGATGTGTGCCATTTGTGTTTTCCCCCACAACCCACGTTAAGCGAATAGTCGAGAATTAAGAAGTTAAAACGACGGGGACGCGGAGCAAAAACTGCTATTAAGCAGGGCGCGATCTAAAAAATAAAATGTGGCTCGTTGTGAAGCCTAGCTTGATTTAAGTAATATAAGGGCGGAGCGAAAATACGCAAATAGTGTGGGGCGAGGTTTTAGTTATTAAATTTCGCCTCATGCCCCGGCTAATTAGCGCAATTTCACTCTGAACCCCTGCAGTTTTTAACTGCTTAATTTTGACTTTTCGCTTGGCAGGGTCGCGGGGTGAAAACAAGAATGGCAAAAATCAGCCACCATAGATAACTCATATTACTTGTTTTTTTTACAACTTTCATAAAGAAACTGTTTATAGGTGTATTGGATTATCACACCTTTTCATTTATTTATGTTTGAAAGATAAAAGTCCATCTTTATCCAGGGGTGATCTGGGGTTCCTCTACACTGCATGACCCAGAGTATATAGTCTAAGACATTAGACAAATTTCCTAGAGGGATGCAGCATTTTCACTACAGGAAACTCAGCAGGGGTCCAGGCCCGAATAAACAACGATTTAATGACTTACATTTATATTAAGCCAGTGTTTGCTAATATTTTAAAGAAAGAAATTATGCCAGGGTATGCAATCCCCCCCCCACCCCGATGAATCCAGGCCTTTTCCTTATAACTTTACTGTAATTGTTTCAAGTGCAAAGTAGTAATGTACAATAATGATGATTAAATAGATGCCTTTGTATTTAAAAAAAAATATGATTTGATTTATCAAAGAAATAGTTTGTTATGTAATGCTTTGTGGTTTTCTGAGCAAGGATTTGTAAATTTGGAAGGCAGAATGATGCCCCCTTTTGTACTTATAACCAGCACTGAGCAATTAAAATATCAAACTAGTGTACCAAAATGAATTTGTTAAAATTCAAAATGAATTTGTTAAAATTCAAACGTTGTATCACAAAACATGAAGAAATGGAAATAATTCTTACAAAACTGTAGGTATTTTTTCTTCAATTTGTATCACATGTAATGTCTTACAATTGGACCATGTTTGAAAGAAATATATATGTAAAGTCTTTCAAAGAAGATTATGTTTTTTTAAGCCGTAAACATTATCAGCACAGTGTAAAAAGCCTTATTATTAATACACATGTGTTGTTTGTTCATTTTAAATTACAGTAATTGAGAAACAATATTTATTAAACATAAAACATCAGCTTGTTGAATGGCCTTCTGATGCCTGAATAATTGCTTCAGAAGCATCATTCTGTTAATCTTTTTTCACAATGCACATGTATAACTTTTATATTGCTTCACTGGTATCATTAGCATTCATTGCCAATTAGCCTTAAAAAAACCCTAAATTATTTCAGCTGGAACAGATGAAGAAGAGTCTGAGATGGAACAGGAAGCTGATGTTGCTAATGGTAACCAACAGGAAGCTGAGGGTGGCAAGAAAAAAGATAAAAGAAAAGCCAAGAAATCAAGTGAAGCATCCAGAAGCATGTCCTTTGATTCCTCACTTCCTAGCTCTCATACTGTAAGTGTAAACATTTCCAAATTCTTAAATGTTATTTGTGGTTTTAAAGTAGATACCAGTAAGCAAGACTCATGTGATTCAAAAGAAATTTTTATGCATGAAAAAAATTAATTGAAAACATAGATATGTATACATTGTAGAATTTAACAACATGTAATTATGGAACTTTTCAAATAAATGTGGCAGAGAACAAAGTTCTGTGCTTGAGACTGATTCAAAACTTTTGATAATATAAACAAAAGTTTAAGATTCTTGCATAGATCATGTGCTGCAGTTAAAATGGTAAACTTGCAAAAAATAGTATAAATAAAGAAAGAAAATAGATTTTTGCCGGCTTTGATGACAATATTGATAGATCCCTACTCTGGCCTTTTATTTTAGTAACAATAGATTCTACCACAAACACAAATATGTGCTCTTTTATTAACAGATATGTTGTGGAATAAGTAAGAATTAGGCAGTTTAAGGAGCTATGCATTAAATTTTGATTGAAGAATATATAAATCGCAAGTGTGCAATTAATGTTAGTTATAAAATGTAGTTATTTATACATGTACATATAAGTTATTTAGTTTTATTCTTTCAGAGACATTTAGGTATGATAATTTTCTAATAGTTATAACACAGGTGACATGTTGAAATGTTTTGTTTATGATTGGTCATCACCTGCGTTATAACTAATACAATGTCCAAAATGATTAATTTTATTTTTTTGCTTTAGTACTTAGGAACTGACCTTGAAGAAATCAGTGGTAGAACAATTTTGGAAGATGATTCAGTGATAGAGCTTCCACTAGTTACCCTTCCAGGAACTATATTGGTTCCTGGCCACATTATACCACTATACTCTCATATGCCACAAGAAGTGGCCATGCTGAAAAGTGTGTTGGATTCTTCAGACAAAACATTTGGTGTGGTTGCTCTTAGGTATGTAGAAAAGAAGAAGAAAAAATTCATGAATGGTATACATGGTATAAAACGGGAATTTAATTTTAAATATTTTTTGAAATGTAGGAAGTTTATTATCAAAACAATGAAACATGGACTAGAGAATGTTGAGATTTTATTCTATACCAAAATTGATAGACTTTTTAAGAACATTACAACATGTATGACAAGACTTGGTAATTATGTAATTTTTGCCCCATTGCTTTACCAGGAATTATGTGCCAATTTTTTTCTTCAGTCAGTTAAGTTTCTACCTTAAGGAAAAAATGGCTTTCCCCTGGCCAGTTTGTTATATGTATTATGGACATTTTTGAGCCATTACCACATAATGGCATATAGGAACCTAGTTTAAACCTCTATATAATCATAAGTAAGCCAGTCTGCTCAATAGTACGTTGAAACAAGACTCTTTACTGTTCAATTTCAGTTAATTAATCAATAACATGTGTCAGCATGGCTGAGTGGTTAACGCATGGGACAAGTAATCTAATGATCGCTAGCCGCATGGGTTCAAACACCATCAGGGACAAGTCCTTGTTACCTTGAGCAAGAAACTTTACACTCATTGCTCAGTACTGGTTGGTTCCAGGAATTGAAGTGTGTCTATAAGCTTATAGCTTCTTACACAATTCAACTAAAATAAACCCTGTATAAACCAACAAGATTTTTTAAAAGAAATGGATTCCATCATGTATGATACTTATTATTTATATGATGAAAGCCCAGGCTTTATTACATTTTGATTATGTTCACCAAAAATACAGGAAAGTTTGTACATGTAATTACATATTGTAGAATGGATGAGGATCATCGTTATGATATAGCAGGTATAGGTACAACTGCTGAAATATACTCGGTTAAAAATGAGATGGATGATGCTTCAGGTATATCAACAATAACAGTACTTGCCCAGGGCAGACAGAGGTTTGAACTGAAAGAATATAGAAGAACAATAACTGGGTTAGTCAACACTTCTATTAAATATTTACTGTTTCTTTAAGAATTTAACAAAAATTAGTGGTAACAAAGTTTCTGATAAAATGCTAAGAACACATGTTTGGAAATAAGTTTGTTACAAAAAATAAATCCACCATCCGATGTGCATGTATATGAGGAGTGTTCAAATATGAATGTATCTAAACACATAAAATTTGATTCTTATCACTGAATTTTTCCTTTGTTCCCTTAAAATATTCACCTCCAACAGATATACAACAGATGTACAAAGTTTCAGTCTCTTGATACAATCTTTGAAGGCATTTTCATAATCTTTTTGTGCCCCTACTATAGGTGGGGGCATGTAGATTTACCCTTGTCCGTCCGTCTGTGTGTCCATTCTCATGTTTTGTCACACAAAAAGTATATGACCTAAAGTCATGAAAGTGTACAGGAATGTTGGTCAACATGTGGAGTTGTGTACCTGGTGTTTTGCTTGTGAATTTATTTTGTTTTGTCTGGGTTATTGCCCTTGACTTAGTAAAATAGATTGACAAGACAGTGGAGTGTGGGGGCACCCATTTTCTATGGACACAATTAGGTATACAATGTACTATGAAGACACTGGAATATTGTAGAACCATGTGATATCTCGCTGAACTTTCGCTGAAGTTTCGGTCTCAAGAGATATCCATTTTCCGATGCTGCTTATAGCAAAATGCGAAAGCTCAGACAGCTACTACAGCATAATATTCTGTATATTTGAACAAAAAATTCAACATACACATTTTTCGTTTATTCAGCTATTACTGATTACCTTATCCTCTACAGTAGTGAGATGAACATGTTTGACTGTTTATTCTAGTATCATAATGGGAACAGTGAAGATTTTACCAGATACAGAGTTAAATGATGTGTTTGAAGGTGTACGGCCTCATATACACTGTAAACTATGTTGTCTGGAGGACAATGAGGAAGATTTCAAGGTGGCAATGGATAGACAAGGTCGTATCATCTCATGTGTAAAAATGACCCCAAAATCGAAGGTTTGTGAGAAAAACGTTACATATTTCATAATTATGATATAGAAATAAAATACAGAATAAAACGTACAAGTACTGTCATTTATTGACTGCAATTCGTGAATACTGCGAATTCACTTATATTCGTGGGCATGAAATTTCGTGGTTTTATCAAAACGGGCATTTTCGTGGGTTCTTAAATTCGTTGATTTTCGTTTTCTTGTTAAAAAATATTCAGTAACTTAATGCAAAGTAATCTTAATCGCCGAACATTTTTACTTACAACATGTACATATCTTTACTTGTCACACAGCGGTTGTCAATAAATTTAATCCTTGCCTCTGGGTATAACTCTAATATAGCACAGTTACTGCCGATAATTGACTGCAATTAACACATTGATGTGACATGATATGCACCTCCATTGGACACACTGCCCCTGTAATTCGCCGATGTAAACATCGCATAATTTATACAACACCTGGCACGTTTAACCAGCGAGTTTAAAAGTTTACACCCTGAATTGGTCTTAGCATATTTGACAGTAACTACACGCAACGTCACAGCGACTGTGTAAATTTACATGCATATAAATTATTCTCGGTAAATAACACGAGTATATGTGGATCTTGTCAAAGTCAGTGGCGTCTTTAATGTTTACGGAATAGCATTCGCACAAATACAGATTGAAATTCATATAAACTGGATCATTTAAAAACGACAAAAAAAAGTACAATAAATCTGTTTTAGGGATTGTTTTTTTCTAGTTTTGTGTACTAACGACATTAATATCAAAGACTTGCAAACTGACAACTTTTATTAGCGCTAATTATTGCACTGCCTGGGTTCCCATATTTACTTGATTATGTCAAGTATTCTTGTTAACAGTAGACTACAACGATCAAGTATGTATATGCGATATTTGTGACAGTAAATTGAGGACATAAAATTGAGTTTTCTTTCAACTTTCTTAAATATTGCAAACGGATTTATTATGTCACTAACCTGGTTATCTGTATGTACTTACATCCATTTCACGAAATATTGGCCGGAGAAGAGCCGACGCATGTTTGTAATATATAGAACAGAGACTGGGTAAGAAGTATTTGTTGGGATAAAAGTTTGTCGGATCTTAAATTCCTGGATTAACCTACCCACGAAAACCACGAAAATTCGTGCCCCACGAATAATAATGATTTTACAGTAATAAGAATGTGATCATTATAAATCCCCTACCTGTTCATCATAGGGGACTGTAGGTATGTCTGTCTGGTCAAACATCCAATGTGAACTAAAGGGTACTATAGGTCCTTCTGTCTTTCCAGGCAAACATCCAATGGTTTACAAGCTTTACTCTTACCATAATCTTATTGTAGTCGTAAAAAAGAAGAGGAAAATCATATGAAACGAATTTGTATCGTGTGATTTATTTTTTAAAAAAGTACAAAAGCATCTTGAAAGGGAGAATATCCATGATCTTTTATTTTGTTTCTATTTTAAGAAATGCGGTTTATATCAAATATGGTTGCTATGCCAACAAATAGACTTTAGATATTGCAAAAATGGTGAAATGCTTTTGAAGTCCTACAGATATTCATTTTATTCATATTCACATATCATGCCCAATAACCATAACTTTTTATGCCACCGCAGCATCTGCGATGCAGTGGCATCCACCGCAGCATCTGCGATGCGGTGGCATATAGCGATTCACCTGTGTGTTTGTTTGTGTGTGTGTGTGTGTGTGTGTGTGTGTGTGTGTGTGTGTGTGTGTGTGTTATATAGATTATATAGTGAACTTAAAAAATCTTCTTGTGAAAAACCAGTTGTCCAATTTCAACCAAACTTGGCAGGATTGATCCTTAGGTGAAGGGCTTCCAAAGTTGTTCAAAGAATTTCATTCCATGCAGAAATCTGGTTGCCATGGCAACCAAAAGGAATTATAAGAATAAATTTAAAAAATCTTCTTGTAAAGACCCAAAAGGCCTAGAGCTTAGATATTTTGCATAAGGCATTGTCTGGTAGACCTCTACCAAGATTGTTCAAATTATAGCCCTGGGGTCAAAATCGGCCTGCCCCGGGGTCATTGATTTTTACTATATGAACATATAGTAAAAACTTAAAATACCTTCTTGTAAAGACCCAAAAGGCCTAGAGCTTAGATATTTTGCATAAGGCATTGTCTGGTAGACCTCTACCAAGATTGTTCAAATTATAGCCCTAGGGTCAAAATCGGGCCGGCCCCAGGGGTCATTGATTTTCACTATATGTACATAAAGTAAAAACTTAAAATACCTTCTTGTAAAGACCCAAAAGGCCTAGAGCTTAGATATTTTGTATAAGGCATTGTCTGGTAGACCTCTACCCAGATTGTTCAAATTATAGCCCTGGGGTCAAAATCGGCCCCGCCCCGGGGTCATTGGTTTTCCTTATATGTAGTAAACACTTTTAGGAAAAACTTAAAAAAAATTCTTCTAGCAATTGACAAATGCTAGAGGTTAGATTTGCATGAAACATTGTGAAGAGAACTTCTAGCAAGATTGTTCAAATTATAGCTCTGGGGTCAAAATAGCCCCCGCCCCAGGGGTCATTGATTTTCAATATATAACATATATATAGTAAAAAATCAAAAAATCTTATTGTCTGAAGGTACAAGGCTTAGAGCTTTAATATTTGTTAAATGAAATCATCTATAGGTACTCTACCAAAGTTGTTCAAATTTTGCCTCTAGTGTCAAAATTAGCCTCGCCCCGGGGGCCATAGGTTTTCCTTATATGTATATAGTAAAAACTTAAAAAATCATCTTCTCTAAATTTTCAAAGGCTAGAGTTAAGATATTTTGCATGAAACATTATGTAGTGAACCTCTAGCAAGATTGTACAAATTATAGCCCTGGGGTCAAAATTGGCCCCATCCCCAGGGGTCATTGATTTTCACTATGTACATATAGTAAAAAATTAAAAACTCTTCTTGTCTGAAGGTACAAGGCTTAGAGCTTTGATATTTGGTATTGGGTCCTCTACTAAAGTTGTTTTAATTATGCCCTTAGTGTTAAAATTGCCCTGCCCCATAGGCGATAATTTTCCTTATATGTATAAAGTAAAGACTTGAAAAATCTTCTTCTCTGAATTGAAAAATCTTCTTCTCTGAATTGACAAAGGCTAAAGGTTAAATATATGGCATGAGACTTTGCGAAGGGCACTTTTACCAAGATTGTTCAAATTATAGCCCTGGGGTCAAAATTGGTTCCACCCAGGGTGTCATTGATTTTCATTGTATACATGTAGTAAAAAAAAATTAAAAATATTTTTGTCTGAAGGTACAAGGCATTAAGCTTTGATGTTTGCTATATAATATCATCTATAGGTCCTCTACCAAAGTTGTTCAAATTTTCCTCTGGTGTCAAAATTGACCCTGCCGGGGGCAGTGATTCTCATTATGTACACATAGTAAAAACAGAAAATAAAACAAATGTTTTCTGAATGGGAGAAAGCTACAGCTTAGATATTTGACTTGAAATGTTGTTTGGTGGACCTGTATCAAGATTGTTTTGAATTAAACCCTTGGGTCCAACATTTTGCCTTGCCCGAGGGGACAGTGACCTACTTTCTTGTCCTTTGATGTACAGCAATGAAATTTTGACCATGTGCACAGTTTTAGTTGTAAAATTGAACTTTGATATCAGGTGAATTAGATTTTGATGATGTGACCTACTTTCTTGTCCTTTGATGTACAGCTATGAAATTTGAACCATGTGCACAGATTAAGATGTAAAGTGAACTTTGATTTCAGCTGACCTAGATTTTGACAAAGTGTCTTACTGTGTTGTCCTTTGATGTAGTCATGAAATTTAGGCTGTGTGAAATATGACCTTCACCACCAAATTCACTAGACTCGAGTGCATTGATATATTCCTACTCTGATCTTTTATTGAGTTAACAACAGATTTAACCACTAATCTGATAATAAGAATTAGATAGGTCAGGGATCTATGCATTATGACAATCTTCAAAATTGTATAGAAACAAAAAAAATCTGTTCCTACACTACTATTTAGAGTTGTATTAATGCGGTGGCATAGCATTTTTCTCAAATGCAATCTTGTTTTTGATATGACCTTTGATTTCATGAAGTTATCCCCCATGTTTAGCTCAACATTTCTAAGAATAGGGAGAGCTACTTTACTCACTCTGGCATCAGCATTGCTTTCATTCTTTGGTTAAGATTTTATGTGCAAGTTGGTACTGTATCAAAATTATTTAAGGGAATGGGTTGAAACTTCAAACACTGATTTTAGAGCATAATAGGCATTCACTATCCAAAGCTTATAACCCTTACATGGATTTTGACAGAAGTATGACCTTTATTTAACTAAAATAATACATTTATTTAGGATCTTGTTTTACTATCAAGCAAGCTCACATGAAATTTTTTTAAAAGTCTACATTTTCATGAATATTTCTGGAACCTATTTTTGTACTTGATTGAGCTTGCTGCAAACTTTATTGATGTAAATTTAGTATGACAAATTTGTTATTTCATGTCATATGTTATACTTAATTTTTTATTCAATGTACAGATTAACAGATTTAGTGCTGCAAATTTCACATGGTGGCCACCGTGGGTGTATAAAATGTACGACACTGTGAGTATTTATCATGCTTTATACTTTATGTGTGTATTCAGACTTAATTGAGTGGCTTATGTATTTAGCTCACCAGAGTACAAAGTTCTCATGGTGAGCTATTGTGATACCCCAATGCTGGTCTGTTTCGTTAACATTTTTACTGTAACAACATCTGTTTTAAAACCTATTGGCCAATAGTGATGCAATAGTGATGAAATATACAAGAATGAACCTTGGCATGTCCTCTATAAAAAATGTTAAAATGGTTTGTTTGGTCTGTTGAACAAGGTGGCTGCCACAGCTAAAAACAGAACCTTTAAATGACACCTCCTCTTGGTAAATTTTGATTTAACTGATAAGCATTGATGATTAGAAGTGCTTCACAAAAATTGCTCAAATGGTTTCTGTCTGTTGAACAAGAGGTAAAGATAGAAAACAGGTTTAAATGAAATCTCCTCCCGTTGATAGATTGTGATGAAACTATATAGGAATGATCTAAAGTTGGTCCTGTATTAAAATTTTACAAATGGTTCCAGTCTGCTGAACTAAATGAAAGCTGGAGCTAAAAATAGAAATAAAATATAAATGACATCTCGTAAGCTGCCTGTTAGATTTTGACAGAAATGATCTTTAGGTAGCCCTTCACTAATATTGTTCAGGTTTGCTAAAAAAAAATGGCCACCAGAGCTAAAAATACAAAAATCTTAAAACCACTCTTCCTCCTTTGACCTCAACCTTGTGGTAGATTTTGATGAAACTTTACAGCAATGATCATTAAATGGTTCAGGTCTGTTGAACAAGAAATTTAAATCATGTCCATGGAGACTATAACCTCTTGTGAGAGATTAACGGCTCTATCATAACCCTCTTGTTTTACTTAGCACTACATGAACTGAGCTTACTGTTTTCAAGAGGTTGATTAATTTATGTAAGGAATGTGTTGCTTGTGTTAGATATATAAGAATATAAAATTAAATATTGATGTAACAAATAAACCTTTGTTATACATTTGAAAAAATATTTAGATAGTTCACTGTAAGGTGATTGTCAGAACTGCAATATTTATAAAATAAGCTTTAATATTTTAGCCCATTATGCTTTATGTATTTATTTTTAATGATTTCTACAACAGGAATTGTTAATGAAGAGGGTGAAGACAGAGTTACAGAAGTGGGATGATACCCTTAGTTCCAGTAAACTACCTAGTGATGCCACCAAATTATCTTACTGGGTTACACAAAATATACCATTAAATGATAGCCTAAAATTACACCTGTTAAGTATAAATAATGCTGTTCAAAGATTAAGATGTGCTCTACATATTATTTGTAAGGTATGATTTCATAATTATATTACAAGATTTGTACTTGTATTGTTTTATATTTTGTATGGTACATATATTTGATTGTACATGTATTAGTGAAAGATGGAGACTAGATTCATGTGATATTTGTATTGATAAAGTCATGTTTATTAGTAATATTTTTGAAAACACAGAGTCACTTTTTATCCTAACTGACTGGGAAAAATGATGTCAACAATATATTGCATAATCTATGTTCTTGAACAATATAACTAATGTTCATATTTTTTACATGATCTGAGCATCGTTAACTCTCTAACTTTCAGTCTGATTTTTCACTAGAGATATTCTTATTTAAGATATCCAATCATATCATCTGTTAGAGAGAGGCATTTCAAAATGTCCATGTTAAAAGATTATGTTGTTATTTTTGTTTCAGTGTTCTGTTTTAAGTTGCAAAGATTGCAATGAGCAGATAGCAGATATGTCTAATGTATTTAGTATGTCTGTATCTGGACCGCTGTCAGCATATGTTAATCCAGGAGGTCATGTACATGAAACTGTCACTGTACATCAAGCTATTAACTTAAATCTGATTGGACGACCTTCAACTGAACACAGCTGGTTTCCAGGGTAATGTCAATGTTCTTGTTTGTTGAACAAATTAATTTCAAGTTACAAAGTTATGATAGTTGTAATAAATAAAATTGAGCAATGTAACATTTAGTAATATTAACTAAAACATGAAACAACTAGAGTGTAACACCATTTATCACGATTTAAATGATGACATACTGAAAATGGCTGACCTATGATCTACATCTTCACCATTTAATATGATTTTGATTGAAGATATTGTTGTTTCCTTAATACCTTAATCTCACAGCTTATGACAATATTTTGTACTGTAACTTCATTGTTTTCCTTCTTGTTTCAAACGGTTGAGCATCGTGAACTAAGAGGAGCACTGTATATAATCATTTATGTAAATTTTCAGATATGCATGGACTATTGCACAGTGTAAGAGATGTTCAAGTCATATGGGATGGAAGTTTACTACAAAAAGAAAAGATTTGATTCCTCAGAAATTCTGGGGATTATGTAGAACATCACTTGTTCCTGGAATATCTGACAGGGAGCAGAAAGATCAAGTTGACTGGACACCTGTTATGTGATTTATAAAAGTTTACACACACAAAAAACAGTCTATCAATTACAAGTCATGTAATTTATAAAAGTAATGTCTGGCATTACTTGTGTAACATTGACAATATCTACAATACTTATTTTATAACCATTTAACCATTCATTCTTAAGAAACTAGACAACAGTTGTGGAACTGGATAACTAGACAACAGTTTCTTTTATCAATTTTGAATCCTGAAACAACTTGTGAACTAAAAAGATAAAAATTCTTATCAATGTTGTTGGTTAAGCAAAGTATGGTTTTTGATGCTTACTGCTAAAAATAAGATTTATTTTGGCTTAAGGTACACACATGGAAATACAACAACATGTAATGAAACATTATATGAGCCCAATCACATGACACAGTTTCAACAGCAAGGATAACACAAAAAAGGGTACCCCCTAGTGGTTCCTAAGTTTTTGTGGCACAACATAGAAGGGTGTGGCAATTATGACAAAGAAATGCATATTCTTGTGAATAGTTATGAAAATGTTAATTGGAAGCAAATTTTTTTAATGTTGATGAAATTCGGTAATCAATGAATCATGTAATGTTAAATATATTATATAAAGTATTAATTTATATACTGAAGACAATGGAGTCTTGCTTTGCAGAATGTAATGTACCCCAGGTTTTTGTTAAATACTGTTAATGTGTATGCTCCCTGTTGTGTAATATACATTGTATAATTATAAAAAAAAATTTGATATGATCTATTGTGCTGTAAATTAAAATTGGATACTTGGCCTATAAATCTATATATATAGCAATTTCTAGTCTTTCAGATATACATGTGTTTGTGGTATGTTTGAGTTAAACATATTTATTGTAATAATAATTGCTTTAGATTTCATAATTGAAATTATTGCAGATGAAAAAGAAGATATAACAATATTTGTTTGAAGTATTAATTTTTTCATATAACTTTCTATGAAGCTTTGAAAGCTTCAAAATACATGATATATGATACTTTTCTAGCTTAAAATATCAACTTTATTATGTACTGTTTGCTTATATTGTATAGACAGGAGTTGTTTTGTAGTTTTATATAAGTTGTTGGTCTTATTAGATTTAAAAACTGCTTTGATCTATTTAGTTGACTCACTAAAATCTATTGCTTTATGAAATACTTTTAAATGTCTTAATCACACTGCAAGTGTTTTTAGTGTAATCATTCATGTTTTTATATTGAAAGTGCACCTCACAGACTGTGTTTATGTTGGTATAGTTAATCCACATTTCTGTTTTAGATACATTGTACATGTATTATATATCCTTATTGTTCAGCTTTAAGTGAAAAAAATAAATGGATTGATTTGAAGAAAGAAAGAAATATGTGACATGCTGTTTTTTTCTACATGATAAGAGTATTTGCTACAATAAAAATTTTTATGGATGATTGATAACTAATATTTTCAGCATTCTGAAAATTTGAAGGAATGTTGAAAAACTTAAAGATCTACTCTGCTCAATTTTGATATTTGAAAATATTGCTACACAGTTTCTTTGTAAATATAAAACAAACATGTTTGGACTAAACACAAAGTAGATATGTTATGTTTTAAATTCTACACCATAGGTGGTGACAATACCTATGTATAAAGTCATTAAAAAACTGGCATTTTTTTTAAGAAAAGACCAACTTTACTTGACCGGTCATAGAGATTGCAACTTCCCATATATAGTTTATTCCTTCTTTATTTTAAATAAGACATATTCAGCAAGAATTGCATACCGTATAACTGGTTATTTCTGCGGGTGCAAATTTTTGCGTTTTGGACTGGAAAAGGGTATATTAATTTTTGCGAATTTAATTTCTGCGTTTTTCATCAAAAACTTTTATAAAATTTAATTTCTACGTTTTTCTATTAAATTTACAGCATACAAACACAATCTTACTAAACTTATTATGGGATAAACTACATGTAAAATCCTTTGTGATAATTGACTACACCGAGAAAGCGTTATAAACATCTCACATTTCTTTATTATACAATACAATACAGTTTATTTTGCAACGTTTCTAGCATAATAATAGACGATTTTCACTAGAGCTAAAGGCTACCAGCGGGTAGTGTGTATTGATTAATTTAACAGCTAAATTGAGGTGACAAACGGGGTAAATTACATATAAAACTAGGAAATATTTTCGAATTTAATTTTTGCGGTAGGAAGGGGCCGGCAAAATATCGCAGAAATTAGCTATCCGCAGAAATAACCAGTTATATTTCAATAAATTTCTGTGATTAAGATATTTTACTCGAGGATGAGCATAGTATATCATTAACATTTATGATTTTATTACCCTGTAAACTTTTTAGTTTAAAATGTTTTACTTTGAACCCTTACAACATGTTATATTTAAACAAGTGACAAAATAACTACATGTAATATTGTGAATATGGAGATAGAAGAAATAAATGACTGTGATTTTTTCAATCTTGTTTTTCCTCATTTGATGTTGTGTTCTTTCAAGTCATATTGATTCAAGGCAGGATTGTATCATTAAACTTTCTATATGTGACACTTTCATGCCCTGTCATGGCAAGTGACATATGCTCCTTAGTTAAAGAATACATAAAAGAATGAGAAAATAATTGGTTTTACAGAATTTGTTTTACATGTAGTTTGATTGTGTAAGAAGCTTATGGACACACTGTTCCTGGAACTATAACCAGTACTGAGCAATGTGTGTAAAGTTTCTTGCTCAAGGAAACATCTGCTCGCCCCAAACAGGGTTTGAACCCATGCAGGTAGTGATCCTTAGATTACTAATCCGATCCTTAGATAACTAATCAAACAGGTTAACCACTCGGCCATGCTGACAATGAAAGAATAATTCCTGGAACTAAACGCAAATGTAATTTGGAGAGAGGATCAGAAGTAAGAAGATCTGCATATCACTTAATCACCCAACATAGTCTGTTGGTGATTAAAAAGTAATGAAGCAGGAAAACAGGAAACAACAAACAATATATGAGAGGTCTGTGGTTCGATCCCTACTGTTGCCATTGTTTTAAACATACTCTGTTTTAGCTCACCTGAGCAAGTACTAAAGGGTGAGCTTTTGTAATCACTCTGCGTCAGTCGTGCTTCATGAGTCCTTCAAAAAATGGTGTCAAACTCTTAAAACAACATCTCCTTTACAAAAAAGGCCAATATTGTTAAAACTTAGCAGGAATATTCCTGGCATGGAATTCTTTAAAAATAGTTCAAAGAATTCCATTCCATGCTAAATTCTGGTAACCATGGCAATGGAAAGAAAAAAAACTTTAAAATCTTGGAAAAGCCAAAAGAGCTAGAGCTTAGATATAAAGCATGAAACTTCTTCTAGTAGGTGTCTACCAGATTTGTTCAAATAAAATCTCTGGGGTCAAAATTGGTCCCGCTCCAGGGCACAGGCGTTCAGCACATTTGCCATGCCAATAATGGTCCACCCTCCAGGGCACAGGCGTTCAGCACATTTGCCATGCCAATAATGGTCCAATAATCATAAAATAATCACCCCTTGATCATCAAGAACAAAACAAGATATGTTTGTAAAACATGTGGTATTGGCAGCCAATTAGTCATGTGATCTGGTTATTATGCATGACTTCTGACCCAGATAACAAAAAATTAATAAGGGTTATCTAGTATCTACTGGTCATGACTAGTCACAAGGTAATAATTATTGTGACCCCATAGGTTGTGTGCAGCAATTTAAGTTATTACAAATCTTACCAAATAATATATGCATAAATTTTATGAATCATGTAGGCCTCAATAATGACAACCAAGTTGTTATATTACATAAGACCTTCAAATGTGTATACCAAAAGCATTTTTAGTTTAATATAAAAATATCGACCAAGGCAACTTGAGTTGTTGAGTTATTGGTCAGAAACTGTCTTTAACTACAAGGTCAATATGACACTGACCCCTTGACCCCAAAATCAATAGGGGTCATCTACTGGTCATGACCAATCATCATATAAAGTTTGAAGTTCCTAGGCCTAAGCCTTCTTTAGTTATTATGCGGAAACTTTTTTACCGACAAGGTCAATATGATCTTTTGACCTCTTAACCCCAAAATCAATAGGGTTCATCTGCTGGTCATGAAGAATCATCATACAAAGTTTGAAGTTCCTAGGCCTAAGCATCCTTTAGGTATTGAAAGGAAACTGTTTTTAACTTCAAGTCAATGTGACCTTGACCTTTGACCCCTTGACCCCAAAATCAAAAAGGTTCATCTGCTGGTCATGAACAATCATCATACCAAGTTTGAAGTTCCTAGGCCTAAGCCTACTTTAGTTATTAATCGGAAACCGTTTTTACCTACAAGGTCAATGTGACCTTGACCTTTGACCTCTTGACCCCAAAATCAATAGGGGTCATCTGCTGATCATGACCAATCATCATACCAAGTTTGAAGTTCCTAGGGCTAAGCGTTCTTAGTTATTGATCGGAAACCCTTTTTACCTACAAGGTCAATGTGACCTTGACCTTTGACCCCTTGACCCATAAATCAACAAGTTCATCTGCTGGTCATGAACAATCATCATACCAAGTTTGAATTCCGTAGGTCTTAGTGTTTTTTAGTTATTGATTGGAAACCGTTTTTACCTACAAGGTCAATGTGACCTTGACCTTTAACCCCTTGACCCCAAAATTAATAGGGGTCATCTGCTGGTCATGACCAATCATCATACCAAGTTTAAAGTTCCAAGGCCTAAGTGTTCTATAGTTTTTCATCAGAAATCATTTTTACCTACAATGTGACCTTGACCTTTGACCCCTTGACCCCAAAATCAATAGGGGTCATATGCTGGTCATGACCACTCATCATACCAAGTTTGAAGTTCCTAAGCCTAAGGGTTCTAAAATTTTTTACCGGAAAATGTTTTTGCCTACAAAGGGATTTTTACCTGACCTTTGACCCCTTGACCAAAATCAAAAGGAGTATCTGCTGGGATGGGGCCCAAACATCGACCCAAGTTTTAAAAACCCTAGGCCAAAACGTTCTTAGTTTTTGATCGGGAAACTTTTTGCCTACAAAGGTCAAATTTACCTTGACTTTTACCTCAAAAAACAATAGGGGCATTGCTCCACCAAATTTAAGTCCCTAGCCCAAGTGTTCTTTTTTATTTATCGGAAAACCCTTTTTGCCTCAAAGGGCAAAATTGACCTTTACCTTTGACCCCTTGATCCAAAAAAAGTAGCGGTATCTGCCGGTCTACAAACATCATCCCCTGTTTGTATTTTTTTAAGCTTCTTTTTTTATTGATGGGAAACTTTTTTAATTAAAAGGTCAATGTGACCTTGACCTTTGACCCCTTGACCCCAAAATCAATAGGGGTAATCTGCTGGTCATGACCAATCATCATAGCAAGTTTGAAGTTCCTAGGCCTAAGCGTTCTTTAGTTATCACTCAGAAACCAATTGGTCTACGGACCGACAGACAGACAAATGCAAAGCAATATACCCCCTCTTCTTTGAAGTGGGGGCATAATTACTATCCATGATAATAGAGCTACATATCAATTGGATTTTAAATAAACTATCTTATACTTTCTTGTTATTTCAATCGATTTACTTCCTAGTAGAAATTAAATGCAGATTTTATAAACGTTACTGCTACATATGTTTTCTTGTTATTTTTCGCGTGTAAAACACAATTTCAGTATTAATGGGGACACTTTTTTAAACACTTTTTCACTGGAAAAAATCATTTAGACAAATCCTAATTAAGATGTTTCATTTTTTTGTCAATTTGATTCTTTTATTTAAAATAAGTTATTAAGATCAATAGTAACGGTTGGGGAGATGGATGCTGGTTTTTCAAGCTTGTTGGTTTTGGCCAGTGAAAAAATAGATGAATTTTCAGAAATTGTTATTAATTTTGCATTTACGAATAATCAGAATTTAGATAATAGTAATTTTTGTTTCCTTTAAAAAAAAAAAAACTTTATGCTAGCGATATGCACAACTAGGGTTGGTACTGTTTACGACTGTGAATTTAATCGAAATCCTACCAGCAGTTTAACCTGTGAATGCCGGACATGCTTAATGCAGACAAACAGATGGATGACGAAGGCAAAAACAATATGTCGCCCAAACAATCTTAAAAGACGCAGTTTTTCGTTCTAATTTTTATTTAAATTTCATTCTAGATGATAGATCATCTTGAAACGTATTCGTTTTTAATCTGGATTGCTGTTATGATGAAAAATATTTGGCAATAGGAATTTCTCATGATGAAGCAATCCATTTCAACGCTAAATTCGCTAAATGCTAAACGCCACCACAACTATAATTCAAACATGAACTCATCAACTTTACAACCCCTTGAAACTTTAATCAAATCGCTTGCTTTGATGTTCAATATTTGGTGCAGAATTTACAATAACAACAAAATTCTTCGAGGTAACAATATACCTTTGGTGACACTCCAATAGCTCCGGAGTATCGATAGAGCAATTTATCATATACCTCCGAGGAGGTATATATATAGCTCTGTTCCTTATTAGACCCTTCAAGACAGAGTTATGACCCTTGATTAGTATAGAGCAATATTGCTTTTTCTTTTCAATTGCTAGGTTGATTATGGGAACAGTCAATATGAAAAGTAAATTTGAATGCCATGATAATTTTATGTAAATAAAGCCTCCAGTTGTTGTATTATAAAAAATCAATACTCAGCGGGAGATATAAATCCAAGGAATGTGCTTGTTAATTACTTTTTCTGTATTTGTAGGCCCTATAACAGCGTGGAAGTGTATTATCATCTGCATAGTCATATAAGTTGGTCTTATCTACCAAATAAAATATATCAAATGATATTGTAAAGTACAGGGTCTAAAATTGAACCCTGTGAGACACCCTTGTATCCCTGATTTTACTTGTGTTGTTTTCTGTTGGTTAGATAATTAGATTTAATACCGATTTGTTACTCTAGAATAAACATAAACCAGAAAGATCAGTTTTAAGAACTGGCGGGTTAATGTTAAATGAAAAATCGGAAAATTTGACCCTAGCAACTTTAAGGCTATTGAAGAAATTCTATTTATCGCTTACAACATATATAGAAACAGTAATCTCAGAGGAAATGATAAATGCAAACAACATGATAGATATTAATTCTTTTAACAAATCGATTACATGTTTGTATATATATTTTAAATAGAAAATTATGTAGATCTATATTAATATTTTGGATGTATTTTTTAATCACCTAAGCGGCAACAGAATCCAACAATGAAAATGGCCACCGTACTATCTTTCTAAGGTAAAAATAAGGTTTTACATGATATAGGATGTATTCTAATGTTATGTCTGGGTTTCAAATAGTTGGTTCATTATTAATCCTTATTAGAAATTTCAAGTCTAGAGAAATATTTTGATGTTGAGCGAAGATACTTACTTTTTTTTTTTTTGACAAGTTGACAAGAGATGTCCCA